AATGGCTTACCTTGACTTTATTTTTTTTAGGCATAGGCATCTTACACTGGCTATGCAGTAGTATCATGTCCTACGCCCTTTTAAAAAATATGATAACATTTAAACAAACATCATATTCATTCTCACCTCATTCGGAAGTTTTCGTCACCCCTAAAAAAATATTTTTTTTTATTCGTAGGGTTTATAAATCGAATTTATCATTTATAATTGTCTTTAAATAATTTGTTACATGTTATGGGTTGACGATAAACATAGAAATAACTTGGTATGGTCCTACTTTTATTTACTTCGACAATTCAAGATCAATGTTTTCAAACGTTAATTTATTTTTTTTTCAATTCACGTTCATATTTTACTGTGATTAATTTCCATTCTTTAATTTAAAACGGTATAATTTAATACATCTGTATATATATATATATATATAAAACATTAAAATTTACCTAGAGCTCCGAAACCATTCGACATTGCTCTCTCTCTCTCTCTCTCTCTCTCTCTATCTCTCTCTCTCTGTTGTATTTGGATGTTGGAAGTTGGAACGTCAAAAGAATAAGCGCGCTTTTGAAAATACTATCAAATTCTCCGTTTATGACGTCATTGGTAGAACGTCATAGAAAACGACGTACAAACAACAGATTTCAAACGGAATACAACCAAATACTGTCAGTCTTCTAATATTATACGCATAATGGGAAGACTCTGGTCAGGATTCCGGACACTAGCTGACGGATGGCGGCGTTTGTTCAAGAAAAATCCGGATCCAGAGAAGGAACGGAATAATCCGGAGGAAAATATGTGGGTAAGAGAAAATGTTCTCGATCCTCAAATAGAAGTTAAAGTTTTCTCAGACAAAGGAGAGGTAACAAGAGCGCAAGTGGAATTAATCATTCGAGAATTGCAGGAATTTCAAGCAGCTTCAGGAATACCCAGAGAGGATGCTGACGAGTCAAAAGTGAAGAGTACTCTGTTATTACAAATGTCTGTCAACATGGAAGACATAAGCAATATCTGTACAAAACTGTTGCGTCTTTGTAGCTCAAAAGTAAAAGACGAGGTGGCTAACTACTATATAAATATTACTATAAGCCTGGTGCATTGTGAGAATCAGAAAACGGTTCCTACATGTAGTTATGCCTCCATGCAAGCTATCGAGGAGCCGACCAATTCAGATATTGCAACTGCGTCCGTAGAAACACATGAACTTCAGCATTGTTCCGAACTCCATTTCGACATACCAGATCCCGATGACTTACAAAACTCGCGGAATAAAAAAGTAAATATCAAGTCGATGAGTGATACAGATTGTTCGGCGGTGAAACCAATCAGTCAGATTGAAAAGATTGAACCAGATACAGATAAAAGTAGTGTAGGCAAAGAAACATGGGCAGAAAGTCATGAAAATAAGGAGATTAAAAATATCAGTGAAACTCCTATACAGAAAAGTACCGAGAATACTGTCGATCAAGCCATGGTGTCCCCAAACATCGCAGGAAAACCGAGTTCATCTGAACGGAAATCCAGTGCAAGTCCAAAACCATATGTAAAACCTAACCCAAAACCAAATCCGAAACCAAACAACGCCAGCGGAAGTAGAAGCCGAGGAATGGATCCTGATGTTATCATGTCACGTCTGACACGAGTGTTGAAGAATACTGAGATGTGTTCTGAAGAATTCATGGCTCGAGACGGGACTAAACAAGACATCGAGAACATGCAAGCGCTCGAGAAATCCTTCTATAGAACTGGTATAACAAACCGTGTACGGGACGAAATATCGGGACTAAAAATCAACAACACAATTTGGATGGAGCAGAAATTTGCAAAGATGACAAAATCTGTAGAATTATTAAGCTATCTCCACAAGCTTGAGTTTTACGCCTTGCACGAGAGGTTTCCAGAATTAGTTTCCTTTGGTGATTATGTCCGTTCCAAGGAAAAGCAACTGAAGTGTCCAAATGTAAGGCGAAAATACGTTGCTCTTATGTTATACGGCGCTCTCATCAAAGAAAAATGTTTCGAGGAAAGATTCCCAAACTACTCAAAAGAAATAAGAAAATTACGAAGCATCAAGCAATACATTCAATTCTGTCTGGCCAACGAGGATCCTACATTTCATTCTAGTACGTGTAAGATTCATAAAATGCAAAAATGTTCCAAAAACGGACAGAAAAGGCCATTGAAAATGTTAGCCGGGGAAACTAAACCGGAAGGCAAAACTGGTGAAGAAAGCTATCAAACTAGCCGCCGGCAAGTTCCGGAGGAAACGAACCAATCTGTAGACGATTCGGGCGATTTGAAAAAGAGCGAGGTTTCTGATATGTTTCCGGAAGAAAGTTCGGGCGACAATTATAATCAATCAGAAGACGTTAATTCTGATGTAGATGGGGGCTTAAAATACGAAGAAAGAATGGGCACGAAGGATGAAGGAGAGGGTAACAGAAAGTCAACGGAATTATGGAGAAAAGATTTGAGTCAGGAAAACTGGACTTTTGAAAAAGATGCTGTCGAGTCGCTGGATGATCGCATAAGAACTAAGAAGTATGGCAAAGGTGCAAAAAGAAAGTTTCAAGAGCCAAAGGTGAAAGTGAAAACAAGAGGTGTTGCTAACCGACATATTGCACCGCTAAAGCAGGAAATCGTGACTGAAGATGCTCCGGAATTGTCCACAGGCGATGGTATTTATAACGTCTTTGCCAGTCATGAGATTTTTGAGAATTCTGGAGACCACATTAACGAGACTAGCAAAAGTAAAGAAAACAGCGACAAAACTTATTTAGAAAAGGAATTGGTTTCTGAGCCCGACTTTAGACATGTTGAATGCGTGCCAAGTACAGTAATTGTAGGAAAGAAGAACGAATGCGGGGATTTGGGAGAAAGATATGGAGCCAGCGAGTCGTACGCAAACAGTTCCAATAAATCTCGGCGGCAGCGAAAGAAACAACAAAGAGCAAACAAAGTCCTAACGCTTGGAAATCTTAACAACTCGGCTCTCGTTGAGTCTGACAGCGACGACCTGATGGAAGACTACGATTCAACTGACGAATCGGATGAAAGCGCCGAAGAGTTCAGCGAGTTTCTTGCACTGGACGGTATTAACTCTGACGACGACGCGGGTGACTGTTTATGCTGTGTTATACACGATTACTTTGACAGGTGCGGAACAACATTGAAAGCTGAACCACGGATAATAAAAGAAAAGAACATTTTGTTTTCATTTTATTGAACATTTGTTTAGTTTAGATACTATGAACGTGGATCCTACGTGGATGTTTTTACAGCAATTTTATGATTGTAATACAAGAAAATTTCTTTCAATTTTGAATGAGATCGTCTTACATTACATATAACATGGGTTTAAATAAATCTCAAATAATACTATAATGGAATATTTTTTTGTTTTAAGTTTCAAAAGTATTTATGACAATTTTAGAACTCAATCATGTCAATGTCCATATGTTGTTTTTACAACGACGTATGGGTAGACTCAATCGTGAAGCTTTTGAAAGTGTTTATCTCCAAATTTTTAGATTGTGGCATTCATTGTTGAACATAAAAATACTACTACTAGAGGAATGTACATGCACTGCATTGGTGAATTTGACCATTTGAAAAGACTTAAGCAAACCGGAACAACAACAATAGGCAGATCTATTTTTATTTTAAAAATTTCACAAATAAGGCGGTGCTGATATTTTTCTATGTTGGTCACCATCACATACAGCATAAACGACTGACTATACTTGGTTTATAATTTTGTTGAAATTGTTCCTTTCCAGTAGTTCACTGCTGGGTTGTTCTTTTCAACTCGTATATTTTATGAACTGAAATAGTGTATTAAAGGAGCTATTAATGAATATATAGAGGATATTCGATGTTTTGTAGTTGAATATGGAATTTATTTCACGAGTGGGACAGGATTTTTGATATTTTCACGAGTGCGAAGCACGAGTGAAAATATCAAAAAATCCTGTCTCATGAGTGAAATAAATTCCATATTCAACTACGAAACATTGAATTTTCTGCTTACATGTATGTATTACATTTTTAAAAACAAATCTTTGATTTTTCCTTTGCCTCTGCCTTTTTGTAATACAATGATAGGCTACATGACGTCATAGTTGAGCGGTTGAGACGTCATAGCTAAGTGAGGTGAAAACACTGTAAACATGGATTTAGCAAAATATTTTGGTAATTTTTGACAGTTTCATTTGCTGTCAGAATGGTTTATTTATTTCCATCTATCTTATTTTATGTCAAGGAAGTTTTTTTTACAACAATCTTCGTTATGGGAAGGGAAATCTCGAGTTTTCCCGCACTTCTGATATTCGTCACACTGTGACAGGATATCATTTTGATATCCTTTCATACTGTGACAGGATATCATTTTTATTCAATGAATAAATTACAGTATATCACGGGTAAAAATGTAATAAAAAGATGACAATTATATTAATGGCGAAGTATTATAATTATAATTCCTGAGAACTATGATGATCTGATTAGAACTGTGACTCGTTCGTATTATTTTGATTACCGTAGCCTATGTATTTAAAAAAAGGCCCCTCCCCCTCTTTTAAAAAAGCATTTTAGGTATGTCATCTGTGGCACAATTTAAAACACATTTCGATACAAATTTTATTAGTCATGCACAGGCACTTGTTTCGGTAATAAATTTTTAACCCACAGTATAAAAATAACATGGATTAAAAAATTTACTATCGAAACAAGTGCATTTGTAGTCTTGCTATAAACCATGCCAATTTTTGTGCAAGTTTTGATGCTTCCAATCTTTAATGTATTACTTAAGCATGTTTTTATTTTTATTTTTTTTTTTTTACAAGTGCGAGTCAACTATCTATATTTAAAAAAAGGCAATGCCCTTGTTCTTATATATATAATAATTGATTCCAGCCAAATACATTGTATTCTAATTAATGAAATTACTGTGCCTGGGGAAAAAGGTGACGTTCATGCACCATCAATTTACATCGGGATCGACATTCCTATTTATTGGACTTCGAACAGGCGACGACAGAACGGTCAAAATCTAGACTTTTGGCCCAGAAAATGAACTCTGCTGTCCCATTTTGACTGGTATTGAGTTATAGACTTGTTTAAGACATGGAGCGGCTTCAAGTAACATTCGGACATCTGTCCACCACAGCATCACAGAGTGACCAGCAAACAGTTCTGACCTGTGAAACAGCCGCAAAAAGGTTCCCCGACAGTCCAGATGATGTCGTAATTATTTCTGCTCGTAGGACACCGATTGCTAAAGGAAATAGGGGATCATTTAAGGTATTTTATGTACAGACACTTGTTTTCTATATAGGGCACCCCTCACAACTCAGAGGCTTGTTTCATACAGAATCATTATTGAGAATGCTACATGTAGTTTATTGTGATTTAGGGGGGCTACAACAGCATAGCAGTATTACTACAGCAGCGTATAGTAGTTAACCAGTGGCGGATTTAAGGGGGGCGCACCCGGCGCCCCCCCCCCCCTAAAATTGTCAAAGATAACGTAACTCACAATTTCGCCTAGAAAATGTAAATATGTCTACTTGAATGGTAGACCTCATTTTTACCCTACAAAATCTCCAGAACCCAGGAGCTTCCGGGGGCTTCGCCCCCTGGGCCCCCACCAGGCCTCAAGGCGGCCCCCAGACCCCTTGCCTACTTTTGGCACCCCCTCTAACTTCCATTCCTGGATCTGCGCCTGTAAACAACATGTAAGGCTTTAGGTATCTATGAAACAAGCGCCTGTGGTCAGCTGTAGGTTAGTTTCTGACTCTCAGTCTCTACCAAAATAAACTTATACATGTAGATTGTGAAGTACGTGGAGGCGAAAAGATATGGGGAAAATGAAGAGTAGGCCTAATGATCGAAACTCATTTATTCCCATGATTAATTCTGCAGTAAAACTTGTTTATGATGAAGTGCAAGGGAATGACAATTTTGCTTCTTTATAAGTGCTATTCATTATTTCCATTAAGTTTACAATATATTTCAAAGCCACAGAGATTAAAAATTGCTTTGCTGTGAGCGCTAATCCATTGAAGAAGTGTGATCCCTGTAAATGTGTTCTACTGTATTTTTTTTAGGAAACATTTCCAGATGATCTACTTGTACCAGTATTTAAAGCTGTTCTACAAGAGGCCAATGTTGCACCCCAGGACGTCCAAGATATCTGTGTGGGTCAGTAAGATATCAAATCAGATATATCATATTAGATAACTGTATCAGTCAGTAAGATATCTGTCAGATATCCTTTATCTTGGATATCTATGTGGGTCAATAAATTATCAATCAGGTACTGTAGATCACTAAATTTTCGCGACACCTTATTTTCGCGAGATTGTCATCATTGACTCTTTGTAAGCGAGACATAATTTCACGAATAGTTGTTATTCCAATTTATAATCGAAAGGAATACTTTTATACGCGAGAATTAAATTTTCGCGAAAGCATTGTCTCGCGTAATTACGCGAAAATAAAGTTCTCTCGAATAAAATGTGATTTACAGTATCATATTAGATATGTGTGTCAGTCAGTCAGTAAGAAATTAATCAGATATCTTACTAGATATCTGTGTCTGTCAGTCAGAAATTTATCAGATATCATATGATATATCTGTGTCAGTCATTTTGGAGTCAGTTGTCTCATAAATAAAATGTTTACAAACAAGTTTTAAGAGATCACAACTGATAATTTTTTTACTGCACTGTTGTGATTATATTATTTAAAATTACTAAAACAGCAGAATATTGATATCTCTAATATTATTTCTTTAATTCCAGGATATCTTAATAGGGAGTTCAAAACAATGAAATTTAATTGTATTTTTCATTTTGTTGGAACTATTGATGACAATCTTTATTTATGTGAAGTTCAAGAGAAATGAATTTGACGTACTTTTTTTGTAGGAAATGTTGGTGATCCCAGACCAGCTGTTTCAGCCAGAACTGGGCAGTTCTTCAGGTGAGTTAACCTTGAAGGGGATATTAATATACAGTCTAACCTAATTATTTAGAAAACAACTGGACCAAGTAAATAAATTCAGATATATATCTGAGGATTTGGGATTAAGGGTTAAATTAATACTGTAAGAATTATAAGTGGTTTGAACTTCTAAATGATAAGATATTGATAACACTAAAAAGGTTGTTAAAAAAAATTACGAAGAAAGTTTTTGACCTTTAATTCCTCAAAGGCATGTTTGCTATTAATCACATTAATTACGATTTTCAGTGGAATACCAGAAACGACCCCTATACACTCTACAAACAGACAATGTTCCTCTGGATTACAGGCTTGTATGAATATAGCAGGTGAGTGGGTGTGTGCATTGGGGGAATGGTTGGGGGGGGGGGTAGGCTTGTATGAATAAAGCACAAGGGGGCAAATAAATGACAAATTATATGAATTGATTTTTTTCATATCCTAGGTGCCATAAAAACAGGTCAGATTGACTTAGGAATTGGAGCAGGGTAAATACGCAGTTCTTCCCCTTTGTTTTAGATGAAAACAGAATATAAATGCTATTTATTTAAAATCAACTTATGTAACACAGTGAAAAGAATATTTTCATTGATATATGAAAAAGATGTATTTGTTTATTGTATTATTGAAAAGAGTGGAATCTATGACGATGCACAGAAACACGGGTTCTACAGTTCCAATAAACCCAGCAGTGTTTGACCACGATCTTGCCAGACAAGTTCTCATCCCTATGGGGTAGGACCATGAAATTCTGTAATAGCAAGAAAATTAAAAAGACAGTGAATAGCAATATATACAGTGTGTAAAACAAGAACTAATACAGTCTAACCTTGTTATTCTTGATGTTTGTGCTCATTTGCAAGTAGTCCTAATTAACGATGCATTTGGAATACTGGAAATTGGAAGATGTTAATTTCTTCCAGTAAAGCATTATAAGAATTATGTGGTTTGACTGTATACAGTATATTATGAGAAAGGGAGGCTTGTATTTCTTAAATTGAGGACTCATTTATATTGTTAAGATATGCATATAATTAACATTTACTTTTATACATATGGGCATATTTTTAACAGGATCATATTTCATATTCAAAATTAGAAAATATATTGCATGAATTTGTTGAATTGCCAATATGTATGGAATTCACTTAAGTACATGGTGACAGATTTCAGCAGAAAGGATGAGACAACAGATATAGCATAACAAATTAATCCAATTCCATAAAAAAGTATGTCTACCATTTATTAAATGAATAAATTTAATTTTTTCAGGATAACATCTGAGAATGTTGCAGAGAAGTATGGAATCACCAGAGAAGAACAGGATAAATTTGCTCTGCTATCTCAACAAAGGTCAGAGGTTAGGCATTGAACAAAGGTCAGAGGTTAGGCTTTCAACAAAGTCAGAGGTTATTTTTTTCAACAAAGGTCAGAGGTTAGGCTTTCAATAAAGGTCAGAGGCTATGTTTTTCAACAAAGGTCAGAGGTTAGGCTTTCAACAAAAGGTCAGAGGTTAAGCTAAACAAATGTATTCAAGGGAAACTAGCAAATATAAAGTAGTGCTTTGTATTATACAAATCATTACAATTAAGACTAAGTTTAAAAATTTTATATTCAAAACAAGTTGTGATGCCTAAAAAATATTTCTTTGTATACATATAATGAAAGATTACCATTCAGGGTTTGTGAGAAATACAAGAATTTCAATTCTATTGCCTGTAGAAGAAAAAAAATTCTCAAGAGTATGTTCTTTTGAATTCTTGGAAACTTTTGGAAGTTTGAGTAGAACAATTAACCTATGCTGTAATTTAATAATTATTAGTGTCATCTTTTATTGGCAGCTTGAAATTAACAGCAAAATGAATGGTTCTGGCAATAAAATAGTCTTGAGTTTAAGATAAAAAAAGTCAAGGATATTAATTGCACTTGAAAGAAAGCTGGTTTACAGTTGTTCAGACAAGTTTTACTTTAGTTGTTTAATTCAGGTTTTTCCGTTCAATATTTACAGGGCAGGAAAAGCACAACAGACGGGGGCCTTCAACAGAGAAATTGTCCCCGTGACAACCAAGGTCACAGATAAAGATGGAAATGAGCAAACTATCACTGTGAGTAAAAAACTACTGTAAATCACTTTTTATTCGCGAGAACTTTATCTTCGCGTAATTACGCTAGACAGTGAGCACGCGAAAATTTCATTCTCGCTTATAATAGTATTCCTTAAGATCATATAGAGAAATATTAACAATTCGTGAAAATTATGTCTCGCTTATAAAGAGTCGATGACTATCTCGCGAAAATAAGGTGTCGCGAAAATTTAGTGATCTACAGTAAATTAATTGTAAGTCAGTGTTTCTTTCCTTAAACTAAGATACAGTAATGGAATATGATAACTGTGTTGTACATACCGTATAAGTGGAAATTTTAGCGAGATGCAAATTTAGCAATTTCTACCTAAAATCTAGTACTTTATTTTTAGCGAGAATTAATTTTAGCGATTATTTTAAAATGCTAACTAAAGAACCTATTACAAATAATACGTAATTAATTTTTAGCGATGTCAGCACCCTCGCTAATAATGCCAAAATTAAATCCTCGCTAAAAATTCTACTTATACGATATTTTGTATCATAAACTTCAGACAGACAAGCTGCAATTTCTTTGATAATTTATAGCAGTGTAGTATAACAATATATTTTTGTTTTTATCTGTGTATTTTTATACTTGAATGAAAACATCGACTGACTTGAATTGAAACATGCACTTGTGAACGACTCAATTTATCACTGAGTGTATTATATGGTTAAAATCTTAGCTTCTTAGGATGTCCTTCCTTAATGTAACTTTAAGCACTGCTACATGTACCTCAACCAGACTGTCATGGATGATGCAACTTCCAAAACTCTTTCCTTTTCACTTATCCTGAACTCTAAGTCATATAATGCATCATCCAAAGCATGTATGGTGGTGTGTATTCTATACTATGCATCACCCATAAAGTTATCATAAAGAAAAGTTCGTCATATAAAAATCACCTTAATCTTGATGACTTTCCAAAAATGGCAAAATATATTTCAATGAGTCATTCATTTATATTAATAATAAAATAAAATCTTGAGGGGAATAATTGGACAATAATTATTACATGTATAGCCTTTAAACTTTACAATTTTTGGAAAAAAATATGAATTAACTCATTTTTTCCAGGGAGAGATTTTTTTCTCTTATCATATTGTCAACAAACTTGAATAATAATGTATGGCTTGCAAATATGTGAAGAGTATGAGTTGTCTCTAATTGTGCTTAGGTCTATAGGACTTTGCTGTTGTTCTTTAAAAGGTCACTAAAGATGAAGGGCCCAGACCCACAACACTAGAGAAACTGCTGAAACTGAAGCCAGCTTTTAAAGAGGGAGGATCCACTACTGCAGGTTGTGAATCACAGTACTTGTGGTCCTGTATTCTTCATTGATTCTTAGCTACACTAAATGTATATCAATTGCTATTTGCAATTGAGATTTTACTTAGCCATCTTGAATTTCAAAGGGATGAAGAGTTATCTTCCTTTGAATCTGCTTTAAACTTTTAATACATATCTGGAAGCAATTTGTGTACAGTCCCACTAAATATTCTCATAAATATAGAATTATATTTCAATATAAACCCTACTAACTTGTACTAAGCAAACATTTTTCATGTATTATCCCTTAAGAATGTTCCCTTGATAAGTCACTAGATTCAGGTTTCACTATATTCTATTCTATAGGAAAATCTAGCCAAAGTTATGAAAAGTTATCTCCCTTTAAATCTCCTTTTAATTTTCACACATCTAATACTTTCTGAAGCTTTTTTTGTACTGTCCCTCTAAATATTCCAATAGATGTAAAGTTATTTTCATGTTAACCATACTAACTTGTTCTAAGTAAGCATTTTTAATGCATTATATCAAGAATTTCCCTTGATACACTGTAAGACACTATAGATTCAGATTTACTGTATTCTGTTCTGCAGGGAACTCCAGCCAGGTAAGCGATGGAGCAGCTGCCGTACTTATGGCCCGGAGGTCAGAAGCCAAACGGCGAGGGATGAAGGTATTCGGGGTGATCCGAGGCTACGCTGTGGTGGGCTGTCCCCCAGATATAATGGGCATCGGACCAGCTGTGGCTATTCCAGAGCTTCTCAGAAAGACAGGTATTTTAATTTTACTTAAATTTAATTTCAAATATTGTAAACCAAATTTTTTCGTGTGCAAGAAATTTTCACGAAGTTCCAGGAGCCTTGTCATCACGAATATTTTTCAACTGTTGTGAGCAGTGTAGTTGAAATCACGAATATTTTTCAACTGTTGTGAGCAATGTAGTTGAAATAAGAAAGTTGATCAGTAGATTTGAAATAAAAATGCCAAAGCAAATGGAATGAATCTTAATAATCATTTTATAAAATCCGGAGGAATGCAGTTGATTTCAATTGACCAAATTTTCTGAAAGAATAAAGATATCAAAAGATATATAAATCCAGTAACGTAACCTTCAGTTGATTTGTTTCAGGTTTAACTATTGATGACATTGATGTTTTTGAGATCAATGAAGCGTTTGCCAGTCAGGCCTTTTACACTGTACAGAAGCTGGGAATTCCCTCCGAGAAAGTGAACCCAGTAGGTGGCGCTATAGCTCTGGGTCACCCATTGGGCTGTACTGGGGCCAGACAGATTGCAACACTCCTACATGAGTTAGAAAGAAGAGGAAAAAGGTTTTGTTTTTTCCTAATCCTTGATTGCACTTGATTCTTAATTATGAGAGGCCATTAAGGACATGTCAAAAATATTTTTCGAATTCTTTATAATGAATTGTCAGAAATTTGTGAAATTAAATTTGATTTCATAAAACATAAACATCAAAGGAATCCAATTTTCAATCAGCACTCAGATATTTTTAAACAGACTGAAACCTGAATTGAAGCAAATTACTTTCATCAATACCTACAGACTTTGATTAATCAAGAAGAAAATATATTTTTAAAAAGCAGCAACATTACAGAATACTTAAAATTCTTTTCCTTACATTCAAAATCTATCTAGATACAAAATGTTAAAATCAAAAAAAAAAAAAAAAAAATAGCATCAATTTTCCAAAACATTCCTGACACCAATTAACCGCATATAAAGAAAATGGTAGTAACCATGTACATGTACAAAAAAATTAAATAAAATGAGGTCTACTTTGTGTCTTTTTCAGGGCCTTTGGTGTGGTCTCTATGTGTATGGGGACAGGAATGGGGGCGGCCTGTCTGATTGAGTACCCAGGCCCAGCCTAACAGGTGCTTGTGGAGGAGGTGGGGCTTAGGAGAGAGAGGAGGAGCTTGTAAAAGGAGGAGGAGTCAGGGGGAGGAGCTTGTGAAAGGAGGAGGCATCTGTGATATTTATCAAAGAAATCCTCATATACTTGGGATTTTCCTTGGACAAAGACATTCTACAATCTTGTATTTTTATTGGCCATCATAAGAACAATGAACAGGGAAAAAAATTGGTGCTGCATTTTTAATTGATGTTAAATTTGTGTACTGATACTTTATTTTTGATGTAAATTTATATATGCAGATGATATAATGTTATTTATATGCTTGATTGGAATTATATAGTCATTTTACAGTGGGTTAAATCAAATAACTGAATGATTAAGACAGGATTTTGATTCGCAATTCAATCATTCTTAAAAACTAGAAATCAATCCGAGTCTTTAAAATATAATCATTACTAACAATAGTTCATGTTTAATTTGTTTTTAATTTATTTGTCATGTAACATCAATCATCATTAATCATGATATGTTTTCTTACTTAATAAACTATTCATTCCAGAGTTTGTCTGTTTCAATGAAACTGAAGGCATGATTAGTTGATTACTACAGTATAAGTAAATTAAAAAGATTATTCTATGAATATGATGCAATTGCCTTGCATTTCACAAAGATGTGTAAATTTGCCAGAAAGTGCCACAACTGGCTGAGGCTAATAATGATACTTGTACTTAACAAGGTTTGAATGGCTGAAAGAGCTCAGTGTGGAAAACCTGTGTTGTTGTCTGCTCTAGAGTCATAAAGTAAGGAGTTGATCCTTCAACCCTAGGCTCGAATCCCAATGTGGGACATGGAGACCAGTCCTTCAGGATGCGACCATATAAGCCAAGGTCCCATGTCACATTAGGTGCAGGCATGAAAAAGATCCCACACTGCTCAATGGTCATTAGTGCAGAGTATAGGACAAAATTTGCAACTCTTCATGGGCAAGTGGTGGCATCTCCATATGAGTGAAAATTTTCTCCAGTGGGATGTTTAACAACATTTAAATCTAACAAATCTAAGAACAGAATTTACAAAATGTAAAAGTAAAGAACCATATACATGTATATAAAACAAGAGGCCCATGGGGCACAATGCTCACCAAAGTAACTTTGGCCATACTGTTCTTCGCCAGATTCTCCCCTTTGTAGTACCTATTGTGGCCCAACCCAATGCCCAGGGGGGAGGCATGATTTAGAAAATTAAGAATCTACACTACTCCTGGATGCTTCCACATAAAGTTGCAGTTCTTCTGGCCCAGTGGTTCTTGAGAAGAATTTTCCTACATATTTCAATGTAAAAATTGGATTCCCTATTGTGGCCCCATCCTACCCCAGGGGGATTATGATTTGAACAATTTAGAATCTACACAATCCCAGGATGCTTCAGATCCACATACAGTTTCAGCTTTCCTGGCTCAGTGGTTCTTGAGAAGGTTTTTCCTATATTATAACAAAAGTGCATATATTGAACTGATACTTAAAGCAAGTTATTTTCAGTTATTTTCATTCTCCATCATTTTAACATATTTTGTAAACCTAAGAGATAATATAATTATAACATGATATAATTTTGAAAGCAGAATAGTCCTTCTCTTACACTTCATTATAACTTTATTTTACTGTATTGGTTACTTTTTTCAGAGAAACAAAATACAAATTTTGAAATTTAGTACTTAAAATGTATTCTCACAACATGCACAAGTTTAAAATGTATAAATGTTTATAATGCTAAAAAGAGATAAGTTTATACTCAACAGAATAAATTAAGAAATACATGTATTACAAAGCATTCATAAAAGTTTCTGAACACGTTTTTGTGTTTTCTCTACTCTAACATTTGCATCCTCTACTGTTTTTGTAAGTTTATCAATTTTCTCGTCCTGATCCACCATTTCCTGTTGAACTCCGAGAGCCAGAGATTTCAAATCTCCCAGAATGCTGCTGAGCTCAGACACTTCCTGGTCACTCACAATTTTCTGAGGGGCCTGTAATGACACTTCCTGTGATTGGTCCCTTGGATTTATCGCTGGATTTGATTGGTATTTTCCTGTCATGTGATCACCAGATAGTAGAATTCTGACTGCAGATATATTACTGTCCAACATATCAGTTTTTTGATGAAACAGTTCCTCTGTAAGATTTAAGAAAAAAATATTAGTATAAAATCAAATTTGTGCAAATCATGATCCCTAGGGGTAGGGTGGGGCCTCAGTGGGGGGAAATTAAGCCATGATTCGTCATAACGATATGGAAGCATCCCAAGTATTGTAGATTCAAGTTTGTTCAAGCCATCCTCCAGCGGTAGGTTAATTGGGATCATAATCATGATAATGGGGGATAAAAGTTCAAGATATCTGGACCTCTCAAAGGAAATTTTGTTTTGGGAAATGAAAGCACTGATTAAGTCTCAACTATATGGTAGTGTACTAATATTTGCAGTATTTGGTGTACAAAATTAATCAGTATAAGGACAGGGCCCACTTTATGCATGAAGTGAACATAATTCTTTACCTATATTACATGTAGTTGGAAACAAGTACATCTAGTACATGTAATTTGCAATACCTATATTACTATCACTAGGATAAAGTTGTCTTTAAAACGTTCAATGTAAGCACAGTGTTTATGATAATATTCAAGAAGCATGTAATGATGTATACATTTACTAACTAGAGGAGTTGGTGTTGACAGTCTTTGTAAGTGGCTTCATGTTTGACGATTCTCCTCTGAAAGCATCCTCGGAATATTCCACTTTACTACGAAGTCGCTTATCCAGGATACTGAGCACACTATACACAGACGTAAACACAAGGCTGTACAATATATCAGCTTTCCCTATTTGAAACTGGGTCATTGTGATTTCCCACAAACTAACGACGCGAACTCGAGATACATCTTTCCACTTGAAGCTATGAACCATTTTCTGTTTTTCTGTCATCAGATAAATTCCGTCCTGAGCCACTCTGAAGGTCCCTAAATTCTGTGCGTTGAGTTTGTTTGGTTCCAGTTTCGTGTACAGAATTTCGAAGTCCATCTCCATGGAGAGGTCAGCATCGCTGACCATTAAGGGGTCATTGGTTTTGTACTCTTCTGGTAGTGACCAGCGGCCAAGCCAGGATTCTAAACCTGAAAGAAGATTCTCCGTCACATCCAAGTCAGAATGAAGGTCCATCATTGTTGCCAGTGCTGAATCAAACTGATGACCCTACAGGATATAGATTAGGTACTTATAGTCAGGAGTCCATACTTAACACATTCTGTGACAAGTTTCCATAATATGAATTTTTTTGGAAACTAGATTCATTTAATCTCTGCCTGATGGTAATTGTTACATCTACATGAAAACATTTACGATATCCAACATGTTCAATCAAAACATTTACCAGTTAATGTGATACAAGTGTACTGTACTACATACAGGTATAATATGCTCAAAACTTGTCTCAATATGACCCCCCAAAAACATCAAAAGATTCAAAATACCAACCAAAGTTAAAAGTGCACTTCAGCTTATTCACGGTATTCAAGATATACAAGTTCAGGATAATAAAGTCCAACTGTATACAGCTCTTTCAATTGTATTTGGTTAAATCCACAATATTTATATGATTCGTATGCTTTTTTATCATAATATAAAATCCAATTAAAATTATTTTATCAGCAATTGTTATAACTTGTTGTACCTGTGTTACAAGGGTTTCTGCAGCATTTCTCAGTGTAGATTCTGAATCAACAGCAACACTCAGTAGCTTGCGGCCCATTTCAGTTCGCCTTTCTATCCCTTTATCTTGTGTAGAGGTGTTCTTTTTCTTTAATAATTTGGTCCTCAGAAAGAAGTTTATATATTGCACAACTGTATGAATATCAGAAAATGAAGAAAACCAATGTTTAGTCCCATTATTTGTTTCCAAAACCATGGCTCTAAATATTAAACCTGTCATAGATTTTGTCACTTGAACAATGTCAGAATAAAGTATATCTAGATTTAGTGTGTTTTCCTGATCCGCTGTAAATCTTACGCCATTGCCCATGATACACAAAGTCCCGTAGATCCATTTTCTTGAGGAGTTGTCATAAAAACTGCATGGCCACGAATTGATAATGTAAGTCTCATGAGTAGAAGACATTTTAAGAAATTGAAGTCAATGTAGCTCCATGGAATTAAACCTACAAGTAGAAAATGTGTCATATTTTAAACTGTATGTTTAGTATTATAGTACAGTGAAGACTAATATGACTCAATTTCATTAGCAGATGTGATCACTCTGTATACAGGTGTGATACGTTTTCAAGTCATAGCATATCTTGTCTGTCATATGTCAAAATCTTTATTGAAATGACTATTTATGTGTGTTTAATTAAAGTAAATAATCTGGAAGACATTCAAGACAAGCTCTCTAAAGACTGCTTTCTCCTGTGCTATGAAGGGCAACCACATAAACTTGTCACGCAATATTTGCCATCTGTTTGATCAGCAAATACTTAGAACTTTCTTCATGTTCATAGTTAGTCCGAAAAATCTGACGTTTTCCTGGCTTTTTTTTTTTTTTTTTTTTACAATTTTGATATTTTACATGCCAGGAAAACGTCAGAACCGGCGCCATTACGAAAATTGGGAATTTCACCGTCTTCAACTGGAGCTTATTTTCGATACTTGTGAACCGAACTAAATGCCGAAATTAAAATTTATCAAAAGCACAATGCCTCTAGTACTCACCAATATCGATGAAAAGAAAATATCACTCCACATTTCGTAACAGGACTTGCAAGATTTTAAAATGCATAAAAAGAAGACAAATCTCGACAGTGTGATAAAAACTTTTTCAACGGATTATTTATTTCATAAATGAACCATAAAAACTGTATTGGTAAGTTCGTTAAGTATTGTACTATTGATAACTTTTGACTTTAAAATCTAATTCAGTTCGCAAGTATCTAAAATCAACTCGAGAATGCCGCCTCCAGTTGGAGGCGGCGATTTCCCAGTTTACGTAATGGCGCCGGTGTAACGTTGAATATTGACCCGAGTTGAAAATTGACCCGGGGGTCATTTTTCAATGTTGAATATTGAACCGGGGTCATTTTTCAACGTTGAATATTGAGACCAAAAGCCGTTGAATTTATACCCGGGGTCATTTTTCAACAGCTTGATATTTTTTTTTCTTACACCTGATGACGTAAACAAGTTGAAAATTGACCCTGTTGAATATTGACCCCCACCTCAAAGTTTGAACATTTTTTTTTAGCTGGGAAGCTGTTTTACGGTATTTATCATGCAATATCAATTTATTTATATTTCGGTTTCAATTTTTCCCCTTTTCAAGAGTAATAGAAATAAACATACAGTATCACCCCGTGTATATATGTACATTTTGATCAGTGCACGATTTCAGTTATCTTCAAGCATGACAACTTTATTTTTGAAAATACTTTCTAAAATCCATGGCATCCATAAATAACTACAAAACAACGAATAGGCCATAAAACAAAAATCTTAAAAATCTGCTGTCTAGAAAGTGAGCCCTATATATTTTGATCAGGTGAGTGATACATCCCATCTAGTCAAATTCAGTATAAAAATAACAAAATTAATAGCCTAAAAATTAGAATGAAACACATTGACCAAAATGATTCCAATGACAGGTTATATTTGTGAAAAAGAGCAATATTATAGCGACCATAGCATGTAAGTAATGCTGACTTTAAATAAATTGTTGAAATCCCTGTAACAATTAACTTATTTGTCAGTAGCCTGTGTCGGCTACTGCCATGATTGCATTCTGGGAAAATGACAACTTAAACTAGAATTGGTTGTAAACTCAATTAAACAGGAATGTAAAGTTTAACATTATTATCGGATATGAATCATTTTATCACATAGATTGACAAAACAAAATTTGAAAATATGGGAATAAGGCACAAGTTTTCTCTCTTCAAGACTTAGAGACTAGATATCAGCATAAATCAAGCTGTTGCTGTTTAATATTAAATAAATGTGTTTCGTTTTATACATTGATGGAGTAATTATAGAGGATTTAGTTATTCAGAATACTAATTTAATTATTTGATTATGTCTCGTATCAATTTTTGACAAAGATATCCAATATGTTTTAATATAAAGTACATGTAGATCCTAATTCAAGACTTCAAGACATTGTTACGTCTCATCAATTACGGAACATTAAAAAATATTAACACAAGTTGTAGTAATTTTTTTCAGAAACATCAAGTAATACTCTGTATTATTAATTGAGAAATCAATACTATTTGATGTCACCCACTTTATAAAATTTTCTAAAAGGACTCATGCAATATAACATATGATCACAAGAAAAAAAAACATAAAGTCAATATGCATTTCAGATTCTATAAATGGTAACTCAAGTCTTTATGCTGTTATACTTTATCATGTGATAAAGTTTGAGCCAATCAGAGAGCTTAGAATAAAAGATGATATCACCTTTTACTGCTAAATACTAGTAGGTGCTATCACCTATTTGAATAAGTGGTATCACCCATTCGAAAAGGTAATGTTACCTATTTGAGTTTCTTACAACAATCAGTAATGAATGCTCCCAATAATTTATAGATTACCACTGGAACCAAGAAAATTCGGACTACCCAGTTTTCATGCGTTTTCTACGATTTTCTTGTTGTATACATGATATATAAGTAAAATAATTTAATTTGCAAGCAAAAAAAATTACAGCTGTTCGACGGGAAAAGGTGATATCACCCAATCGAATAGGCGATATCACCAATTCGAATAAGTGATATCACCTTTTCGAATTGGTGATATCAAAAATTCAAATCAAATAGGTGATATATCTATTGGAACAGGTGATATCACTTATTCAAATAGGGGATATTACTTTTTGCAGCAAATACCAAAACGGGGCCTCATACCTATGAATTAAATCACAGTAGTTAAAACCCAATCATAAATATGTGTTTTTATGCTGTTGAATTTTGAACCGGTTTCATGATCAAAATTCCACGACCCGGCTCAGTTTTCAACGGATTAGGGTCTAAATTCAACACCTTTGGTCTCAGTATTCAACGTTGAAAAATGACCCCCGGGTCAATTTTCAACCCGGGTCAAAATTCAACGTTACACCGGTTCTGACGTTTTCCTGGCATGTAAAATATCAAAATCGTAAAAAAGCCAGGAAAACGTCAGATTTTTCGGACTAGTTCATAGTATGTCCGGAGACATAAAAGAACAAGTTTTGGTATAAATGCATAAAATATTTTTATGTCAAGCTACATTTTTGTATTGACTTGGCAAAAAGCTCAGCTCATGGACACTAGGTCAACTCAAATAAATATTTCTTTCTGAAAATAACAAACTTTTTACCGTCCTCTCGCACTGAGTGTTTGTTTCTCTTTATTCTTCATCGTCTACTTTCATTTTCCAAAAATAATTTAAGAGTTATGTACCTTACCGGAAGTGTTTGAATCATGGAACACCATTGGCCAGTCTTGTCAAAGTAACGGTCGGTTTAATTGGTGGATACTGGGCGGTATGTGTTTCCCATAGTATCGAGCATGTGGCTGTCAAGTATTAACAGGTAACTTCTAGGAGATTTACATTGTTTACTTTTGTTTTTCTGAATGAATGGCCAGATTTAAATAAACATGGTCCTTTTAAATTCCCAGACCGTTTCGGTGAGTAAAAGTTATGTTTTCTGTTTCCACTTTTTGTGAAAAACGTGTAAAATATGAGAGGGAGAAGAAAAAGATCTGCATCTGGTCAATATATCAGCTGATCAGATGAGTGATCATTGCAGTATTACTTTGCATTTCGTATCATTCACTTCTAAACCCGATTAAGAAAGGGGAATCGAGACGAGTATACCATACTATAACTGTAAACAAAATTTTGATCTGTAATATTTCTGAATAAAACAAAAAATTAGATCCTATGACAGCACATTAACATTATAATGCTAGCATCTTTGATGCAGTGTGGCATTTGCTTGAAAACAAAATTCAGCATATTTACTGAAATTTGTTTTGACAATTCAGTTTGATTATATCAGAATCCCCATTATGTAAATTTACAACATAAATAAAGATAACTCAGCTGGATACTATTTAAACCCAATGTTTATTTGACAAACTTCCAAAGTAATTTATTGAATATATATTGTGTTTCATTTTTAAGGCTGGCTTAGGCGGCATTGTAGCCTAAGTTCTTACTTCCAAATTGCTGAAATTTTAAGAAAAAAAAATCACATGCAGCAACCATGATCTGCTTCATAGACGAGTTATGACTATAACTGTGACAACACTTAATGTTAAAATTTATTCAGATTAAAAAATATATTTTTAATGTTAAAATTTATTTAAATTAAAAAATATAGTAAGTCTACAGTTTTAACACTTTACATTAAATTAATTTTTATGTGAAATAACGAATGCTAGCTGTTTGTGTTAGTGATGGCATTCAATCCTGGATTCCATGTTTAGATGTAACGTTAAATGGCTGGTTGCTTTTAGAATTAAGTTGGGCAGATAATGATTTCTGTTGGATCATTAAAAGTGCTCTTTTGCAAGGCCATGCTTTAAATAGTTGTGCTGACTTATGAGTTTACTTTATCATAGGACTGTCTTTGAGAGTCAATGCAATGCGAAATAAAAAAATTCAGAATTTTAAAATGAGTCATATATTCAGATTATATGGTTAGTGTACTTTTTTGTAGTAGAAGTCAGTTTTAAAGTGCACTTTACAGGAGTAAAATATGGGTGTCCCACTTTGTAAATGTTGCATTCTCAAAAGGGTACATCAAGTTAAAGTCTCCGAGCTCTGGCATTTTTTCAAGCAGGGTTTTTGCATGTCAAATGAAGTAAAATGAACTAAATACTCCTGAATGCTAAAATTTTCTATCTTTGACTTTGGCAGCTGTACTATATAGTTTGTTAGTATCCCTTTGCTACAAATTTTGTTGAAAGGGTTATAGTACTCTAATGCGCTCATATATATGCCTTATAGAGTAGACACATGTATTAGAATATTTAGGTTTATTTTATATCAGGAGCAATATGCTGTTAGTTGGGGGGATCGGTGCTCTGCATTGTGGTGACACTGTTTTCGTTATTAATAAATGTTTTCTAATTATAAAAAAAAAGTGAAATATCAGTTAGTAGAGCACATTTTTGAAATATTTGAAAATGTATTTGAAAAACTTTTAAGCATATTAAGATAGCAAGTGCATGGTAGTGTAGCAGAAAGATTCAATGTTGTTGGCTTTTTCCTAATTGCATGATGATGTATGTATTCATGACCTTCATATTTTTTAAAATCTGCAAGAGAGGCATTCGAATGATATACAAATAACCCATGAGACAGCAGATTTGTACAAGAATGCATTGTTGATATTGACAAAGTTTACAATGATCAGAGATAAGGAATAAATTGTGATCATATGATTATTTTGTGTTTTAATATTTTACTCTTTTGTGTCAGTGATCTGATCCATTTAATGAGCAGATTAAAAAAAATTTAAACATGCATGGGAATATGATCATTTAAGGATTTAAAAGAATACACTACCAACTTTTGACCTCGAAATGGTTTATTTTACTGTGTCAATTTGTGAACTAGTTGGCTCTGCAAAATTGTCTTCAAACACTTAACATGTTCAGAATTATGACAAATTTATAAAACATTGTAGCTTTCTTGTGAATTATTTAGAGAAATTCTCTTTGTTTTCATTTTCTGTAACAGATATGCCAAGAATTAATACAATGAACATGGTTCAAACACAATTGTTTCGAACATATAGTATAACATATTGCATAATATACATGTATCATAATTACTATCCAAGGCAGTGAACATGTAAAACCCTCTAGTTAATGGATCTAATTATACCCCACGCAACTAAAGTTGCGGGCCAGGTAAAAAAACAGCTGTTTTTAAAGACCCGTCCGTCATTCAGTCATTCAGTCCGTCAGTCAAGAGCGCAACTTTCATAAACTGCTGCACAGAATTTCGTCAAACTTTGCAGGTATTTAGGACACAATGTGTAGATGTGCATATTACCAGGAAATTTCGATTCCGTTATTTTTTCCAGGAATTTCCGCACTTTTTAACTTAGGCATTTGGCCATACCTTGAATATAGAGATGAACAGTTTGTTTAAAAGCGCAACTCCTCAGTCCCGCTGCACAGAATTTCGTCAAACTTTGCAGGTATAGGACACAATGTGTAGATGTGCATATTATTAGAAATTATATTCCATTTTTTTTCCGGGAATTTCCTCACTTTTTAATTTAGGCATTTGGCCATACCTTGAATATAGGGATGAACAGTTTGTCAAAAGCGCAACTCCTCATAAACCGCTTTTTTTGCACATGAATTTCGTCAAACTTTGCAGGTATTTAGAACACAATGTGTAGATGTGCATATTACCAGGAAATTCCGATTCCATCATTTTTTCTGGGAATTTCCGCACTTTTTAACTTAGGCATTTGGCTATACTTTGAATATAGAGGTGAACAGTTTGTCAGCGCAACTCCTCATAAACCACTGCACAGAATTTCTTCAAACTTTGCAGATATTTAGGACACAATGTGTAGATGTGCATATTAAGGAAATTCTGATCATATTTATTTTGTGTTTTAATTTCCACACTTTCCAACTTAGACTTTTTGGCCATATTTTGAATATAGAAATGAACAGTTTGTCAGAACCGCTCCTCTTAAACTGTTGTATATAGTTTCTTTTATCCCAAAGAGTTTTGCCTATTGTGTCAATTTGTGAAATTTCTCCCCAAAAGTGTCTTCAAACCACTTCAAATTAATGTTTGGATTTGTATAATGCCAAGAAATTTTGATTCCATTGTTTATCTAGAAACTTCTCATTGTTTTCATTTAAATGTCCTCATATGTAAGACATTTTAATGTGAAGATTTTTCAAACACTTTTTGATCATACTATGTATTTAAAAAGCACTTGCCTTTAATTATGTGTTTCACCGTCAAGTTTTGGGGGAGCGTGGGGTATGTGAGCTAGCTCACTTTTTCTTTCATTTCTACAAAAAACATTTTAAATAACTTTAAAACATGTTAAAAAATCTGTAATAAACTTTTTAAAAGTTGATTATTATTAAGCTTGCAGGGTTAAAGGAGAAATTCTACAACTGTTTCTTCAGCAGTCACTTGTCCTGCATGTTTTTCTAGATATATCTTCATGCAGCCCTGATCTAGATTAAAGACAACAGGAAACCGGAAGCTGTAAATTGGAAAATTTATTAATCATGTATAACTGCTATATACCACTTAAATCAATTAACACTAAATATCTGAGATTGTTGAGATATTATTTATTGGTTTTAACTGGGGAGTAATTTGATTGTATGTAAAAACAAAATGTCGTATCACTACCATAAAATTCAGATCAATATTTCTGCTTAAATTTTGAATCTGAAAGTCTCTTGATAAGAAAATGGTATAATTGGATGTCATTGAGGGATTAATCTAGGCATATTTACTACCGATATTTGGTATTTTTTGCAATGAGAAAATTTCCTCTGAACTTTTTTATGGGTGAAAAATTCCCTATACAATAATAAAAAGTTTCAGTATTTTTTCCTTCATAAAAGCTGGTAATATAAATTAAAAATTTTTCATCAGATGTTAAATATGGTTTACTTTGCTATAATTATAGGAAAGTTCAAGTAATATGCTAAAATTCAATTGTGCCCCCAGCAGGGCTATGGAGGGGCCCCCAGACCCCTGACTGATTTTCCCAGTTTCTCCAGACTGAAAGAGTTAGTAGTTTCACCCAAAACTTCGATAAATCCCTGATGAATCTTGAATGTCATGAAAAGTTCGTAAAAATAATCTCCGTCTATTCAATAGGAAACTGATGGACCAAGCTCTGATTTGATTATCACGTTTTTGGCAGACATCACCTGAACTCCCGAATAAAATCAATATTATCTTGTTGCTTATATAACACATTTCCAAGCAGTAAAAAAAATCCACTCCCAAATTCCTGCTATTTCTACCATATTAATGGGTGTTTTATTTTGGAAAGTGTAACTCTGAATTATGCATCAGTGGGTTCCTTTAGAAAGAGTTTACGTCATCTTTGCAGAAAACATCAAAGACCACTGATCAAAGTCACTGCTATGCTTGCTAAAATACCAAGAGACACCCAAAACTCATTGGCACATATCTAATGTACATTTCATAGATTAAAACTTTGTGGTCTGGCAATGCCTTTATTGTTTAGCATTTTGATTTTGTATGTCATCTACATGTAGATCAGTGTATTCTTGACAGAGAACATAAATTCGGCTTCATTGATATTTTATTGATCATTGTGTGGTGATCATGCAGGCAAATCATATAAACCTAACCCCACCCCCAAATAAAATATATATGGTGGACTTATTAAATTTCCAGCCTCTATTCAATTAGAGCTTTGTACATTTTCTAGGTATATAATATAATATGTACCAGATATGTGCACTATACTTTGGACAATCATTATTATGAATGCATGCATTGCAAAAAAACATGCGAGATTTTAGCTTGTTTGACCCACCAGTTATAATTGTTAGCAGAACCAGAGCAATGACTTATTCATTAATTGGTAAAAGACTTTGCTCTTTTTTTTGCACAATAATTAATGTAAGGCCAAAATAAAATTATAGTTTGTTTGGAATTGCCGCCCGCCTCATTAAAATACCCCCCGCTCAAAAAATTTTATTGGCAAAATATTAACAATATTTTTTTTATCGTTTTATCATCTTACATTGTTTAGTTCTAGGTAGTTCGTTTGTCGAAATAGCTTTTTAAAGTCGGGTTTGAGCTCACATTAATTTAATAACTCGGGTCAATAAAACCCTTTCTTCATAGTATTTATGATATAGCGATTATAGGTTGCAATTTGACAAAATAAAAGCCGCCAAAATGTCAGACCATGTTGGAAACATTCAAGAGTTGTGTTGAAGAGCAGAACATTTACGCATCTCTATAAAAATAAAAGGTGAATAAAAAAATAAATGGAATGATACATCGATACCTGGAAAGAGCTATCGTAACAGATAGCAGATTGAACTTGATAAGTTAAGTCCGTCATGTTGAAAAAATGGTCGTTCAGTTCCCACTTAAAAAATTACATGGATCAGAAACGTTTTATCCCAAATACTAAAGGAAAAATGTTGTCTGTCAGTTATGACAAGTCTTTGAAACGTAATGTTAAAACTGATGCATGGTGAAAACTCGAGAACGTACTAAGCACCCCCTCCCGGTTTTCCACAAAACATCTCGGCTATTCCTAAGAAATTTTGTGTGCTTCAAACTGTTTGCAAGCGTTGTCTAAACAGAGGGGTAAATGATAAAATGAAAAAAGGGGTAAATGATAAAATGATAAAAGCATTGTTAATAAAGATTCCTAAAATAAACTAGAAGTTAAATGCTGAAATTTAACTATAAATAAATGAACAGATCTTAATATCCAATGCAAATGAGATTAATATTTGAGTAGTCAGTGCCGTTCTGTGTATATCTTTTCTTTTCAAAATCGGACCAAATAATATTAATAAAATAAAAGAAAGAGGATAATAAATGGAAATTACCACTATTCATTGAGATTTTCTTTTTTTATCATTTAGCTTCAATTTGTAGAAAAAAAAAATAAAATCCCTCCCTCCCTCCTGGGTCTTAAAACCCCCAGGCGGCAATTCCAAACAAACATTTTTTTAAGGATGGCCTAATGTGAATTCTATATTGAACCAAGCCCAGCATTTCATAATTGACTACCAGTAGCCAGTAGCAGTGCTTAGAACACATGGTTTGAGAAAAAAAAAAGTTTTGGATTTGGGACAAAAAAAAAGTGTAATATGGTCTATCTGGTGATCGCATGTAGACATAAGGAGAGGGGTATAAAGAATAAATGATGCTAGTCGTTAAAAACTCTGGCCAGGAATAATTGATTGTGAGCTTGGTGAGGGAGAGATTCCCATTAGAGGGCATATATATCTTGTACTGTTCTGATCTATCTGCTTATGTAACATGCAGGATTAAAAGTTGTCAAGGGGAAAATGAAATTCAGGATTTGTGACCATGGCAAATACAGTTTTGTGTTTTTTTCCATCGTACATCCGGCCCTTTTAAACATTTTTAAAAGGAGATGAGTTTGAACTGGTTAACAACGTAGAAGAAAGTTTGAATTTATATACCATGAATGCCAGTTAAATGTCTTTGAAAAGTGTTCAAATAATTGAACCGTTGGATTTCATATTTGAATTTGGATTTTTAATTTAGAGAGAATTTAAAGGCCTGTGGTGTGTAAAGTGTTATAGTGTCCTAAGGCTTAGAGTACACACCGTAGAACTTAAAATTTAATATGACACATACTTAGTTCTTATGGAGTTCTTTATATGCCTACAAACTTAAGTTTTGTTGTGCCATTTCATTCTTGGTAATAATATTCACTGACAGGTAAATTTTATATATATTACTTACTTTTCTTATTTTTATTCCATTCTTTATAAAATGAAATATACAATTAGTCAATAGTTTTTTGTTATCAAATTTAATTCTGAATTAACATTTTAATGTCATTCTTAATAAAATAATGAAAAAATTTACAAATGATATCAATTCCATCCTATTATGAATATATCTCATTCAGCTTTTGAGATTTACCGAAGAAAACAATCCACAATATATGCCCTTCGCTAATTTCTTTGTGTGATTGGGACGGCACAGCATGTGATAGACGCAAGAATTGTCCTTGATAATTATAAATCTGACAGAAGAGTTATTGCCCCTGACAGGTTCATCTGCAGTGCAATGATTCTTGTATGATGTGTCACTTATTTCTGTCAGCGCTACTCATAACACGTTGCTGCAGAAAGAAATGTGTTAGTAGGAGAAAAATAATGGTCTGATTCTGTTTGTCTTGTTGACTATAGGGTCATGTCTGTAATGATGGGAAGGGGGGGTATGAAGTTTCTGTGTATATTTAGACTACATCACTACATTATTGTAATGTTTGCCAAGAGGGAGAAGAATTAAAGCATTTTTTTTTAATTAAAAATAAGAAAGAAATTAAATAAATTAAGGTATAAAATTATGTGTGGACCACAGATATTTTTTTCTAAATTTAATAAACTAAATTTTCTATTTCTTAATGAAAAATTGTAAACATTTCTTTCAATTTCTTTCAAAATATTTGAATACTAAGGTAAACAATGAAATAAAAATTATTTCAGTAGAGTGATAGTATATTCTGCTAGCATTCATCACTATAGCCTTTTAAAGAACCTTATGTAAATGTGAGAAATGCGGGTACTTTTAGAGATCACTTTAAAAGCTGGCTTTGTAAGTTAAACACCCCTCATTGACAATTTATTGTTGGACAGAATTATGAAATATAACATGCTAGTTTAATGTTAGCAACCTTGGTCATTAACATAAAACTCAAAAGTTTCATCCCTGGTTAGTTTGTTAAGATGGCAAATTGACACAATACATTAATTGTATATTCATGTATTTACATTTCCAGTTTGATTTTTTGAAGATGTTTTTTGTTTTTCTTTTGAGTACATATTTAATTATATATTCCTTCTGTTTGATTTCATTTTTAAATATCTAGAGAATAAATCATCATGCCAGTATGCCCTATAATGTTCCTGTCCAAGTTGATATATTACATTATCTAAGACTATACTAGTCTATGTTTGGTTAACTTGCAAAAAGCCAATGATAATATACATGTACAACCCTTTCAAAGTTTATATTAATTAGGCCTAGAAAAAAAAATATGTTTGTTTCAGCTTTCCCGACCGACCCTAATTTATGGTGCCGATCCTAAACTTTTTTTTAATGCTTTTTGTCCCATGAAGTGCAAGATTTCACCCAGGGAATTATAGTCTCCAACTTTGCATGCTTTTTAAGACAGAAAGAAGTTTGAGTCACCTTTCTATTATAAGTTTAAGTCAGAGAAATGCTTGAAAACACCATTTCTTTTGTCATTAATGTTACTTCTATACAACATGTACAAGTTTTGATTAAAGAAATAAAAAAAAAATTTTCCAAAAAAAAAAATTTGCCTACCTACCTACCCTATATTTTTTTCAGCCTGAAAGCGGAAACAAACATATTTTTTTTCTAGGCCTTAATGACGTTGTAAATGCCACTAAATCTGTGCATCTGAAAGACAAAAATATGTGTACTTGCATCATTTACATACTCTAGTGAACTTAAACTGTTACATGTAATAATTCTCAGAAATAATTTATTTAAAATAATTTATACTGATAATCAAAAATTATATTTGTTGTTAAAATGGCTCATTAGTATTGAATGCTAAAAAAAGAAAGTGAAGTTCGATCTGCAACATTCTGAATAGATCTGATTTTAAATTTTCATTCAATTTCAAAGAAACAACTTCACAAATAAAACAAAATTATACTGCAAATCAAATCTTTTTGAAAAAAAAGTAATGCTTTTATCAAATCTATTTTTCTTTACAGGAATTTATCAGTCCGGCACGGATACTGATGGGTGTCCCATAGCTAGGTCACGTGATGGACCAGCAGCACAGCATAAGTTTATCTTGACCTTTGACCCTGGACCTCCACAATGGGGGACACTAATTTAAGTAACCTGACTGCCAGCTTAGAGGAGCTGTCCCTCAAGAAACAGCTCCCCCTGCGGCAGACAACCCAGAAACCAGTTCTAAAGTACAACCAACAAATAACCCGACCAAACCAGTACTACAACCAGCAGAAAGTGATAGCCATAGGTGAGTAATAATTAAACTAAACCAGTTCTAAAACCAGCAGAAAGTGATAGCCATAGGTGAGTAATAACCAGACCAAACCAATTCTAAAACCAGCAGAAAGTGATAGCCATAGGTGAGTAATAACCAGAACAAACCAGTTCTAAAACCAGCAGTAGGTGATAGCCACACTTTCTGCTGGTTGTCGAACTGGTAAGAATTACCCAGCTAGAATCAGTTTTACACATTAGAAGCTGGTAGTCACAGGTAAGTAATAGCTAGATGTAGTTATTTAGGGACTTGGTTAGAAGGATAACTATAGAAGTTAAATGTAACTTTGACTTTAGAGAGGTCTTTCCTAATTGGAATGGTCAAACATTCCCAAACTGACCCCATGACATTCCACTGAGAAATCAAGAACATCAGTCCTTCAAGTATTGAAATTTTTCAATTGGTGAAAAAAATTCAAACTTTGTCTCTTGCATTCTGAAACCTCGAAACTTAAGTTTATCTAAGTATGCTAAAAAAAAAATTAAGAAAAAAAAACCCGATAACAACAAGCAATAAAAAACAAACACCAAAGAACACAAAATTCAACATGATATGCCTTTTCTCTATAAGTAAAAAAAAAAGTTTATAATGTAGAATGTACTCTTGCACTAAATTTTTCTCTGACCTTGAAAATGATATATATCTGAAAAAAAACACCTTGGCTCAGCAAATTATACCAAAAATAGAAATCTTGCCAGCTTTCCTCTTATAGATAACATTGTATGAAAAGTAAATTAAGTTCTGTAAAAATAAAACCCAGTGAAATTGGAGTATGTCTTGTGGAAATCAGTAAATTCTCAGGGCCCTTATATGAGAGTTATTAATCTTGTGTTAATTGTGCAAGATATCGACTTTCTATTGGAAATCATTGCCGGACAGTGCTCTAATTAGCGCTCCCATCCTGTTGGACTTGTCAACTTCTTGACGGAATCTAAAGCACACAAATCTTGGGTAATTGTAAATCAATTAATTTCTGATGCCCTCAGCTACACCAGTCAATGAGGAGGGGACAAAGACAAGAAAATCGGTAATGAACATTGATTGTTTTGGGAGATTGCGATAATGTTGCTCAACAACAAACGTTTTTAGGAGATATTCAACCATTATCCAAAGTGGGCTTATGGGGGGTTTCATGATGAATCCAATTTGGAGCATAATCTGTGTTTTAGCTTTCATGGACATTTATTGGTAGAAGAAGACTCTAGACTGTATGGTTCCTCTTTAGTTTGGAAATTTTGTTTGTCTCAAATAGGATTTTTTGAAAGATAATATTTCACTTTTGGATGTACGGTAATTTATCCAGAATTTATCGTCTTCAATCTGTAAAGATATTTCTAAATGTTTTTTAAATGATGTATGGTTTTCAAAAAATTTTACTTTGTGTTTACAGTAAAATTCGTTTAGTACGAACACGGATATAGCGAATTCACGGATATAGCAAAGTTTTTCTCGGTCCCTGGCAAAATTTTTAACAAATCTTTGTAAAATTTCACGGTTATAACGAACTCTGATATAACGAATTTACGGATATAGCGAACTGATTCTGAGTCCCGTTGAGGTTAAATATAATGAATTTTACATCTTTTATAATGAATTTTCAAGGATTATAAAAAAAAAAATGATAAATTGAACTGACTTTATTTCCTTTTAGCATTTTTATATAAAATTCAATTTATAATGAAACCTTAGTTATCGAAGATATGTTTTGTAATATTTGCTTCCCTAACATATTTGGTAGTAATACTTGAAGGAAAACATGCATATTGTGAATTTGCGATAATGGTTTTACAAATTCGTTATACGGATATAACGAATTACGGATATAGGGAATAAAATTCACAGATCCCCAGGACTTTGCTATAACCGAGTTTTACTGTAAATGTGTTTTTCTACATGAAGAAGAAAACCAGTACTTAATATTTAGAAGGGAAAATAAATCGGCAGAGTTATTGGGCTATCTTTGTCTTAAGGCTGAATTATGAAAACAAGATTTGTATTTAACTACAGAATAGATGTTAGTTAGCAAAACTTGATAAAATGTTTTGATCTTTTTCAGGGCCCGATGGAAACAGTGCCTATAGCAACCTCAACCAAGCAGCCTTGACCTCTCCTATGGTCCCAACTCCCTTCAGAGTCAGTCGCCACCCCAATCCTGCTCCTGTCCCCTTCAACAAAACGGGGGGACAGACTTACATATCCCCCAACAATGTAGGTAAACCGCCCATTTCCCAGGCTGCCAAACCTCATGCCAATCCTTACAACCGCCCACTCAGTGCCAAAGACATTGTGTCTGATCTGCTGAACCAGAATCATCAAAAAATGGTGAAAACTTTCGGATCCACCCCCAATTCGGGAGTTCCTGCCTCATCTTCTATTTTGGGAAGTGCCAGTAGTGCTTCAAGTAGTAACAGTGGGGGGTCCACATTTCCTGTGAATTCTTTTATGAGGCCTCAGAGCGCTGTTAGAAAAGAGACTAAGGTGATCCAAAAAGATATTATTCCTCCAAAGGAGATAGGTACACTTCAGAGAGAGGCTCATATTGTTCAAAGAGAGGTTTTTGTAGCTCAGAAAGAGGCTCAGAAAGAGAGTTCAAGTTCGAGCAATTCAACAAAGGATCAAAATGTTAAAGTGAGTAATACTGACAGTGTGAAGAAAGCTGTGAAACAAAACACAGATGAAAAAGACAGTGAACCTGCAAGGCCCAAGTCTGCAGCCTTGAGTCAAAAAACAGTCACACAACAAGGGGACCAAGTCATCACACGACAAGGCCAGAACGGGGTCACTGTTATACAGAAAGTGGCTGCCCCACCAAACTTTGGAACTCAGATCAACACCATTATTTCAAAAGTCACAGAGTCTTCAAAAGTAGAACCTTCACAAGCCAGTTCTGTTTCCAAAAGCACCACCCTGAAGCATTCCTCCTCCACCTCTTCTCTCCCCAGACCAGGAATGACCGGTAACAACAACAACACCAAAGAATCCCCCAGTAAAATACGCAATCTGAACTACACCCCCACTAAGCCTTATGAAGAAGTCAAAGATCCCAATCCCACCCCCAAATCCATCAAGGAAGAGGAGAAGAAATCAAAGCAGCAACCAGCCACATTGGAAACTCCAATCTCCGAAAAGAAGCCACCGAAACAAGAGACATGGGCACAACAACTGAAGCAGCCCGTGTCGTCTACTGTGCCCATTCAGGGCCGTGACGGAACGTCGTATTATCGTAAAGGGTCAAAGTCAGAGGTCATGGTGCATGAGCAGAGACCTCCCGTTTTGGGAGCTCCGGCAAGAAACCAGAAAATTCTGGACAAAGTTGATGTGGAGGATGATGCAGAAGAAGACGAAGAAGAAGAGGAGGGATCCACGCCAGGGTAAGTCTGTCTGTGTGTCTGTCTGTGAGGGTGTGTCTGCTTAAATCATAACAGTCTGGATGTCAGTCTTCATACCTATACACCAGAGTTAGTCTGTGTGTCTGTCTGTGTCTGTCTTCATACCTGTGTATCTGTCTGCCTTTATCATAACAGTCTGCTTGGCTGTATGTGTCTGCATGGCTGTCTTTCTTTGAATGTATATGTCTGTCTTCAGTGTTTGTCTAGATGTCATTCTGCATGTACATCTGTGTCTGTTGTAAGTTTTCAAACTACCAGTTTGTCCTTGTCAGTGTTTTCCCTTTATGTCAAAGTAAAAGGTTATAGATCAGTTGTAACAGGCTTTGGACTAAGGTTTATAAACCAAATTCTCTTTGGACCTTACAGCAAATTTTTATTTCAAAGCGGCATTTCCGTTGAACATGTTGAAGCGGTCAATTTTGCCGGTAGCCGGTTCTTAGGGAAAACACTGCCTTGTATCATCGATGTGTCTGTCTTTCTTTCCTTGTCTAAATGGGCAAATTTTTTTTTTAATTTGTTTGTCAATTTGTGGGGAAAAAGTGATTGAAATCATGGAGAGATTAGTTCCATAAAAATTGATTGCACAACATTAGTATTGTAATTTCATTTGATCATGGGTTATATAAAGACAATTATCTCCATCTTTGTGGGTGGATTAGCACAAGCTTAAGTGATGTATAGGAAAATGGAGTCATTTATCTGGTTTGTTTAAGTTACTTTAATTTTCCCTTGACATTAATTTGCATGCAGATCAGTTGCTTTTAAAAGTGTTTCCAGAGCACTTTTTATAAACATGCATATATACAGATTGATAGGAATCTCATTGCTTTGTAAAACTTATTTGGCTAAATGCCTCATCGGGGGTCCCATTCAACATTGTGTAATGCACATTAAAAAACAAAGTAGCTAACCTGTAAATTGATGCACAATCATCTGGATTTTGGTAGAACAATAGAAGAACAAGACATTGACAGAAAATCAGTGCAAGATCAGATTCCTATTTGGCAGGGCAAGGGTTTCCTACCATTTAATGTTTTATTGGGCACGGTGACCCACTGTATCAAATGGCCATAGCTGTTTTGTCCCGCGCCATCACTTCTAGCCTATTCAGGTACCCCCTGTTTGTTTCTTGGAGGTACACTTTGACTGGTAGTCTGCTAAGGTCTGTTACAAAATGCCGGCTGTATGGAGCTTCTTTATGCAATGGAGGTATTGTTACTATTTCATTTCTTGAGTCTGTTAAATGTGCAGCATTCAACATTCAGTGACAGGGGCATTGTTATTATTATATGTATGCACCTTTAATACAAACATTTTTTTTCTTTGTGTATTGCACTACAATTGCTTTTTTCAGCGGTCTTTGTATTCAGATAAATGTTTAGATTTGAGGTTAGGACCTTTCAAATGTGCATTTACAGGGTTGTATTAAGAGATTATACATTTAATTTGAATGTTGATCTTGTATAGGTCTGGATAAGAATTAATACATTTAACACAGGATCAGCACTTGTGTGGGATTAATAGGGATTACTGAGATTTTAGATAATTCATGTCAAGATTGGGTCATTTGAGGAGGTTGTTAAAGTGATAATAAGGTCAAGGATAGAATCAGGAGAGGTCACAGAAAGGGTTGTTAAAGTGATAAGTCAAGGTAAGAATTAAGAGAGGTCATGGAAAATTCAGGAAAAAGTTGTTAAAGTGATAAGAAAGTCAGGGACAGAATTAGGAGAGGTCACAGAGAGGATTGTTAAAGTGATATTGAGGTCAAGGTCAAAATTAGGATAGGTCACAGGGAGGAGAATACAGTCAAAACTTGATATGTCAACTTCTATAGAAAAATACAAAAAACAGATTTCTAAGGATTCCATACATCAAGGTCAAAACACATGTAGGAAAGGTTATTTGGACTTTTATTTCTCTTTGACACATCCCTGGTATTCAAAATACATGTATCAAAGTTCAACCATATATTAACATGATTAAGTAGAAGTTCTGGATCATGACTTTAGATCTTTAACATCTTCAAGAAACTGTAATTGTTTGATCTACATAAACCATTGCTTTGAATATTTTTGATTGATTTGTACCTTAAGCATCTGTTAGTAGTACTAGTTATTTGATCTTGATGAAATTACTGCTTTGAATTTTTGATTGATTGATTTTGATTGTGATGATAAAAGTTTTAATTTTCCAGTTGTAAAAGGAGAATCAGAATTGAATACCAATCCATTATTAATTAACATGATTAATAGAAGGCAAAATTATTTTTTGTTTTCAAATATTTTAAATCCTTTGGAGTCAAGGTCATCTAATATTCTCCAATGCCATGAAGGTTATTGGTGGTGAACCCTGAAGTGTAAATTTCAGGGTTAAAATCATGTGTCCTTGCTTTGCCATCAGAAAGGATATATAAGATTCAGCATTCATGTTGAAAATGGCAGTGGTCAATTTTAGGTAATAGAGTTAAGTCTGGACCACAGAGCGGTCACTGAGTTGAAGGAACCTGTCAATTTTTAATGAGAAAGTGAACTGTGAGACCTTAGTCTCTTTGTCTAACAGATGACCAGGTTTGAACCTGTCCACTTCATTGTGAACAAGTATAATGGATTGTCATTCAGTAAAGCTCTCTACCACTTAGAAATAACTGAAATGCCCACTTTTCGGGCTTATGTAGAAGGAATCTTTTAGATTAAGTAGCTAGCAGCAGGGAGAATATATGGTTTCTTTCTAATTTTTCCATTGCGGAGTGGCTAGCTTTTTTTCCTGCTACCATGTTATTAGATAAAGTTGCTTAATCTGAAAGCACTCAAATGAAGTATCAGAAGAATTAAGCTCTATAATGATAGAGGCATTGATTTTTTTTCCCTCCCCAGTACAAGAGAGTTCTATTTTATAGAATTTTGGACAATAAGTAGGCCAGTCAGCATACAGTGCATGATCACAATGCGAAGAGAATATATTCATTGATATTTTATATTAATTGACTTGCAAATAGTTTATAGTCCATTAATGTTTTTTGTTTCACAAGTTTCTGACATGGGCAACATTTCAGTCTATATCTCTAACTTTTTGGAGTCCGCAAATCTGTAAGTAAATCTGATCTATAATCAAGTTAACTTTTATACATAATTTTGGTTGGTTACTGAGTACCAAGTTAAAACTGCAATGAAAAGGTCCGAGAAATCTATGCGAATCCGTGACATTTATTAGATTTCCCCGATTTTCCGATCAGGACTTCCCGATTTTCCTTAAAAGGACAACCCTCTTGACCCGGCGAGAGATTTAGAGAAGATCTACAGTTAATCAGTAGAAAAACTCCTAAGACAAGAATCCCAATGTCTGGAGATAACCGTCTTTGGAAGGCCGAACATCTTTAAGTGCAATTCTCTCAGTAAGTCCCTGGTTACAATGGTATTTGAAGAACAAGAGCCGCTTGTGACAGAACTTGGTCCTGTTTGTACAGAGAACAGGAGAAGATTTAGGAATCAATTTGAGGTTCAATACATCAATGTCAATGAAGTACTTGTATTGACTTTGCGACTTGTAAATTTTTACATACCGATTCCTCTTGACTTTAATGTTGCAAGGGTTTTTTTTATTTCTTTATAGACAAGTATTTCCATCATTTTCTTTTTGATTTTTGGAATAAGATTTAAAAGTACATGTAATCATATATATATATATATATATAATGTTTATATTTTGCTTTACTAATAATATATGTGCATTTACTAAGAATTCAGAAAAAATTGTCTGCATGAAAATTGTAGTGATTAGTTGAACATTTTTTAAAATGTTGTTTTGTCAACAGAAAGTATTTCAGTGTGTAATATAATTCTTAATCTGCACCAATTACCAGATACCTATAGCTCGATCATTTAGTAATTTGCAATGTCATTGTAATTTTTTTTATCAAATTAATTAAGTGTGAACAGTATTGGGTCTTTAAGATCTACTGGGTCAAAATTCAGGAAAATTTATCGTGCTAAATATGTTTAATCCTGTTAATACATGCTCTGATATCTCTTACAAATACCTGTTATTGATGAAACCATTTATTCCTATATATAAGATTTTATGAGCCTCAGGACAGTTTTTTTTTTTAAACTTACAAAGATCCTGCAACCTGCTTTAAAAGAAAATTTAATGAAACCCTTTTAAATGACATAGCATAAAACTTGTAAAAAGTAGAGAAAAACTTGATGATATCTGTTTTGAATATTGGATTTCCTGGGCATTTTTTCTCTTCCATTTTATCTATGGTTGGCCAAGTATCGATCAGGAATATAGGGACCCACCACTTTGAAGAGGCTTGTTGAAATTTTTAAACATGATTTGCAACTCTCTTTTATCGCAATACTTTTAAGAGCTCTTCAGCCCCGTACAAAGAACACAAATTTTTATGGACAAAATATGACGTGAACATGCTTTTTGTCTGTGTAACGTGTATTAAGTGATTGGTTGGTATTGGCAGGAGGGTAATATTTTATGCGTATCTCCGACAGATTCATGTGATTTTAAGCTCAGTGCTGATACTCACAGAAATTGTACAAGTAGCGTTGTTGGTCGTTAGCAGAGGAAACGTGTTGGTTACTTGAGAAACCCCTCTCTGTCTTTCTTATTTATTTGAATTTTTTCAGTCCAGGGTTCTCCCTGGGGGATTTATAGGGGGCTCAGCCCCCCCCCCAGAAAATACATAAGATTTCATAAGTATTTTTCTTTTTGGTGACTGTGGGTCCCTACACCGACCCTGCCCTTTTTAAAATTCCTGGATCGGCCACTGGTTCTGCACATTAAAATATGTTTCTTCTCAGTTAAAATGCCTTTGAATTGTCTTATTTTTGTATCTAAAAATTCAAATATTTTCTAATTAAAAGCTCTCTTTTACATGATCCACCAGAACTAGTTAATTCATATTTGATCAATTTACTAAAATTCTCAAACATGCCAAAATTGAGTCATTTTAGCCCAGAGTTTTTTATTTGATAATTTTAAAGGAACCCCACATTAGCACTATCTAAATGCATGTATAACTGTGTTTAGTAAGTTAGTGTCATGATCAGTTTTAATTATATTACAAACCGCTCGTGATTAATTCATTTGATGGAATACCTTCAAAGGTGTATCTATAGGCTTTTTCTGTCCTTCTCTCGGTTTTACATAACACATGCTATGGTCCATATTGCTACATAATTGATAAAACATTGGTCTCCAACCAATTTATTCACTGATCTACCAATGCTGTTGGCACTTTCGTGTGAATCAGATTCAATTATGTCTTTGAATTTAGTAACAAGGTTTCCAATTAGAGGGCATGTTGAGTATGTGGTCTATTTCATCAAACGCATGGAAGATCCCCTGCAGACTGTTACGTAAAAAAAAAATTACCAAAAAACAAACAAATATTACATGTTTTCGAGACAAAGATTTAGATCTGTGATTAGCTCAGTAAACGTTATAAAAGGAAAGATGGCCAGTCCTTTGGCAATAGGAAGATTCCGTGCTGTATACTTTTCAGTTATTAAATAAAATGACATATTGCCGCGATGGCATGAGTTGACTTTGATAGGGGTCCCTCAGATACCATCTAACTTTTAAATGCTGGAATTTGCAGGGACTTGCGTGATGTTTTAAATGTCTGTAATTTATTGGTCTGGTGTCAAAGTCTTTTAAAGGAGTTCTTTTTTAGTTTCTAATATTACCCAATTTGACTGGTTTAAGTATACAATGAATTCTGACTCTTTTCAAGATATTTAGTAAAGAAATATTGAATAAGCACATGCAATAATCCCTGCAAAACTCTTGAATTAATTTTTGCAATAAATGGAAAATTATTTACATGTGTTTGAAACTTTTAAGGTATTAAAAGGATTCTTGAATAGTTTTTTTTTAAATCATTGTGTAGATCTTTAAATTTTCTTCAAATTTGTTTTACATATATTAGTATATTGGATGTGAGATAAATGAAAGTAGTTATTATAAATAAAATCTCCTGGAAAAAAAAATTGGCATTTCCATTAAATCCAATCTCTTGAGAATTAAGTAGGTTTTGCTTTATCATTTTTGGAAGATCTCTTTCAGAAATTTTGTGAAAACCCTTAAGTAATAATCGCATATTCCATATTCTTCAGCATTATATATGACGGTCCACAATTATAGTATGAGATAGAATCTTGGTTATCATTTTTTTCCCCTTGATGGCCAGGCCGTGTTTCTGTCAACTGGATGAATTGCTCAGTCATATTCAGGAGTGCTGAACATGATACCAGGCAATTTGTTCTTCACACTCCCTAATTCTTGTGAAAATTGAAATGGTATGGATTTTTTGGGTATTTTGGTTGAAGAAAAATGCTTTCACTGTGCTTTGCTTCCTTTTAACTTCCAAAGAAACAATTCTAAGCCTGGTTGAATTAAAGATTTTTTTAGTTCAAATGAATTCTGGCGTATATTACGGGTATCTGTATTATGGGTATTTTTCCACATCAAATGAAATTTATTGCCAAATGCCCCCCCCCCCCCCCCCATCCTTCACCCTTCAGTTAAGACCCGATTCATGTTTGAAATTCAATCAATTCATACAATATCCACTAAATATATCTTTTATTTGAATTTTTTTAGTCTCTGTTACATAACTGGAGTTAACACACTTTAACCACAATGTTAAACACATTGTTTCTAAAGGCAGTCCCGGATTTATTTTGGAAATATGAATACAGTTAAACTTTGGTTAATACATTTAATCCCTAATAATTCCTCCACGTACACAGCTCTGTATATAACTATGCGTTGGATACTTTCTGGATGGGTTGTAAATTCACAGTCTTTCATGGGCACCACCCAGAAAAACTGTTCCTCAAGCGCCGGGTGGGTGTGGGGGACATGGCATCTGTGGACCTGGGGGGTAGGGATTTACCCGACCGAGTCTGGGACCTATTTGAGGTGGTGTCCATTCACGAGTTGTACGATGCAAATCCGGATTGGATGAATGTAAAGAAGGTTCCTTGGAGGTGGGTTCTTATTCTTAAAGCTCATTGACAATGTTGAATGTTCCATTCAGTTTAGAAAAAAATGACTATTATAAAACATACAACTTGACAGCAATGCAATAGAAGTTAAATTCTTTTCAATGTACCTACAGGTATATGAATTAATAGGACTTCCCTATTATCTTGTGAAACATGCAATATACGTAATATTGATCTCCGGATTTCCTTAATGAAGTCTATAAGAGCATAAAGAATACTTTTTAATAATATGTTCTTATACTTAGGTGCTGTGCAAAATTTGCATGTATCTTCTAGATTTTATGTACTTAAGTCGTGAATGTAGAGGGCTAGAGGATTTGTAATTTCATGTACAGGTGCATTAAGATGTCTGAGAAACTCCAAAAGAATTTGATTTGCTGTTTTAAATCAATCCCAAGACTTTAATAAAAAGGAGACAGAGGCTTTAAATGTATGCAATATTTCTCCGTGTGTACTTGGTATATGTATACCCACAGATAAAAAAAACTGTTCTGGAATAAAAAGTTAGGAGAAGTCACACATTTTGTTGACATCCACTTCTTGGGGCTGATTTCGGAGGTTTATATATGGCTCTACGAGACGATTTGTCAATATTTAACTTCACTTCCCAAGTTCAGGCTATTTACTGCATATTAAACGTTGCGATACATACATTTAGGAACCCTGCTGCTTTATCGACAATTTCTAGTGCTCTTTCAAAAGTGTAAATAATCTCTTATCAAGTAATTAGAAGTGAAATTCAGTCGACTTGCTAAAGAATAACAGGGTACTACCCACAATTCATAGAAGTCGGGACAGATTTATATCGGAATGCTTTGACACTCGTAAAGAAAATTCTCATCCAGGAGAAATGAATGGGACGTTAATTACGATTCTGGCCTTGTCAATACCCATCAGGGATTAATAATCGGCCATAACGGGAAAAAACATATTACTGTAATATTCCTACTGGACGTAGTATTTATTGGTGTTTACCCGATAATATTAATCAATATTTGATGTAATATGCTTGTAAGACACTCTATTAAGTCCTGCGTGCAAGAGAGAGAGTGTGGTAGAGCAGTTAAATACTGTTATTTTGTTCATAGCTTTGAAGTTAGAAATACAATAAATCTAGTTTTGCCTTTTTTAAAAGTGACTATTTGCAGTATTCCAAATTACAAAGACAGAAAAATAGATATTTCATTTGAAGTTGGATAAATGACGAATTTGATATTTGGCCAGATATTTGTAATATTGACTAGAGCATTAATCTTATTCCTGAAAATTATAACCTTGATGATGCATTAAAATAGTTTAGTTTATCAGAATTTATGTTTAATATTCTTCTGATGATTCTGTACTCAAAATGGTTAATAACAATTTCTTTGTATGGAAAAATGCTTTAAAAATTTATGTCTTGTTGCTTACAAAGTATTATTAAAATGAAGGTTTTCCTATTTTTGTCTGTCTGTCTGTTTTGTATGTTTGTCTGTTTGTCTGTTGATAGTTCAAATGTTCATCTCAGGAAAAAAAATCACCTCCACAGTATACTTTTGATTTTACATGTACAGTGAAGTCTGTATAAACTGTCATGCACTCGGAGACATGTTTTACGACAGAATACCCTGGTACACAAGTTGTCTGATTGAAGAGTGTAAAGAACATAGAGAAAGCAAGGCCATCTTTAAAATAATGTTTGCTTGTCCTCTCCTGACTCAGGGTAAAATTATTGGATCGATAGGTAGGTGGAAAATTTTCCAGAAATTTTCAACATATTTGTTGACGGGATAAGAGGAGTTAAAAGAAGAAAGTATTTTGTTCCTGGAATGTAAAATAAATGTTTTGATTCCGGCCATTTTTAGTCAGTTGGTCAGGTGATGGCAACCAAACAATTTTTTTTAAAGATGGCCCAATAAAATGAGATTTTATAAAGGCCAGAATAAACAATAAAAAGGATTGCACAGGAGTTGTATTAGACAGTTTTCACTGTCCTGATAACTTGTTATTATAGGGAGACAGTTTATACTTTACCAACTTTATGTAATTACAATATCTTGTTATTATAGGGAGAGACAGCCAGGAGATGGGGAGGCGTCATTGGACGGTGATGTAGACGATGACGACGACGATGATGGAATCGATAACCTGGACGATGATTGTATCGAAGGATCCGACGGTACGTACAAACCAGTCTTTCCTACAAACATTATTGTCATAGAAATATTTGAGGGGCAGTTAATAGTTGTTATTGATAAATAATTTAATTTATATTAACGTGTCATTTGATTGGTTTAACGGTTTTATTCATTTTGTATAACATAACTTGCCTAGAGTCACAATGAGTTACGTCAAAAACGTATCACTCCGCTTGATGTTACTTTTAAAATAATGCTCACTTTGAAGCCTTTTTCTAGAGAAGATATTGTCTCATTATCTACATTGAAATTATATTATTGAAATGACAGTTTATTTCAACTTTGTGTAATTAACAAAACTTTTTACACTTATTTATAAACCGCTTCGCGGTTTATAAAGCGTAAACTGCCCCAAGTTATGTTATATCGGATAACATAAGTTGAAATAAGCTTCATTCCTTAAACAAAGATGTACTATGTTTTACTTATTTTCTTGCAATTGTCTATAAGTTGGTTTGAATTGGTCAGGGTTAGGGTTTCTGATGTAATGAAAGACAGAACTTCAAATTAGAGAGCATTAGGGGGGATAGAATGACCCAGATATTTTAAATAGTTCAACAAAAAAGAAATTTTTTTTCAAGCTTTAAGACAAACTTTACACCATGTACACAGGAAGCAGATGTCAAAATTTATATGAATAGTATAGGCAAGGAGTAATACATTAAACTATTTTGAGTAGTAATTTTATTTTGCAGGGGAGTCTCACTTACAACTACTCTATTACAGTGTTTTATCTTACTGCATCATGTTTATTTTTTTTTGTAGGAGAGTCCGATGGTTACTCCATTACCAGCAGTCTGTCACGTCGCTCCTCATCGTCCCGTTCGCGGGCCAAGTCAGCCAGTACCACACGACCCGTCGTAGCAGCGAGACCCATCAGCACGCCCAGCGACGACGAAATACGCCCCAGAACAGTCAGACCGGCCACTGCCATCCCCGCCAAACCCACGATTCGACCTCCCCTCACTCAGAGTCTGTTTCCTAACATTCCTCCCACCATTAGCTTCGAGACTGAGGGATTCAAAGGTACTTCTATTATAGTATAACAGATTTTTGAAACAGCCTCTGGAGATTGTTTTTGAGTAATTCTGTTTGAGAGAAATATTTGTTCAATTTTTAGTATGGGAAAATCGTAACACCTGAAAGTACAAAATTATTAACTGTGAGTTAGAACTGATTATCTCTTTGAGAACTTTACATCATTTGAGACCTTGCAGATTCTCATATATTTTCACCCTGAAGATATTTGAGAATTATATACGTGAACATGATGAATATATAGTGCTGTTTTAAAGTGCACAAGGTTTCAAGTGACCCTGATGAGTCTACAGCCCATGGGCCTTTAGATTTTTTTCCTTGCACTACAGAAAATTATTGGACCTAGTGAGCAGCTATGTAGGTGTATGGGATTGAATCTTTTGTTCCAAAGGGAGATAACTGCTCTCACCCCTAACCAGTGCACCAGATATTATCTTGTAATAAAACGTAATTGTAGTCACGAGCAGATGATGGGAATCCCACAAAGTGCCGCAAAAGTCTTCGTTAACGGGAAATAACAACATATAAGTAATTATAAAAACAACCAATAAGTTTTCTTACGTTAACATATTTCTTTTTTCCATTGAGCAGCTGGTATAGAGCACTTCAATTAATAAACCCCTTTGGTGCTTTTTGTGTGCGCTATAAGTATTTCAATTAGTCAGACTTTCCTCTGATAGGATGCTTTTGAGTACATGGTTTCCTTGGAAATTTTTTTTGTGCTATAGGGAAAATCGACATTGGTTTTTTTTGTTAAATAAAAAAAAAATACCGATATTCTATAAATGTTCTCAAGCATGATTGATGTCTTAGCTCTGGCTGCTCCATCAAAATCAGTCCGTGTTCAAAAGCCTTAATTTTCGGCAAAGGAAGAAAGCCCAGAAAACGTATAATCTAATTGACGGAAGGTCAGAGCGATGCAATTGGGGCTAATTGGCCAGATTTCGGGTTTCCGTGAAGAAGAAGGCCTTTTTACAGTTAACCAGTAAATCAATGGCTGTTTTTCTGGCACTACAGAGTATTTGAACATGTCGATTTTAATCATTCATTTTTGGCATCAAATGAAGTTTCTCCTATGGAGAATGGTCGTCAATATTTGTTAGCTTGCTTAGCATGATGTAACCGAATAAAAAAGCAGACATTGATTTTAAGGCTGGTAGTTTTGAGAACATGAGATTGAACTGCATTTTGTACTGCCAAATATACCAAATGATTTAATAGAAAAATACATTGAAAAATTTACAGAGAGCTGATTGAAGAATTTGTTTGTAATATTCCAAGAAAGGGGCGAGGGGGTATCTTTGAGAGTATTTTTTTTTTAAAACAAAAAGAGTAAAAGGCAATAAATCTGAACATAGAAAGAAAATGTGCTTTAGATCAGAGAATTTTCATGAAACCTTATATTTGCTTGAGAGGAATGGGGGTATTTAGCAATTCCCAATTTTCACCATATTTTGATTATAAATGTACATGATCTTGACAGTATCAATACAATTATACATGAGGATGTTATTTTTTATAAGCAGAATATTTTTAAAAGTCAGGACTCAAAGTTTATATATTAGGATGGATCTGAAAAGCAGAAAATAAAATATTTCTTTCTAAACTTTAACTGTCAAAAGATCTTTGCTATTATTTACCACTATGGCATTTGTCCTGTAATTTCTAAAATTGTGTTTTGTTTTCCAGTGGAACAACTGCCATGGGATTTACGCAAACTCTTAAAATGGAGGATGAGTCCAATTACCCCAAACATTGTAAAACACACGCTGGCTAGGTCACATTTCAGAATCACCAAACGTATGTATTTTTGGACTGATGATCCTGACAAACTCACTCTGTATAAGACTGCAAATAAAATTACTACTTTGAAGAACTGCACATGGATAAAATCACTTAAGTTAAAATACAATTGAAAAAATAGAAGAATGCATGAAGTACATAATGTGTTAAACACAACAAATTAGCTTTCTGTTCAGCGAAAAAGACTTGGGTTATTTTCATATTGATGTATAATTTTTTTTCTCAAAAATGCCAAATGATGTGTATAATTTTTATGTACAGGAAACCATGACTGGTTAGGCTGCTGGGGTAAACATATGAAATCTCAGGGATTTAAGTCTGTCAGGGAATACCAAAAGGTAAAACAACATGACAATATAAGTAAGAGAAATGTTATACCACGAAAATCAAGTTCTTACTAATCAAAAGAGATTTATAGTTGGTTCTGTTATTTGTACCATGAACTAAACTGGAAATGAAAAAAAAAAAACCAAATGATTGAATATCAGGTAATAAGATGCTAATTTTCTTGTAGCTCAATCATTTTCCGGGTTCGTTCCAAATCGGCCGTAAGGATCGGCTCTGGAGAAACCTGTCTAAGCTTCAGGTGCAGAACGGTAAGAAGGAGTTTGGATTCTTTCCCCAGACCTTTATTTTACCGTCGGACATGAAGCTGTTAAAGAGAGCCTGGGAAGATGGGGGGACAAAACAAAAGTGGATCGTGAAGCCGGTAAGTAAATGAGGATAGAAAAAGTGTCAGACATGTACAGTTGAAGTTTGGTATCTCAAAAACTGATATCTCGAATACGTTGGATATGTTGAAGTGATTTGAAAGTTCCAACCTCTTATTCTTTATTTATACCCCGATATCTCAAATTTTCGGATATCTTACAGTGTTTTTTTCTCTTGGTCTGATCAAGTTTGAGATATATGTTGTTGGTATATGCACGATGCAATAGAAAAATCACTCATCATACTTAGAAACATAAAAAAGATATTCATATTTCATTAAAAATTAATAGTAAGATCATAGAATTTTTTTGGCCAGTATGTAGATAGCTGATGAAAACAATCCTATACAAATTTGCCACAAATTAAAAGGAATCAATTTTTTAAAAAAAATTCATTATACTAAATCTCACAGATTTTTGAACCTTTAAGAATTCTGGTCAGTCTTCAATAAACAAAAAAAAAAAAAAAATAAATGAATATGCAATAATTTGGTGATACATGTTCAGTGTTAAAACAAGGGAGATCATTCAATCAGTTTAGAATGAAAAGTGATTTTATGAAATGATTTAATGTTAAACAAAGAGAGTATGAATATTTTGATGCAAGAAATACTACAAATATCTGGAATTTTCTTTTTAGCCCGCTTCTGCCCGAGGAATAGGAATCAAGGTCATCAACAAATGGACACAGATACCAAGGAAGCGGCCTGTCATTGTCCAGAAATATCTAGGTCGTCCATACCTCATCAACGACAGCAAGTTTGACATGCGTATCTATGTATACGTTAGCAGCTATGACCCTCTCAGGATTTATATATTTGAGGATGGACTCGCAAGATTTGCTTCCATGAAGTAGGTTTCGAAGTTGTTTGTATAAAAACTGTTCTTGTAAATACATCTTGTTTTCATTTTAAAAGATGAAAGCATTTTTGAATAAAGAAGGTTGAAAGAATGAAAATTATCAATCTAAAGAATTTCATAAATATGTGTATTACAGTAATACTCATCAGTTTAAAATGAATGTCTCATGAATTTTTAATTTTGATTGCAAATTTTGGTGACCCTGGTTGTACTAACTTGTATTACATCTTCTGGTTAATCTATAAGCATTAAGTATTATGATAAAATACTTGCATACTTAGAAGTTTGTCTGTGGGTCAAAATTTTGGTTGTTTAACATCTTCTGGTAAATCTAGAATTTATTATTATGACAAAACATTGCATGCTTTTAAGTTTGTTTTGGGGTTGAAATTTTGATTCACACTGATTGGTTTTAATAATTCTGTAGGTATTCCACTGCTATGAAGAATGTGAATAATAAGTTCATGCACCTGACAAACTACAGTGTCAATAAAAAGAATGCAGAATATCAGGCCAATGGGGACGAAGCATTGTGTCAAGGTCATAAATGGTAAGGTCATCTAAGAATCAGCGTCGAGTTGAAAATAGCAATATCCTTGGTATGGAGAAATTGGATTTTTTAAAAAGTCTAAAATTTGGAAGATTGAAGTGTCAGTAATGTTTTCATTAGTTTTACATTTTTGATTTTTTTTTTTAATCAGGGGTTTGAAGGCTTTGTGGAATTATATGAAGAGACAAGGAATAAATACAACTCAAGTCTGGGAAAACATCAAAGATCTGGTCATCAAAACCATTATTTGGTAGGACCATCATTTAACTTACTGTGGAATAAAATCTATTTTATAAATAAAGTTTTCTTCATTTTCTATAATATATTTGCATATTTACAGATGTACCTATTTCTTTTTGTAAAGAAAATGTGAGAATATTGAAAACTGCATAAAGATGAGAATTGCAGCACAAAGAAATGCTATCATGAATGTCAAAAAGAAGCTTTAGTACATAACAAATGTAACCATTGATTGCTCAGTGGCTTGGTGTTTATATGGGTCATTTTCAAAAAAAGTCTATTTTTTGAATGACATATTTTGAAAAATGAAAGTGGTTTTACTATGATTTTTTCAACTTTATTTGAATGATATAGTAATAAACTACTAAAATCCACTGCATTGCATAAAAGAAAATATTTCTTTTAAAAAATATTGACATTTTATCTTAGTCATTTAAACTTTAATGTCCTTCCTGTTACTTTCATAAAAAGAGCTGTAAAACTCTATTTCAAAATTTTCATCAAATTATCTTTTGTATACCGTTAATAAATGAAAAAATTATCATTGAATGCCAAGATGTTTGACATTCATCTAATATATGAGCATTTAAAAGCAATTGTCAAACTACCATATACTAAACAGAAGCAAAATCTACGGGTTTTTCTTCATGAAAAGCCTTATTGCGGAATGTTTATATGCTATAGTTGAAAAAAACATTCTTTTACATTATTTTTGTGATTAGAATAAACAGTTACAGAAAGTTATTTAAACAGGTGCTCTGCCAAAGCAATTTAAACTAGGAAAATATACTGGTAACAGTAAGGACTCGGGTAACAGGAAGGACAAAACAGTGACAGGATGGACAAAACAGTGTAACAGGATGGACAATGAAATCTACATTTTAAATAAAAATTGACTTTTTTTTAACTTTATTGGTTAGGAAAAGAGATATAAATGTAGAATAAAAAAAATGATTTTGTCAAATCTGGCAAATTTGAGACAATAAAAGACATTTATGTCCATCCTGTTACGAAATTTAATTCTGAAGTGCTATTAAAATATTTATCAGTTCAATTTTTGTTTATTAAAGGTACTCTATGCTGTTGCAAAACTAAGAATTTTTCATAATTATAAGAAAAACAAATGATGAAACTTAAATAGGTATATAAATACCAGGATAATTTGTCCCTCCTGTTACAATTTTTGTCCATTCTGTTACAAGAGTGCATGTTTAAGTTATAATGGCACAATTTGAAGCACTTACTTATTTCAATATGATTTACGAAGTTTTTTAACATGTGTTATTAAACTTATATTACTTAGAAAAATAAAAGTAATTGTTTTTATTGTTAAAACTCAAGATATGAAGTCCAGTTTTCCTTACTGTTACCATATTAATGGTAACAGGAATGAGAGTAACAGGATGGACATTTCTCATATAAATCACCGGTTATTTAGTATAACGTACTCTTTTTGCATCATCAAGACATTGAAACAGTTTCTTTGTAACTTAGTAAATCTGATTGTTTTAGCAGAATAAACAATTTAAAGAGTATTTGCATATTATGAAGGTAACAGATAGGACATATTTTCATTATACTCTACCAATAAGACAAACTTATCGACCTTTGAACCCTTTCTTTACTCACTTTCAAATCATGGCGCTCATAAACTTGAGACAACAGAAAATGATGATATATTGTGGATCATGAAAACAGTTCCTAGGAAAGTGAGATAACCTTTATTTTAACATTTTCTTTCTGATAACAGGAATGACATAAACTGGTGGGACATGTCACTTCCTGAATGTTAAATGCACGATACTTGTATTTGGTGGGCGGCATAAGTAAAACAATCATATTAAATTAATCTGTAAATGAATTCAATTAAAATGAGGTGCAAAATTTGTTATCTTCACAGGGTAATATTTTCTATCATTTAAATAAGCGCGTTATAAAATTTTTGTTAATGTGACATGGTTTTACTGTTAAATTTTACTCGAATGCAGAGAAGATTTTTTATAAAACACCTGGGAGATGATCATAAAATTACTTATAAGCTATATGACCATGTATATTAACCAACGGGAAAAAAAATTTCACTCTAAAAAATGTTTTCCTATTATTCTGATCAAAAGACAAAAAAGTGGACTTTTTTTGAAAATGGCCCATATATGTCCCCCATCTTTCTTTCAGTGCTGAGTCCCCCATCAATAGCATGATTAAATCTAACTGCCGCAGCAGGTACTGTGTCCATGAGTTGTTTGGCTTTGATGTCCTGTTGGATGAGAATCTCAAGCCGTGGATTTTAGAGGTCAACATATCACCAAGGTAAGGCTAGGTCAACTGAGGTCAATTGACCGCACACTAGGTTGGTCGCAGTTACCAACTACTGTAAACCAACTTTGATTTGCATGCAAGAAATATTCGCAAGTTTCGCAACCTACTTTAATTTGCAAGTATTTATCCACCTTGAACCATTTATTTTGCTTAAAATTAGAGAATGTTTTCTCAGTCACGAAAATTAATCGCCACAATTTGATTTCAAACTGACAAATTGCGACTTAAAGATGACGCAAATAATAGTAAGTTTACTGTATTATTGATGATGCATTTGATATCTCTGGGCTTCATTTAATTTTTTGCGACTGAGAAGATGTTCTACACAAAAGAAAGATGTAAAATAATGGTTAGGATAAAGTTACAGAGTAATCAAGTGTGATGTACTGTAGATATTGTTAAACTGAGTGTTTCGTCTTTCTGACAGTTTACATTCCAACTCTCAGCTGGATATAAACATCAAGGGACAGATGATTCGTGACCTGATGAATATCGCTGGATTCCGAATTCCCGACAAAGCCGACGTTCTCCATAGCAACTCAGTCGCACCTAGTGCTACAGAATTCAGGTCAGCTCAAGGGACCATTTCAAAATATCGCTATCACTAATCACTAATTTTTCGCGACACCTTATTTTCGAGTCATTAACTCTTGATTAGCGAGACAAAATTTTCACCAATTGTGGGTATTGCTCTATATAATTTTAAATTTTGCTATTATACGTGAGAATCAAATTTTCGCGAGCACACTGTCTCGCGTAATTACACGAAAATAAAGTTCTCGCGAATAAAAAGGACAAAGTAGGTCATAAGAATTTGTGAGTCTTTTTAGAAAAAGAAAATCAGTACATTGATGATCTGATTTGTTTCCAGTTTTGACATCACTGACACCAATATCGTATAACACATTTCATGACTTGATAAAAGATATTTTTAATGTTGCTTATAACAGTATTCTTATACAAAAATAAAGATTTTCTTGAGCCACAGACGTCTTGAAAGGCCATTAAAAAAAAGAAAATTATTTCTATACAGTTCATATATGCCCCCCAATGATATGTGTATGGACAAGAGGTTGTTTACCAGTATTCTGGCCCCAGACGAACGTGCCAAACACGCCTACTACTGCCAAAGACACCAAGATGAGGTAAACAGGTCTATATCAAACAGATTGTGAAACAGCTATTTAGAAATTGGTGTATTTTCATTCTGAAAACTTAATTTAAAGTTTATAGCATTTTAATTCTGGGCTGTGAACACAAAATGCAGTTTTTAAAGACCACAATTTTTACAAAAAAAAAATGTTCAAACAATCAAACTACATGTACACAACTTGGATTTTTACAATAAATATTTAGGTACACAACACATTATTTTGCATACAACAGGTATTTTCTCTCTACATGTAAATCTGTGTTTGAAAACATGTAAATGACTGAAAATCCTCAGAAGTTAGAAAGTCCCATTTGTTGACAAACAGTCAAAAGAGTTACATCATTTTCTGTCATATAACAGCAAACGTTGCAGACAATCTTGGACATCCTGACCCCGGACGATGTCCGGATTCTGACCGAGTGTATTGACGAGGACAGTAGGAAGGGTTGTTTCCAGCGTGTGTTCCCCACCCCCTCCTCCCACAAGTATCTCCGCTACATGGAGGCTCCGCGCTACTACAACCTACTGGTCAGTCAGTGGGTCCAGAGATTCAACAGGATGGAACAGAAAGGTCAGAGGTTATTGATGTTTTAAGAAATGTTAAGTGGATATTTTGAAAAATATTTTATAATGCATGTATTTTATGGGATGATTGTTTTTTTGTAATTTTCATTGGCTTAATATTTGTTCTTTCGAGAAATTGACATGAAAGCGTGTCTTCAGTGAAAATTAATTGAAATGGGTCCTTATAACCACAAGTTGACTTACACTTAATGCCGTAATTATGTATATAGTGGGCCTCAAGTGTGTCTTGCTTTGGTTCAAGTTAATTTCTTGACATATGTGAAGCGTTATCTTTACCAGTTAAACAAGACAAAATAACATTTAAAATATTCTGTTTTATATAATGCCATAATTATTTAATATTGAACTTTTAGCCAGCAGTTGTGGATAGGAAAGATTTTAAGTGTAGCTGTACATTGAAAAATGAAATGTACCATAGTATATTTTAATTTGTTTGTATTTTACTTGTGTGAACAGGAATAGCAGTTTTGGAAGGATTTTGTGAGGAAGGAATTCATTTGCAGAATCCAACGGAAGACCCAAGTCACCAGGTAACATTTCAGATGGCAGTCCGAAGTCTTAATACTTATCAAAAGGTCAAAAAGGGTGAATGAAAATAAAGTGGTTATAATAAAAAAAATTATAATAATTGTGCAATGCTGGATTTTGAGTATTACAATGTATATTTTTCTGCATATGGTAATTGCGAATTAAACATTTATTGGAAAGTGTCCAAGTACATGTATTTCTCAACATGAAATTCAGGTTTTTTAATTAATTTTTAAAATTTTTTTGAAATTTCTTTTACAGTAAACATGAAGCTTCTCTTACAGATTCATAAATCAGATCCACATGCACTTCAAGAAGGGAACAAGTACGACCTAACTTGATCTACATGTTGTCCTTTAAGACTTAATTATAAACTTATTTTTAACAGTGGTGCCCTCCTAACGGTCTACTGAGTCATCGAGGGGACACGAGGACACATAGTGCCCCCAATAAACACCACCTGGAGAAGGAGAGCAGTCTGAAGCACAGGTACGCTGACCCTCCTAAGTACAATAGAATGTGGTTCTTTGCCTTCTGAAAGCAGCGAAGGCAGCAAGGCCCTTGACAGTGTAGACAAGATTGTATACTGTATTTCTCAACAGATGTTGGTCCAATATTTATTGTAAAAGAAGTTTCAAGCTGATTTTATGGTTTCCTGATGCGGAATTTAGTTTCACATCTTGCTACATTCCGAATCGACATTCATGAATCAAGTTGAAAAGAAAAAAAAATGAAGATTGCTATAACCTGTTTCTGGGCTTGATAGATATTTATAACCATTTAATGGCCTAAATATAACTTTAACCAGCATGAACTCATGTAATGTGTGTCATTTAATGAACTCTAACATTCCTCAGTTGTTAACAAGATTCTCCCAAAGTAGTGTGTGTAGATATGATTTATATACCAGTGTGTTGTATGTACATATATAGGACAGCATGTAGTTTGATTCCCTTGTATAAACTGATGTAAGTCCCACACCTTGTGAGATGCTTATTTTTAAAAATGGAAAAAAAACAACCATTCTGTGGAAAAAAATTCACTTACACATTTGTTGCTGTAAGATGTTTCACTTAGATTTTTTTTACCACATGAGCAGTACACATGCAGAGTCATTGAATTATTCCCACTCATGCAGTACACATGCACCAGGTGCATGTCTCATCCCAGCTGCATTTCTGCATAATTTTTTTTTTTTACTTAAAAGCCTGCATTTGTAAATTTATTCAACTTTCATAATTTTTTTTTTTTTGTCAAAAAATTTTTCAGCGTTTAATTGACCCATACATGTTAAAGACTTTTCAATTTTTGCCTTTTAGAGCCAGACTTCATTAAGTATAAAATTTTAGGAAATCAGATTAATAGTCTTGAAGTTGTTTCCCAACTTTATGTATTACAAATGCTTAAATTAACATTTTCTATCTTTATATGTTTAGCTCCAGCAAATAGATTTATATTATTACTAACGAGAAAAGAAAAAACTAACCGTATCTAGAATTGCTTTTAATATAGTCAGTATATTTAGTATCTAGAATTTCCTGGTCTTCTACTGCAGCAAGAGCACATTTCTTGCAGTCATTAAATGGTCACAGATTTGGACTAAGATTGCGTGTGTGGACATGAAGTGATGCGGTGCTCTACGATCTTCAACTGTTTTAGGAGATAGAAATATATAGCACAATTGTTTGTATGGGTCCACAAAATGGTTTTATTTTGCAAAACTTCTTGATAGTTTAAGGAGGGTTAATTGGAAAAGAAACTGAAATGACAGAAATAAAAAAGTTGAATGTTTAGAGTTGGAATAATGTGGATCTGTACAAACAATGAGATTTGATTTTTATTTTTTTGTTTTTCACTTGTGCATTCACAGCTTCTCATTGGATATCCTCACTGTATTCACTGTTCTGCCTCCAACTTATTAGATAATGTCCATTAACTAATAAATATCTCTTTTTAATCATTCTCTGTTAATGAAATACATTTCATCTGGTCAAGGGAATATCTGAGTAAACTTTATTTCGAAAATCAAATAATAAAAATAAAAGATGAAATTGTATATGAACTGTGCCTCTGAAATTTTTTTATTTTTAGTTCCATCATAGTGTGGTTTTGGAAAAATTGATGATTTATAAAAAGAACAAATTAAAGTCAAGATATGCTTGAGAGGAGGCAATGCATGTGCCATGTTTTATTTTTTGTTATTAGATCCTGAATGTTTAGTCTTTGTATGTTTTTGTCTCTTCACAGTCAATCGACGTCTGGCCTGCCTAAAATGGCCAAAAAGCCTCCCAAGGCACCAAGTCACGGTCATTCCGGCGCCACCACACGCACGGTCTCACAGTGTAGCTCCGCCTCCTCGTCAATTACCTCCCTTACCTCACCCACGCCAACACAAACTGTCAACAAAACCGCCGCCTCCTCCAGATGACTGGCGGTCCGCTTACCTCCCCTGAAAGAACTCTTCAATGGAAGTATGCCCATGTTTAACTCCACCCGATACCAGAGGCACGTGCTGAAACCGTTAGTTCGACACAGTGCCGATTCCAGTTTGGATGCCGTTCGGAGAGCTCAGTTGAATCGGAAGAAAAAACGAATTCAACTGAGAACATCTGAAAAATTTTTCTAGTCTGGACCAAAAAATATGTTTTCAGCAATGGAGTTGTACATTTTACCATGTTTTTCAGAGTCATTGTTCATATGTTCATTTTACCTCAGCATTTAAGTTAACATTTCATTGTAAAGCCTAAGCATGTGCCTTAGTCCTTATGATTTTTGAATTTTATAGATTTTAAGGGTTGTTGCCAGGGTGTCATTGGATTTGCTCATGACAGCTGTGCTTACAAAGTGCTATCGATATACTCTGTGATACAGTAATAAACATTGCCTAGGAACTTCACGTTAGTTAGCTTTTGTTCTTGGTAAATGTTTTTTATTTAAAGGTTGTTTGCTAGGATCTGTTTTGAAGGTTCTCAATCATCTTGCTCAATTAAGGAATTGTTTATGGTGTCTTAGAATGCAGGGTTTTACATTCCAACAATTTGTTAGGACCAAAGTAGAAGGTCTACGTGATCTTGCTCAATTGTGAGATTGTTCAGGGTGTATTGATTTGCAGGGTTTTCAAATTTTTCTAAATTTAACTCTTTTACAAGTGCCTCAGAATTTCCATTTGTACAGGATTCAGGACATTTTTTTTGTAAATCAGTGTGATTATACAGCATGAAATATCAGTGAAGAACAATTTATTTACTGTATTGTGTATACGGAAATGTGCCAAATTCATGTGACCATCGTTTAAAGGAAGTGAATTCGGAAATCCCATGCAAGAGTTCACAGAGATCACCACAGCTGCATGTATTGTGTTGAAATAGTGCATGATGTGTGTTGTTTTAACCAGTTTCCCCCCATAGCTGTAGATGCAGTACCTGCATCATAGTTTTCCCATAATTTTACCCCCCAAATCTAATGAAAAACTTGTAAACGTACATTAGCAAACATTTTAATAAATTGGAGATCACGAAAAAATTATAAATAATTTAAGAGTCATCCAAAGAACTGAAAATGAAAGATGTTGTATTCTTTGACTTTTAATTGCGTGCCTTTTCAGTTGTGAGGAAACCTCAGAGAGCGTGACTTTACTGGACTCGGAGTCGACTTCATCGCTTTCATTAGACGCCGATCCATCAGACGACGACGAGGACGACGTCGATGACAACGCTTCTAAATTGTGCAAGATCACGTCACACTGGCGAGCGCCTCTTGTGAAACTCCGAAATCTGTTTCAATTCATACAGGCCTTCTCGAAGAGAAAGATCAAATAAAGAAATAGTTAGAAATTAAAAAAATCAAGCAATTTTGGGTCTTATCTTGATAATGAAATAGGTTGTCTGGCACTTTTATACAATTTAATAAATTGTCATGGCGAGTTTCATCTCGGATGAAATTTATATATTAAAATCTGTACACCTCAATTTATGATGTTGATAATATGCAATTTTCAGTATTTAACGTTATTATTTACATGAATATTTATTGGCATTATATTCAAGGACTTGGTGAATCTATGTTTTACAATTTAAGTGGCATTGAGTAAATAACAAAAGTATTGCACATGGATGCTGTTCCAGTAGCATCTGACAGGAAAAATAAATATGCAATTTTTTCATTATTTTATCTCCGTCCTTTTTCCCCCATGAAAATAATTCATAATAGAGCTCTTTTTTTTCTTATTATGGCACTGGAAATATGGAAATTATGGGCACCATGTAGTTTAGTGGACAAGCAATTTTTAAATTCTTTTTTTTCTTTTCTTTAACTAACAAACATATCACGTTTTGGAAGCTTTTTGAGCAGTTCAATTATGATCGTTATTTCAATTTTAATTGTGTACAAAATAATCTCCAACTTTAAATCAAAGAAGAGTATCTTGTGATGTATGGATTGAAAATAATAATCTATAATTCTCAATAATTGTTGTATCTTCTCATTTCCTTGAAGATTTTTCCTTTTCAATTCTCCAGTATAAATCTACACTAAAAATATGATAACATTGATAGGGTTTGTATACTATTTCTTAATGCAAACTTGATGACAAAAAGAAAAAAGTTTAAATTAAAAACCTTTAATATTGTTTATTCCATTCATATTTTATTCACATTCCAATTTTTTAAAACAATTTCATTCTTTTAAATGAAACCTAAAAATTTTGGGTATGTCTTTTTTTTCTGGAGTATTATTGTGATAATAAAAGTAACTTGACTAAATTACTTGATTGCCTTGCAGTTGATACAAGTTGCTATGCAAATTAAAGGGAATTGATATTTGCTTGGTATACAATTCATCATGAAAAAAGTCTAGAAAGGCATTTTTGATCTTTCTTTTGTGTAATAGAATTTATTAAATGCCTTTTTGTAAGGCCACAAAATGAATATACATCTGTATGTAATATGTACTTGTTAGTTTATAGCCCTGTGTATACTAAGTAGAAGTGTGTTTCTTTTAGAGGTCACTCCCTAGAGTTGTGAACTAGTAAATGTTGAGACGATCAGTTTTGATATGCCTATATTTGTTCCACAATGAGTAGCAAATTCTTCATGTTTTTTGAAAGCATGTTTGTCTTGTTCACAGAATTCCATTCCAAAAGTGTCAAGTGATGGATTTTAACGAGAGTTTTGAGTATACTTGGGTATTTGTATTGGTATACCCATATGTTTTTTTTTCTCTGAGAAACTTTCATTAATCATTTTAATAAATGTGATAAACATATATATGTACACCTGTATGTTAAGTCATTTATTGACACACTATTTATGATGTTAGAAGTCTTAGTGAAGTCACATGACATGTTCAGGAAATGTGACATGATCACATGACATGCTCATTATATGATCACTTGACATGCTACTTATTTGACCAGTTCCAGTACTAGTTATATGATCATATGACATGCTTGTTCAGTGACCATATGGCATGATTGTTAATGGACACATGACATGCTTGTTACATGATTGTTAAGTGATCACATGACATAATTGTTAAGTGATCACATGACATGATTGTTAAGTGATCACATGACAAGATCATAGTTATATAATCACTTGACATGCCATTGATATATCACATGACATGCCTGGTAAGTGATCATATAACATGATGTTTTAAGTGATTATATGACATTGTAGTTAAGTGATCATGTGACATTGTAGTTAAGTGATCATGTGACATGCTTTTTATCTAGAGAGAAGGATTCTTAAGCAAAATGAAGTCTAAATTTACTAAAAATGCTTAAAAATGCTACATTTACTAAAAATGCAATGTGTTAAATGCACATGTATGATTTGTTTGGACAATTTAAGGATTTGGAATCATATCTTATAAGTTTAAAAAAGACAAGTTACAATAAATCAGTCAACAGATCTGATATTTCAATTTCAAAATTGTACAGTTTACTTTATTGTACTTTTGAATGGGGTTTTATAGGAACTGCCGAATGAACAAGGAGAGAAAGTTAAAAGTGAAAAAGAATTGGTTCCGAGAAACCCTGATAGAGTCAGTTTTACTGGTGCTAGCTAGTTGATATAGTTATCTTGTTGATTAAGGCCATTTATTGATGTATATCATTTGTCATTTTAATATTACCACAGAGCATTTTATCAAAAACATCATGCATTTGTTGTAAACTTCCATTGGGAGCCGACTAAGGGAGGTAAGCGGATACCTGAGTTATGTTTAGTTTTTAAGATATTATTTATTTATTTATTATTTGTGAAATTTGCTTAAATATCAGAAGTTCATAGAATATACTAGTCTCAAATAATTAAGGTTGATAATTATTTATATTTAAATCATTCAAATTAATAACAGGTGATTTTTTTGTAACTCTGATTCTCTGAAATAAATGCAAGTTTATGAATTTTAGTGGGCAGAAATATCTACAATCAATCAATTAGACTTTTTTGATTGTTATTTATTTCTTTCTTTATTTATTGATAGAATAAACTGTATGTGTCTTTTAAGATCAAACACATTTTTAATTGTGTCAAAACGGTTCTTCAAAATAAATTAACCACACTAGATTTAGCAAAATCAGTAGGGGAAATTGATAATTTTTTACTGAATTCAAATGCATCTGTATAATGTTTACTAAACATGATGGGAAAAAAATCACTTAATGCCACTTTTTCCAAAATGTTATTGTGGAAAATATTTTTTTTCAGCAAGGCACTATACTCACAGACTAATGTTTATTGTATCCCCCTGTACTGTGATTTTCTAGGAGTACTATGTAGGTTATGATATTGTATGATTTACCAGACTGTACTTAAAGTGTTACATGTAGAAGGGCATATATGCCAAGTTTGATCAATGTTGAAATAAATGTTACAAATTGTTTATCTCTGTATTTGGTGTTGTTTTTAGGAGAAGGGGGGGGGGGGGGGGCTTTATTCTCACTTATGTGACCTATAGATGGTTTTCCAATATACCTTTGTTAAAGCCTATTTTAATTCACAATTTCAAGATTGTAAATATTTTTCCCCATATATTTTCCCCATATATTTGTGGCATGCATGTTTAAAATTGGTTGCTCAAAGAGGAAAATTCACTAATTTGCTAATAAGATGGCAGCCAAGGGGAATAACTCCGCAGTAAAATACACGATAGGAAAACCATCAATCAATCTTTGCTGTCTCTCTAAATCAATGTAATTGAATATTTCAAATTCTGCTCAAGTACTACTTGGCTTATTCTCTGCAAAAATATGAAGCTTGTAAGAGAGAGGTTGAACATACATGAAGTGTAATAATAGCCCTATATTGAAAAAAAACGATTTTTATGACAAGATTGTCCTCAACAAAAATCATAAATTCAAAAACTATTAAAAGGGTTCTGTTTAGTGTTTCAAATTTGAATGGGTTGAAAGTGGTCATATTAGCAGAAAATCATACAGGTGACTATTGAGGTCCATAAGCCTCCCGTTTTTTAATTATTATAATTCCTTGCACTAAACTTATTTCCCAAGTATTTAAAAGTCTCCCACACTTCTTAAAATGAATCTCTTGGAAAGCTTATACATGTATGTATCAAAATGAAATAGAGAGGTAACCTTGCCGTTTTTAATCAATCTCAAAACTATACAAATTGGAGGCGAAGCAAATACTTTGGAGGTGGAGTAAGTGTCATGTAGGAAAGAGCATGATCACATCTGCTTTGTGCTTCCTACCATAACAAGGCCAACGGTAAAATTTGTATACAGTTCAGTTGGTAAATTAACGTCAGTCTGCATTCGACTTTATGATCGATTGTACTTGAGCACAAGATCATTGTATGGACTATAGAATCTAGGAAACGGACAGTTGATATCCTTGTTACATCAACTTGTTTGCCAATAGCTTGATTCGTTTTACAAATGAAGTCAATCCCATGAAAAGAAGTTTTGAATGCAGGATAAATTGTTTGAAAGACATTGGATGGCTTTAAAACAGTATTTAAGGAGTGAATTTAAGGTCAAGATCTATTAAATGAAAGGTGCCTACAGATTTATCAAACTTGAGAAACAAATTCCTTTATTGATGCTTTACAACTTTAGCTTGGTCAAATAAGGTGTTTCGGGGCTTAATTTGTAGGTAAACAAGATGATTAACTGTATTTTAAACTGTAAATTTCAATGAAAAATTAACAAAACCAGTCATGAGTATAGGAGTTTTTTTCGTATTCGGCAAAGAAAATGTACCCAGATTGCCTACAGTCTCTCAGAAAACGGTAATTAGTATGTTCATGGCCTCTTCTTTAAATCAATATCAAATTTAATATAGGTATCCGGTTTACTTTTCATATGATTTCAAATTGAATGACATGAAAATACCCTATTTTCTACATAATTCTGCTAAAGCCGTAAAGTACGGGAAAAGAAAGTTGAAATTGAATTTGACGTTATGATGGATCTAGCACCAAAAAATTAGTCTCAAGTTATTTACTAGATCTTGACCTTAATAGCTACCCATTTTATACGGGTAGCTATTAAATTCATTTCCTTATAATTTAATTTTCATTCATTTGATCTAAGAAAAAAAATGATTGTTCTAACAAAATGACTTCAATTTGTGCAAAATTTGAATGTAACGTCAGGCGGATTGATACGTTTTTGACGCAAGCCATTGTGACGTAGGCAACCCATTTTATACGATATAAAGTAAATTTTTTATCCAATCAAATACAGCGTTACAATCAGAATTAAATTATTTTTGTTTATAAGTATTACTTTTTCTTTCACAATTTTTGTTGATCCAACGGAAATAAAACTTTTCGTAAATAAATATGTAGAGGTAAGGTAGAATACCAACTCCAGATGACAGGAAAACGATTCACGCCTTTTGTTTTCTACATACAATATTACATCAGATGTATGATAATGGAACACATTAACATTATATGACAGAACTTTTTTTTAATTGTGAAAGTGATAATTTTTTGCCCATTTTTCCGCAGAACACGAAAACATTTTTTTAATAACTCAAGCTGGCATATTTACTGAAAACATTCAAAGTACTATTGATTATTATTATTTTTAGTGACACATTCTGTATATTATTGAATAAGAATTTTTCATTGAAAAGATGTCCCTTTTTGTTCCAGTACATGTATTTAAAGTAACTCCTCCCCGCTGGATACACCTATACACGCCTGCTAATCGATCAATTGCACAACCAGCAGTTTTGTATAACAATCAAAAGAGATCGATTTCCGGTTGTGCAATTGATGCGAATAATTCCAGTACACAGGTAGTAAATGGACCCGATTCAGGCAATAATTGATATTTTTATTAAAATATAAGAATGTGATTCCATGAGCAATTTATTTTTCTTTAATTTTACACTCTCATAAAAATGCAGTGATTGTCGGTTAGCGACGATATTTTTTTTGAAGCAAGGGCTGGTAGAGCGAAAACGCTGATTGAAAATAGTATTCGCCGACTAAAATTCGTTTTAATCTCAACTAACCTTAAAAATTCAATGTCCACCATGAAAAGTGCATTTCCACCAAAATTGGGACTTCGATATATGTATAATTTGACAAATATTCGTAGAAAATAACATTGCTTATGCATGCGATCATTCAGTTGTGAAAGAGATCTCGGGTTATGCATGAGATGAAGGATAAAAAGTTACGATAGTATTACACAGGCACGTAGCATCGTTTTTGAAAGTGGGGGGGCCAACCTGAGAAAATTTTTTTTACTTACCTAAAAAAAAAAGTTGACAAGCAAAAAAAAAAAAAAAAAAAAAAAAAAAAACGAAAATTGAAAATTACCCAAACTCGAAAATCCGATTTCGTGGGGGGGGGGGGGGGGGGGGGGGGGGGGGGGGGGGGGGGGGGGATTAATGGCCAACTTTATTCAAGGCAAACTTCCTTTCACTTCCAATTTTTTCCTATATTTTCTTGCAATGTATATACCGTGGTAACAAGTGGGGGGGCCAACCACCTTTTCATTAGACATTTTCTATAGTAAAGGTAATGTTGGGAGAAAAAGTGGGGGGGCCAGGCCCCCCCCAGGCCCCCCCGGATACTACGTGCCTGTTACACAATCTCCATAATTCACCTCATACTATCTAATTTTGGTAATCATAAAAGTTTAAATATTGGCTATAATATGAAGACGTTGCAGTGGCAGATCCAGCAATTTTTGAAAAAAGGGGGGGGGGGTGTCCAAGTGGCCAACACTCATGCATATAGGCACTTCAAACCTGGCAACACTGAGTTTTGAACAGTTCTATGGGGGACTTTGACAAGCCAAAAACAAACAATCAAACAAACAAACAAATAAAACAAAAACACAAACAAGCAGGCAGTAGATATACATGTAGCTATAATTCGCTGGGATCTTCCATTGGTTTCAAAGTGAAACATTGTATAGGACGTGTTGGTAGTCCATCCAGGGCTGGGATTGCATGTCATGTGACGGTACTCGGAGGAAAGCATATTAAACGAAGGAACTCTATTTATAGCGATCAGAAAGGACAGAGATTGAACAACACATACAGTGTATTTATTTTATTCGAAATATTTTTTTTATTCAAAGAATTTATTTTATTCAAAATATAAGACGTAATAAAATATCCATGTTACATAACTCTCTCTCTCTCTTTCTCTCTCTCTCTCTTTCTCTGCAAAAATCAAGGGGGGATCCAACCACAGGAACCACCTTCTAGATCCGCCAATGATGTTCAGTCCTTTTTGCAAGCACATTTTGACTTTTTCAGCAGCAGCGGCCGATCTCTACTATAGGGAAATGAAACGTTACTTTTCATCAGTTCTGTAAAATAATCTTAATTTTAAAAAATTGCTTTAAACTGAGCATTTATTGTTGTTGTGTCAATTTCATTGTCATTTCTAATTGGATATTAATAATATATGGTTATATAGAAAGAGTTTGTACAATAGGTACTCCCCAACCAGGGAGTGTTCAAGATATGAAAGGAAATCGTCGTGATTTTCCGGATAATAATGAAGTGGTAAAAGTTGCAAGGTGAAAAAAAAGTTTTCAACAACACTGTAGTAAAAATTGTTTTGAATGTGCTACAGATGTGACAACAAAGATTTTTCTTACATTTTTTCCATCATACTACGCGCCTTGAGTAGCCTATTCTGCAGAAACCATGGGTATTATCACGTGTCAGGCAAAGATCCTTGCAGGGTTTCAGCATGTGGTTCATCTTGAGAGGTCTACATCTTCATTCATACATTCTTATCATTCATCATTGGCTTTTTTTATTGATTCATTGATGACTCATTGATGCTTTTGAAAATAAGAAAGTACTAGTAATTTTTGAAATTATAAACTTTGCGGTCGATTTGATGCTTTGCATCAATTTTATTTGGATTTTTTAATAGTTGTATTTTTTTATTGAACGATTATTTTTTGTTTTTTGACGATTTTTCCCCTATGGTATACAAGATGAATAAATGTAATAAATATAATTTGTGAGAAAAAACAGTGTCCAACAAGTTCGGGGGTTGAATATCGGAGGGGGGGGAGGGTGTCCTGTCCACCATCACCTGTAATGTGATGTTGTCATCTTGATCCTTTCCATCTTTTATCCAAATAAAATTGATGCAAAGCATCAAATCGGCCGAAAAGTTTATAATTTCAAAAATTACCAGTACTAGTGCTAGAAGTATAGCTATATCTACTATATCTATGTATATCTACTGCTTGTTTGTGTTTTTGTTTTGTTTGTTTGTTTGTTTGTGTTTGGCTTGTCAAAGTTGGACACCCCCCCCCCCCTTTTTTTCAAAAATTGCTGGATCTGCCACTGCAACGTCTTCATATTATAGCCAATATTTAAAATTTTATAATTACCAAAAATAAAATAGTATAAGAGGTGAATTATGGAGATTGTGTAATACTATCGTAACTTTTTGTCCTTCATCTCATGCATAACCCGAGATCTCTTTCACAACTGAATGATCGCATGCATAAGCAATGTTATTTTCTACGAATATTTGTCAAATTATACATATATCGAAGTCCCAATTTTGGTGGATAGGATGCACTTGTAGCATACTCATGGTGGACATTGAATTTTTAAGGTTAGTTGAGATTAAAACGAATTTTAGTCGGCGAATACTATTTTCAATCAGCGTTTTCGCTCTACCAGCCCTTGCTTCAAAAAAAATATCGTCGCTAATCGACAATCACTGCATTTTATGAGAGTGTAAAATTAAAGAAAAATAAATTGCTCATGGAATCACATTCTTATATTTTAATAAAAATATCAATTATTGCCTGAATCGGGTCCATTTACTACCTGTGTACTGGAATTATTCGCATCAATTGCACAACCGGAAATCGATCTCTTTTGATTGTTATACAAAACTGCTGGTTGTGCAATTGATCGATTAGCAGGCGTAGAAAATAATAATACTATATTATAGTTCCCTTACAATCTTGACGCCAAAATTTAAAATTTCTTTCTGAATGATTCTCCACTGTAATTTGCGGATTGAGAGGCCCCATAATTTTTTTTTTTTTTTTTTTTTTGTCGTGGGTGTGGACCCTGCCTCAGACCCAAACTGGTCGTTCCATCTCCTTTTCAAGATTCCTTGATCCGCTACTGTTTTTGCTTAATTCTCCACTATAAAATAATAAGTACAATGGTGACGATTTAAATCTTTTTATTATCATTATTTTCTTTAATGAGTTTGAAGAAATATAAATATAAACACAGTCAAGAAAATATAAAATATTTTAAAGTTCTGCCTTTTGGCGTGGTTGCGTTTCCGGGAATACAAATTTCGGTTAAAGTTTTCTCTTTTACAATTTCGTCAATGTAAACAATATGGTAGCGACGAAAGTCAACAGGTGGAAGCTAGGATAGTTAAATTGAGAAATAACTTTGAAAATTCATTTGGAATAACTTTAGAAATGTCGTTGTCAGCAAACGAAAGGAAAATGTTTTGGCAGGATCACAAATCCAGTTTGAATAGGATTCGTACCCAGCTCTCTGATCGAGATTCCCCTGTGATTTCTCCACGGAAGTCTCCTGCCAATGGATTAAAACGTACTCATTCCCCACTTGGTCTCTACCGAAGGCCATCACCTTCACAGTTACCTAGAATGGAGACACCACCAGATAACGATCGTAACAGGGGAAAATTGAGAGGAAGTAGATACGAAGTTGTCCCCCCTGTAAACAATAGACGCTCTGTACGCCATCAGACCCCAGACTATGACTCCTGGGGCGAAGAATCAGATGAGGATAACGAGGATGAGGACCAGCATTTCATGCCCCTGCCCTACCCCTACCCAGTGTACGGGTACCCGGCATACCAAGCCCCTTCTGGAATGCACCCCCCACCAGTGGTATATGGAAACCCTTTCCCGGTCTATTACCCTCCCCCACCTGTTTACAGAGAGAGGGGGAAAAAGAGGGGCAAAGGCAAACAGCCGGCTGATAGGCTAGAAGTTCATCAGTCCTACCCTGCTGGGGGCAGGTCCAGACACCCCGCAGTACAATTTTCAATGTCAGACAGAATCTCCAAGGAACCTCCAGTATTTGATCCCAGCAGAAATAGTGTTCTTAAGAAATACAAGTATATATATCCCAGGGATACTCCTTTTATACCTTATATTGACAGAGGTTATGAAGAAAAGCGATACAGAAATGAACGACAAGATGATCATTCCAGTCACTATGCTGCCCTTGATGTTCGAGATGACATCATCGATGATGTTGTAAAATCCATGACCAGAGAAGCGGTTCGAGGCGGTGTTGGGGATATGGTTAATGAATACATGGGATATGATGATAATATACATCCAAAAGACCCTCTGGTGAGATTCCTAGATACACTCATGGAAGATGCCATTCGCGATTCCGTGGACGAAGTGGTGAGAGACACGGTCCGAGAATTAGCTAGTGACCACATGAGGGTCAGCTCAGCAGCCCAAGTGGTGGACGAATTGGTCCTTGACCATTTGCAGGACATTCAAAGGGAACTGGTAGATGATGTCGTTTTTGAAATGGTGATGGAAGAGTTCATTCAAGATTATGTTATTGAACAAGAATTGGAGGACGAGCTTCCGAGGATAGCTAAGGAGGTATTGGAACACTACGATACAAAGATTGAGAAAAAGGAACTTAGAGAAGTGTCCAAAAAAGCTCAGGACAAACTTCTGGAATCAATTACTCTGGAATATCTTCTTTCTCTTATATCCAGACAAGGGAAAGTGTGGAACGAAAGTGATCACGCGAACAAATACTTAGATGACATGGTGTTGAACCTGCTGTTCAGTCAATATACCAATGTCATCGTTAATCGTGACAAAACGATGACAAACCAGCCCTTGAAAAAGCTACACGAAAAAGTGGTCAGTGATGTTGCTTTAGACCTACTGCTGCAGCAGTTGTCGAGTTCTTTAGATGAGGATTTGGCTGACGTTGATGAATATGAGCACGGTGTTGATGATAAAAATGTTACCATTAAGGGCAGTGTTGCTCATTTGAAAAGTTCACTGAACAAAAGTTGACAGGTAGTGGAAGTTTCACATATGAAATAATTCTAAGATGTTGTGATTCCAAGCATTTGACCACAGAATGTTCAGAAACTGCAAGAAAGTTTTCAAGGCCACTTCTTCATTGGTACTAGACTTATAGTGTATCATTTTCTATATGGTCACTTCAGGAAATAAACAATGTATTTCACATTCCTGCATAATTGAGTTAATGAGGTACTGTATGCAGGGAAATTTTTGCCCCGTTTCATTTTTGCCTTTTTGGTCCTTTTGTCACAAGTGCATGAATTTAAATTGGGAAAATTCAGAGTGATTAAGTTTACAGCATTATTCATTACCAGGTAAACACAACTTGACCTGGGCAAATTTAAAATGGGTCAAAATTATTTGCATCTTGTATATGAGTAAGCAAAAAATAAATTATATACCCTGTATAACAACATGAACAGTAATGGATCAGGTTGAAGTGGTAAAAATTGTAGTTTTAATTGTATACACGTCTCATATGCTTCATAGAATCATAGCAAGTGACAAAGCTCACATCAGAGTGAACGATCAGGAAAATATTCACCTTTACTACACTGTGGCCAGTCGATATTAAATGAAAGTCCTATGTACCATTATCACATACTTATGGTGCTGACAAGCTTATTGGTGAATCGTGTTTGTATTAATCAATTTAATGTTCAAGTGCTTATAAGTACAAAACTGTATAGTTTTAATTTAATTAATATTAATTGACATTATTAGTTTATTCTGCATGTAATTCATAATATATTTGGAAATTTTATATTTTACTTCTTTAGTTTTGTTTTGTTTCTTTTGATTTCACATTCAAATTATCGGGTCGGTGTCATCTAATGCTAATGGTGTGTAAACTTAGAATGTGGGCCACTTCTCAAGAACCTACCTAGTATATATAGGCCTAGCTGCTACACATATTTTTTAAGTTTGTTCATGACAAAATTAATCTATACTCAGTCTTCGAAATAACCTGGGTGCCCCATGCCCGGGACCTGGTAAATTTGCCAGCGGGCATGTGAAAATTCTCAAATTATATGCCCGAAGGGCATGTGTGAATTTTCTTTCGATTCACGATGTTTACTTGCTATTTGTTCTGTCGTTTCCCAGTTACGCACATAAACTTGCTATGTAATTTCTTAATGTGAATTGCCAGTCTCCATTTGTCTTACATTACATTATCTCTACGACCTGTCAAATGATTGTCAATCACAATCATTAAAGTGTTTAATTTAACCGATTTGTTTTCTCGATGTTACCATATGTTTATTGATACCACGTGCAGTGGACTGCTGTCATGATGATTATGATCCTGTTTCTGAAATTCAGTTCAGCTTTACCGGCTAACTAACGACCAGCATGCAAGTCAAAAGTTGTGAACAAAATCGCAAACGAAAATGGCAGACAGGCAGGCCATGGTTGATTGAAAACTCTGGAAACAATTTAAACTTAAGATCGAGAGAATTTAAAACAGAAACACTGTCCACTCCTTATAGTTAATATAAAAACCTTATTTTTTGTTGAACAATCATATCTCTGCTATATCACGTATATGAATGAATTTTGAGTAGGGCATGTACAAATTTCAATGGGCTGGGTTAAAATGACCGGTATACATGCCCGAAGGGCATGTGCTGAAAAAAGATTGTTGTGAAGACTGTATACTACCCATGGCTATTGACTTTCATTAATATGAATGTGAGATTGAAATCTCTCAAATGTATGTCAAACTCCAATGGTTAAGGTCAGAAGTGTTAGTATCCAAAGGAAGGTTTTGTTACAAGGAACACACATGTCAAGTCTGAAAGCCCTAGGTCTGACTATACAAAAGTTACGATCAAATTTAAAGTTTTTTAAAAGTGGGTCAAAGTCTAAGATCAAGGTCAAAAGGTCAAAAATATTTAAACTTGCTGAAAGGTCTTGTCACAATGAACAAACATGAAGTATAAAAGCCCTATTTCCAACTGTTCAAAAGTTATAGCCAAGATAACAGTGTGATATTTTTTGTAAAAGGTCAAATTTTTAGGTAAAGTATAAGCTAGGTCAAATTTGGTGGTAGCAGGTCTGTGTAACACTTAACAATTCAAATTTCTAAAAATGATTTTGAGTTTTAGAATGTTAATAGATTTAAGTTCAAATTTCAAAAACTCAAACTGATTTGATATTATTGTAATTTTATATTTTAGTTCTCAAATATAAATTTTCAAATTTCCAAACAGATTTTAGAATTTTATGTTTTTTAGATTTTTTCCCTTAAATATTCAAAATTCAAATTTCCAAAAACAATTTTTTTATAGTATTTTAAACTTTTGAGTTTTTAACCTACCGTATCATGGTTACGTGTACGAATTGAAATGCATGGATCATGGATCCAGAATCCTTGACCCAGGGGCCATAGAATTCACAATATTGGTAGAGGCATTCTCGCTCATTATAACCATGTACTTAGTTTGTTTGTTTAATACCCAGGAGCAGAGAAGAAGATTTCCCTAAGAAATAAGAATCAATGCATTTTAACTATATAATCAATATAGCCCCGCCCTAACACTAGAACCCCTGACCCAGAGGCCATAAAATTCACACTTTTCTAAGAGGCATTTTTGGTCATTATAACTATGTACTTAGTTTGTTTGTTTAATACCCAGGAACAGAGAAGAAGATTTTCAAAGAATTAATGCATTTTCACTACATAACCAATAGAGCCCCGCCCTAACACCAGAACCCCTGACCCAGGGGCCATTAAATTCACAATTTTGAAAGAGGCAACCTAATTCAACACAATCATGCGCTTGTTAGTTTATTTAATGCCCAGGAGCAGAGAAGATTTTTAAAGAAATAATGCATTTTCACTTTATAATCTGTTTAGCCCCGCCCTAGCACTAGAACCCCTAACCCTGAGGCCATGAATTTCACAATTTTGGTAGAGGACTCAATGCTGATTACTATCATGCCAACAGTGTGACTGCTTGATGTCCAGGAGTATAGAAGAAGATTTTTAAAGATTGCGTTAATTTCAGGCCCCAGAACCATGAAATTCACAATTTTTGTTCCCCTTCACCCACAGATGCTTTGTGCCAAATTTGGTTGAGCGGTTGCAGAGAAGAAGCTGAAAATGTTCAAATGTTAACGCACGACGGACGACGCACGATGACGGACAAAAACGGATAGCAATAGGTCACCTGAGTGGCAATGTAGCGGTAATGTTGACCTCCCGTACAAAGATACTAGTATATCAGAAATGATTCAAGAGGCTCTTTTTGTTTGTACCAACAGGCGCTTGACGTTTTTAACCTTTCTTTTCATAAATAAAAATTTCCCCAGTTCTATAACAATAATTTTTATTTATGAAAGGAAAGGTTAAAAACTTTAAATTATAAAACCTGTTTGGAAATTTGAAAATTTAGATTTTTGAGCTAAAATATTAAATTTCAATATACCAGATCAGATTGAGTTGTAATTTATACAATGATTTTGAGTTTTTAAGAATATTAATAGATTAGTTCAAATTTCTAACTTTCAAAAACTCAATCTGATCTGGTATATTGAAATTTAATATTTTAGTTCAAAAATCTTAATTTTCAAATTTACGCAGGAGTTTGCGTACCTACATATGTACCAATTTTACCGAATTTTTCAGTAAAAAAAATACGTAATACATATAATATAAAATGATAGGTATTAAGTATTTTTTTTTAAATTCACTGAAAACTTCGGTACCAATTTTACCGAGATTTTCAGAAAATTAAAAAAAAAATACGTTATAATACATGTACCTATAATATTATTATTATAGGTATACGTATTTTTTTAATTTACCGAAAATTTCGGTAAAACTAATAGGTACGCGAACTCCTGTGATTTGAGAATGATTAAATAAACCACAGCTAGGCGCTTGTGGATTTTTGGCTTAAATCTGCACTTTGATATGAAGCGTTTAAAAGCTAACAAAGTTCTAGTTTGTTTGAAAATTCATATTTATTTGATATATTTTTTAAAGTTTAGTCTCTCATTATAAATTTAACTCATTTTTCTATTATAATTTTGAGAGGCAGAAAAGAAGATATTTTCATACGCCAACATTCCGCCAAAAATATAGTCCCTGCTAGTTTTCAAACGCAGTTTACCATTTCTATTTAAAGTTGTACAATTGTGATGAGGAAAGAAAAATGTGGTCTTTTAAATTCCTTACACCTCAATATATAAGATATATTTAAGCAAATATACTTTGAATGTTTCATCTAGTCAGAAACCAGAGAAGAATCTACCTTAAGCCCGGGGTCATATTTGGAGGGGGAGGGAGGGGGTTCATGTCCACAAGTACCTGTGATCAACGTGTAGGAGAAAAATATTGAAATCTTTTCTTACAGTGTATTTGAAATACAAAAGATAGACACTTATAGTCTAGCATTTTTCCTTTATTACACATATACAAATATCGTATCAATGAACATGTGAACACTAAATTCATTTGATACCGTGGTCCCTTCAGAAATGATGGTGTCCAAGAAAGGCCATTTTCCATCTTGTACAACTCTAAATAAGCAATTTTCGCAGATTCAATTGAAATTCGTTAAATTTTAATATGTAGGATAAAATCTAAAATGCATTTCTCTATCGTTTTAGCCCACCTGCATGAGCTATTTGTCCGTCGACTGTTGTTCGTTGTCTTGTTGCGCATGCGCAGTAGTCATCCTCATTGTTGTCACCTTTGTTGCAATTTTTCATCATGTTCAGCTCTAAATACGGTACGCGATTTCTGCAGATTCAATTGAAAATCGTTAATATGCAGGATGAAATTGTCTTCATCCTCATCGTTTTCACTTTTGTTGCAATTTTCTCACATTTTCCTCTTCTCTAGAACAACAAAGCCCTATACATATAGTCCTATTTATATGAACTTCAAGGTATTTTCAGGTACATGATGTGCAAAGAAGATGGGGGGATAAGGCGGGCAGAATGCCTATAGCGCGACAGATAAGAAGTGAAAAATTCAATCTCAACTACACCGTATATCCAAATTATCTAATATTAAAGTATACTTAATGTAAAATCTCTATAATTTATAAAAATCTCACAAAGACTGAAAATATTTGCCTATGAAAAAGTATACACAGACTTAAAGGAGAAAAAACGATCATTTTTTCATACTTTAACAAAATTTTTCAGTATGAGTGGGTCTTCGCTCCATCTTTTTTTGAACGATAATCTTAAAAGTTTGCGATATATAAAATAAATATTTTTTGGTTTACAAAAAATGGAGCGATGACCCACTATACCTTAAAAGTACACTTTTATGACAAAACATTCGCATCTTTCCGAGAAATAATTCAAGTCCATTAAGTCAAGGGTCATATCACAAACATGATTTAAATGCCCCTAATCACCATGTGCCATGTAGCATATAGTGGTTAGCGCTTTAGTCTCAAAGCAGTTATGATACTTCGGTATTTTATTGCTGGGTGTTCGGATCCCACGTATACCATCTAATATTTTTAGAACCGAAATTTCTTTAAGAGATTTATTTTCTCTCAGAAATTTTTTTTCTCGTAATTTCATAAATTTCAATAATGAGAGGTAAATTTAAATACTCAGTTTACATTTAAAATGTGATTTCTTAATATCTGACGCTCTAGGCATTCTGCCCTCCTTATCCCCCATCTGTCTGTCTGTCATGATCCTCTGGCATTCGATTAGGTCACAATAAGCGATCAAGGTGTTTCACTGTAATACATAGGAAATGTCGCATAAAATTTATCATGGTTATTCAGATGAATATTCATCCGATTTGGAAGTAGCTGCAGAACTGTAGCTCTCCGAAAAAATTATTTTGATAGACCGAGAGCTACAGTGCCACCTATTGAAAAAACTGTATATTTATTGCGCACAAAAAAGTGCGCTGTTTCTCGATTTTTTTCTCCATGTTTTTAAAACTGCCATCTCAAAATATTACTAACCGTGAGTTCCTATCATATTTTTCACTGTTTCCACAACATAACGTTCCTTATAATTGTTTTTAATAGCCCTTCTGGTCCTGAAATTGAGATCATCGAAAATTTCGTCTATTTATACTGCCATTTCGGTTTGCAGGAAAATTCAGCCCAACGCGCTTCGTTCAGATGTAAACTACGAAAGTAACTGATAGATTAGTAAGGACTTTGTTGAAATCTAGCTTTTTTTCGCAACTGAGGTCAGAATTTGGAAGAATTAATCCAGAACCGAGCGCACTTTTTTGTGCGCAATAAATATACAGTTTTTTCAATGGGTGGCACTGTAGCTCTCCGGTCTATCAATATATTTTTTTCGGAGAGCTACAGTTCTGCAGCTATATTGGAAGATACCTCAAATACATGTAGAAAAAGTGTAAATAATTTTTTAGCTGGTAATAATTGAAAAGGATTACAGCCTTTTGTTTATTCCGGCTTTTGTATAATTACGCAAGTTTCTCGCAAATGAAGGGAAGTTTATCACTGCTGTAAGCATCACTCCAAACGCCTTGTTTTCGAATCTCCAGGCAATTGGCCAATACGCCGTTATTTGGCTCCCCGGGAATCCAATTCGTAAAACTTAGTGATGACTTGGAATATTGCCAAACAAATACACCTTCAGTGACGTCATCACGACCTCCGGACCAAATAGAAGTTCCTTAAAAAAATTGTATGTACATGTATAATAAATTAATATTGATCTAGATTGCGTATGGGCGGCGGAAAGGGTAAAAAAGACGTTTATGCAAAACTAACAACTAATTTTATAAACATAATGAAATACAAAACAGACAACCTTAAAAACAAAATCAACAGACTCGTTTGCAAAACCAATAGACTCCGATGCAAAACCAACGATCACCAATGCAAAACCAACGATTATTCACTGAATTGTCGCTAGATGGCGTGCAAAAAACATACATTACCTGAATTAACGCTGGATGGCGCGGATGTTTTTCTACGTCATCATTATTTTTGTACTTTCATAGGAACGTAAAATCTCGCGAAATTATATATCAGGATCCAGTTGGCAAACCTCGGAATGTATGATAGAATATATTACCGGTATCGAAATCAGATACTAGTATACTAGTATATCGGTATACATATAACAGGGGATCATATACTATATAATACATTATACATGTATACCCATTTTTAGCTCACCTGAGCCGAAGGCTCAAGTGAGCTTTTCTGATCACATTTTGTCCGGCGTCCGTCTGTCCGTCTGTCTGTCCGTCTGTCCGTCTGTCTGTCTGTAAACTTTTCACATTTTCGACTTCTTCTCAAGAACCGCTGGGCCAATTTCAACCAAACTTGCTACAAAGTATTCTTGGGTGAAGGGGATTCAAGTTTGTTCAAATGAAGGGCCACGCCCTCATTCAAGGGGAGATAATTGGGAATAAATGAAAATTTGGTGGCATATTTTAAAAATCTTCTTCTCAAGAATCACTGTGCCAGGAAAGATGAAACTTATCACTGGAAACATCCTCAGGTAGTGTAGATTCAAGTTTGTTCAAATCATGACCCCCGGGGATAGGGCGGGGCCAAAATGGCCGACCAAAGATTTACATAGAAATATATACATGTAGGAAAATTCTTTAAAAATCTTCTTCTCAAGAATGACAAAGCCATAATTTATCATATTTATATGGAAGCATGCTCAGGTAGTGTAGATTCAAGTTTGTTCAAATCATGACCCCCCGGGGGTAGGGCGGGGCCAAAATGGCCGACCAAAGTTTTACTTAGAAATATATAGGAAAATTCTTTAAACATCTTCTTCTCAAGAATGACAAAGCCATAATTTATCATATTTATATGGAAGCATGCTCAAGTAGTGTAGATTCAAGTTTGTTCAAATCATGACCCCCAGGGGTAGGGCGGGGCCAAAATGGCCGACTAAAGTTTTTAAAGATATATATAGGAAAATTCTTTAAAAATCATTTTCTAAAAAATAGCAAATCCATGATTGGTCATGGGACTACTTTTGGATTTAAACTTTACAATAAAAAGCCATTTTCTACTTTTTCCTACCCTTAGTGCTCAGGTGAGCGATGTGGCCAATGGGCCTATTGTTATCTATTAGATTGACCCTGTGTATATTTTAGGGAATGACTAGAGTACTTTAAAATATAAAGAAAAGAAATTAAGGCAAGATGTGTGTGTATCCATATCTTTTTTTATGCTTAAAATAAGGCGAAGGAATGTAGGACAGCGATTACTCCAGGTTTGGGGGATATACTGTTTTCGGAGAAATTAAGAAAATCAGTAGGGGGCCTAGGGGCACAGAGCATGCAGGGTGAGGAGGGCGGAGGCCCCTTGCTGACATTGAGTTTGAGCATGCTTTTTTATGGCCATTTAGAGTGCATAAATTGCAACGCAGAACCATTTTCTGTGTTAGTTAAAATGTACATGGGGCAAGGCATACCATGGCAAAGATGCCATCACACCATGTACAGGTCTCATCCTTGTAGCCCTACAGTGTAAATTCTTTTACGGTTTCAACTATACTGAAAGGGAGAAGAAACGCATAGTGAACTTTTAAATAAAATAAAAACTATCCTTCCGAATATATTTTCCAGATTTATTATCAGACATTTTAATTCATGTTTAATCAACAAATTACCAAAATCTTATGAGACCTTTACTGAAACTCCATGAGTTATTGATATTGATATGTCGATACCCCCCCCCTCCCCAAATATCATCACTTCCTTTGCGCAAAAAATATCATCATCTCCCTTGCGCATCAGTACCAACCTTGATTATCCTCTTCCTCAGAGCATTTATCTTTTTTGTATTATATAATTCATATCTGTAAAGGCGCAGATCCTGTTTTTTTTTCTTTTTTTTTGGGGGGGGGGGGTCCATCCTAATAAAAACAATAAACACTAGTAGCGATCTATAAAGTAGCGATCTATGTGAGCAGATCAAAGGATCTGATTTTAATCAGATTGCTTCCTAAATTAACTTATTCTAAAATAAATTTAATAGACTTCATTTAGTCCTACAAAGAAAAGCAAAAATGATACAAGTACAATTTGTCAAGTGAATTTTCATGTATCAACAAATTGTGTAATGCATAAACACAATAAAATAATTTTATATGAACTTTTTTAAGAGTGTAAGAGGATTTTTTCCTTTCAAAATATTTTTCTTGGGGAAAAATACCAATATCTGCTACTGTTTTGTTGTAATATATTTACAGTCATTTGTAGATGTCTTGCTGCTCAATATGTTTGAATTTTGCAATGATGCTAATGGATGTTGATAGACAATTTCGCGGTATTTGGACCCGGACGACAATTAGCTTACATATATAGACTTATATAGTAAAAACATGTGTTTTGTTTTCTTTGTAACTTTTTTAAGAAAGATTCATTTCCAAAATATTTTTACCACATGGCAGAGCAATGTGTCAGATAAATATTCACATAAAAATGGGGGTGTTCAATGTGGAAATAGCTGGTTATTAATAAACTTCTAACGTCATGACCTCCAAATAGCTCTCGCTTGGCTTAAAAAGTGTAAACAAACCAAATGATCTCTCATTTCAATACATATTTCTGTGCATAATTTATGCTTGAAATGCACCTTGATGCATATCATTGTAAACTTTTTACATTAAACTTTTATTCTATACCTAGAAAGTCACACAAACATGTGAGCTGTTTTTATTTTTATCATTGAAAGGGAGGCATGCGAATTTCCTACATGTGCTACTTTTCAGCCTTTTGATCTTCACTCTTTAATTGTGGCCCTGATCCATTTACCTTCCTATGAAAGTACAAAATTAATGATGACGTAAAAACTTGCGCGCCATCTAGCATTAATTCAGGTAATGTATGTTTTTTGCACGCCATCTAGCGACAATTCAGTGAATAATCGTTGGTTTTGCATTGGTGATCGTTGGTTTTGCATCGGAGTCTGTTGATTTTGCAAACGAGTCTGTTGATTTTGTTTTTAAGGTTGTCTGTTTTGTATTTCATTATATTTATAAAATTAGTTGTTAGTTTTGCATAAACGTCTTTATTACCCTTTCCGCCGCCCATAATTGCGCTGTCCAGAGACTTCAAAGTAAAAGTCAAGGAGCGATTAATTGGAAAATAATCAAATTCCTCTGGTTGAGCATTTTTATTTCAGAACACCTTCAAATTGATACCATGATTTAAACTATAGAGTGTTCCAAGGAACGCATGTGTCGCCTGCTTTTAGCTTCTTTAAAGATGTAACTAAATCTAAGAGTGGACAGCTATTTACATGCTACTGGCAGATACAGTATTTCATGCCAAATAAATCGAGCATGATCCATGTAGTTCACAAATGCATCAAAAACTAAACATCCACACATAGTATCAGACTGTAATAGAGTCTGTCAATCAAAACATCGCTCACATGAGGAACTTTGATGGTGCCGTTCTTTACCAGATTTCCCCCCTGTAGTACCTATTGTTGCCCCCCCCCCCGCCAGGAGGTCATGATTTTAACAATTTTGTATTTACACTAACCCAGGATACTTCCACATAAGTTTCAGCTCTTCTGGCCTAGTGGTTCTCGAGAAGAAAATTTTTTAACGAACCCAACCTATTTTTGTCTTTTCTTGATTATCTCTCATTGCTAGGGGACTTGGCTCCGCATTTTAATTTAAACTCCCCATTGCCGAAGGATGCTTTGTATATAGATGGTTAAAATTGACCACAGTGGTTCTTGAGTAGTTCAAAATGTGAAAAGTTTACAGACGGGAGGACGGACGGAAACAGGTGATCAGAAAAGCTAACTTGAGCTTTCAGCTCAGAGGAGATAAAATATGATTCCCAACCCTCAAATGAATTATCACGTTGAAATCATTATAAATAATTATTTATCATTTTACATGCGTTAATATGTGTTTCAAAGTCTTTACATTCTTAGGATTCTACACGATCCGTGGTGGGATCCCGATCCTGATGAATTTATCAGTTTGTGTGGTTAACTGAATATCATACAGTTTTAAAGAACAGCTAGTATTTTGAGCTCATAAACATGTATAAATGTTATTATCAACACCCGCCACTCAAAATTCCAATGTCTGAAGTTATTTTGCCCGGGGTTTTCTTTGTAAAGTAGGTTAAAGGTCAAAGCCATGTGAATTGTAACGCTGGTATTTTTCATTATGTTTTATGACAATCAGTGCACATGCTAAATAGCATAGAATTATCCCCTTGAATGTCAAAAATACGCTGTATATTGGCACTTTTGTTTTCATTAAAATAGGTCAAACGACAATGTCGAGGATCAAGAGGTCACTATTCGGTAACCATGACAATTTACAAATGCTATAGTGCCAGGCAATAAATGTGCAGATCTCTTACAGTTCTTGAGATACAAGGTGTGACAGACAGACGCCGGATAAAGTGATCCCTTAGTGCCGCTCTGCTCTGCAGACGAAACAAGACACAAAAATATCTGACCAATCATTAATTAGGTAATAAAAAAATTGGTCGTTATACATTGAATACCTTGAATTCAATATACTTTCCATACCCAAACTTTGGAGAAATTTTTCTGTAATCCATTCATTTTCCCTTTGGTCACCGATTTCTACAAGATACGCATCATGTGTCTGGCAGGTCGCCTAAATTAAAAAAAAAAATATGCATTTAATTAAGGTTCATTATTCCACCGGGAAAAAGACAACTCCTCCGGAGTAAATGACTCCTATTCCCTTAACAGAGGGCACTGTGTTGTAAAACGTACACCAAATTAACCAGATTAACCATTTTTATCAATAACATTTTAATTCATTTTAATTTAGAAAATCTTAGAACCATTTCCAGGTTAGATTGGACATTCAGTAAGGCGTGGCATTCTCGGCGCTACGTAATTAGCGTCTGTCAAATGGCGAATAGATTCTCATTGGTTAAGAAATTAATAACATCAGGACTTTAAATTGTTGCTGACAACGATGAGACGTCTTTGCCGGACGAGACAACGTAATTGGTTATTCGATATTACGCTAATTGGCATTTGCCCGAATTTCTATCCCATGTATATTTCAACAGTGAAGAAAAGCTGTGTAAATTAAATTCAGAAGCTAATTATGTAACGTCGAGAATGTCACGCCTTACGGAAAGTACAAACTAACCTGGAAATGGTTCTAATTTAAAGATTTTATTTAAAGTGGTAACCACTAACCTGAATTATCAGAATAATGTTTACTTGGTAAAGCTGGATGAATTTTTAAGATTTTGTCATAAGGGTTAGAAGTTGTGCAAAATTTTGTGTACTGAGATTTATACATGTATATAAAGCAACATAAAGTCTCATATCTTAAAGACCAAAGAAACCTTACGATTTCTTTATATATTTTAGGGGTATATTATTTACGTCATTTCTATTCAAAATCAGTCAAAAAAAAAAATCAACCCATCCATCAAATTTTGTTTGTTTTAAGTATCCGTAATAATTAGTTATGCTTTACCTGGGCAACGTTCCAATTCGATCGAGTTTGGTTACAAAAGTAACAATGTCCGCTTCTCTCAGTCCAGCCGTATTCACAAGCTACAGAAACACAAAAATAAATCTCAATATTTTAAAGTGATTACAAACCCTCACACCCCCACAAAAAGACATATATATTATTAGCGATGTATTCTATGTTTGTGTTTACATTTTATTAGTCCTCTACCGGTGAAACCGGAGGGGACTATAGGTTTCCTCTGAGTCTGTCCGTCCGTCCGTCTTTCTGTCTGTCTGTAACGTTTTCGTTTCCACACAATAACTCGAGAACCCTTTGAGCTTTCGCAATGAAATTTTGCATAGCAACTCCCTATGGCTTAAGGAACACTATTGATTTTGAGGTCCAAAGGTCAAGGTCAGAAGTTCATAAAACCTGTCTGTTATAACACTTTCGTTTCCGCGCGATATCTTGAGAACCCTTTGAGCTTTTGCAATGAAATTTCACATAACAATTCCCTGTGGCCTAAGAAAGACCCCTATTAATTTTTAGGTCTAAAGGTCAAAGTTCAAGGTCGTAAATTTACACATTCTGTCTGTGTGTAACACTATCGTTTCCGGGCGAGGACTATTAAAATTACAATTAACTGGAAATATAAGGAATCATTGTCTGGGATAATTTATGCAAAACGGGCTTCGCCCGTTATACAAGTTATTCCATGTTTCCCACTATCGTTGATGCCCTGGCATACTATACTAACAAGCTAATTCACAGAATTCGTGTCCCCCGCTTAGGGAAAAAGTCGATCCCCCTGAAGTTTGTAGAATTTTGTGTTAAATGTATACATGTATACTGAAGGAAATAAAATACATGTATGTCAATATGCATATAAAGATTTGATTGCTTATTCTTTATTATGTGTATAGAAGATTTTTTTTATATGGAATATTTATCACACTGTAATTTTTTATAATCATAAATTTTTCATTTCACATGCTTAATACTATCATTTAGTAAAAAAAAAAAAAGTATTTAAAAAAAAAAAAAAGAAAGGTTCGACTGATTCATTCAAATTTTGTGGTCCTAAAACGTCACACTTGAGGCCAGAGACATAACCACTAGACCACGGAGTCGCTTACATGGAGTGAAGTATATGCAAACTGAAGTCACATACAAATGTATATATTCATGTTTTCATGTTCGGTATTCTCAAAATTTTACACAATCCATGGTGTTTGATTTATTTAGCCTTTATTAAACAGTTATAATAGATGTAATAAGAACATAAAGTCCGCCGAGAACCTGTTTTATCCGCAATCACTCTCCTCCTGCCCCTCCGCTAAAAATAGCCACCTGTAATACTACAAATACTACTAAAACAAACGGAGCGGGGCAAAATTTGAGAGGGGCGAGAGACGTCCTAGGGAGTTTTGGTATAAAATTACATTGCATAAGCTCAAAATCTTCTTGAAATATCGCCCGGAAATGATAGTGTTACACACAGATAGAATGTATAAATTTACGACCTTGAACTTTGACCTTTTGACCTCAAAATCAATAGGGGTCTTCTTTAGGCCACACTCAGGGAGTTGTTATGTAAAATTTCATTGCGATAGCTCAAATGGTTCTAGAGATATCGTGTTGAACCGAACGTGTTTTAACAGACAGAATTTGCTTTTGCAATTTTTGCTGACCTTGGCTTACCTTTGATTTTGAGGTCAAAATCAAGGTCAGAAGTTCATCCTGTCTGTTATAACAGTTGCTATGCTAAATTTCATTTTGCAAAAGAAATTTCTCGAACAATATCGTGTGGAAACGAAAGCGTTTTACAGACAGACAGAAATTTACACATTCTGTCTGTGTGTAACACTTTCGTTTCAGACGGACGGACGGACGGACAAACCCAAATTAATATCCCCCACTTTTCAAGCGGGGGACTAACTAGACAGTGATTCCTTAAAATTAATACACTGACAGGCTCCTGGAAGCCTATCATAACATTTGACTAGTCTTTATTAAAATAAATCTAGTTTATCATAGTAAATAACTATTATTGCCTAAAAGTAACTAGTTAATGCTTTGATACACTAGTATTGATAAAATCAGGAAAATATGGAACTTTTCACGATAACCTTTTTCTGAAAGGTAATGTTTTCACACTCCTAAAATTCCATTCCAATGATGTTTAAAACATTTCTTGTAAAGATACAATCATGTAATATTTTTGTTAATGTAAAAAATGCTAAGAGAATACGAAATAAAATACTAACTAGTAATTAGCAATAGCAATGATCACGTACCGTTTTTGATGTTGTAAAATCGCCATCCTGGACTTTGTTTAATGTTTAATCCGTAAAGAGAAATAATCATTAGATGACATTCCTTCTTTGCAAGATTATAACCAAAACCCTCACATTTAAGATTGAAAGCACATTGATACGTGCACATAAATTTATCTATCCCAGAAAAATTGGCGATAATCACCCCCGAAGATTCTGGGACAAAACTGTCCTGGAGAGAATCAGTCTGGAATAGAGATTTTTGTATGGTGTCTCCTGCCATCACACAAGCTGGAAGCACTGCTCCGAAAACTAGTCTCCAAATCTTGGGTACCAGGTGTACCGAATTTAATAACTTAAATTTCAACATTTATATGGGGTTAAATATATTTTCTGTGTATAGTATGTGTCAATCTCGAAGAAAAACTACCAGCTTTATGAAATCTTAAATGTTATATCCACATGACCCAGGGTGTCATCAAATTTTCAAATCCAACGTAATGATTAGTATTTCCTATGCAAAATTCAATTTTCCAGTTAAAAGAATCTATTAACTTTGAAGATACTATTTTGGTATTGAAAGTCATTAGGATATTTAAATATTAACTAACATTCATCAATAAAAATAAAAAAATTAATAGCGTTTTCAACATTTTTATAGCGGGTCGATTTTTCTATGTATTGTGTACGTCGTTCTGGTTGAAAAGCAACTCGCTTTATGAAATACACAATTATTGTTTGATTGCACCTCTTAAAAACGTTACATCCAAAGTGTCATCAAATTTTCAAATCCTGCGTAATATCTAGTATTTCCTATGCAAAATTCAATTTTCCAATCTATTATAACTTTAAAGATATTTTTGTGGCCCTGTGCTCCCAAGGAGCGAAAAGGAATACGTCAAAGGACAGAAAGTCATTAGGATATTTAAATATTAACAAACATATTTCAAAAAAATTAAAACTAGAATGGTTCTTCCAATTAAGCCATGCCATCATTTTCAAATTCTCAAATGGTTACTGGTGCAACTGCTATTTCTCAGAGTCGCAATTTCTGTCTGTCATGGTTACGTGTACGGATTGAAATGCATCGATCATGGATCCACTGGCTGTACTGAATTTTAATAGTGGTCTAGCATACTATACAAAAGGGTAAAACAAAAAGTGAACAAGACTACAGTTTTCACATTTGAGAGTTTTTTTTTTCAAATCTGATATCGACAAAATTTCGCCTAATTGCTGCTTATAATTATTTCTACATTTTACTTACATGTACTAGTAATAATATATAGAGTAGCTTTTGATTGTATTTCGAAGAACACGCCTTGATGAGTACCAATTACAAAAAAAGTGTCTGATTTTCATCATTGTTTTGGAAATGTTTTAAAACAATCCTTTCAGAGTACGACATTTTTAATGGTAAATTTTCCTTCAGATGCTGTTTCCCGGCCCCACCCAATTTTTGTCGCTTTAGGTCGAGCATTGACAAATTCCAGGATTTGGACAGTCAATAAGTTTGTTTTTTTTATTCATGTCATATTTATGTTATTTCACTAGCTAATGTGTTCATTATTTTGAAAAGTTGGCCCCATTTTTTTTAGTTTACAGTTGAAACCGTTGTTATATTTTTATACCCCCGTAATCGAAGACTTAGTTTTTGTCTTGTCCGTCCGTCTGTTTGTCCGCATAAAAACTTTGATCATTACTTTTGATTGAGTGGGGTTATGGCTTTCATATTTCACAGGTGTATTTCTTGTAACAAGACCTTTTTTGGGGCACCACAAAATTTGATCTCTTGATCCACTTTAACATCATTTACAACACTCTAACCTTGGTCAAAACCTTTGAACAGTTGGTGCTAGGGCTTTCATACTTCAAATGCTTACTAGTATTCATTGTGACTAGGACTTTCAGCTGGTATAAATATTTTTGACCTTCACCTTTAAGTTTGTCTCATTTAAAAAAAAATCTTTAACCTGGGCCATAACCTTTTTACAGTAATTACTAGGGCTTTTATATTTCACAAGTATATTTCTTGTGACATGACCCTTGGGTAATGTCAGTGTTTCATGAACTTCAGATGCTGGTCCCTCTCTCCACTTTTTGTTGTTGTAAGAGCAAGCAGTGCCAAATTCCAGGATTTGGACAGTAGATTAGTTTTTTCTTGAAATAATTATGCTATATTCTTAACTAATGTGTTCACTATTTTGAAAAGTTGGCCCCATCTAGTTTTTGGTCAGTTTATTTTTTATGCCCCCTTCAAAGAAGGGAGGGCATAATAATATTATACATGTATATGCATTGCTGCTGTCTGTCGATTGGTCGGTCCATCATCTGTTTCCGTTCATTTTCTAATTTGCAGAGGTTGCAAATATTGATAAAATTTGGTATACAGATTTGTCATAAGTTCTATTGGTTAAGTTCTATTTTTGGTACAATCGGGCCATTTTGGACAGAGTGATGCCCCTTGAACTTTGAAAAATTCCGATTATATGGTGTTTCCGTTCATTTTCCTTGCAGAGGTTGCACATACTGAAATGAAATTCAGTATACAGATTTATCATAAAAACATCTTGGTCATATTCTGTCTTGGGTACGATCAAGCCATTTTTGACAGAGTTATGTCCCCTGGACTTCAAAAAAATTCCAATTATTTGGTGGAGGGGGCATAAGTGTTTTACAAATATCTCTTGTGTAAGTTGACTATTGAAACCATTGTTGTGGGCCTCTTTGTTTTTTTTTTCTGCTGTAAGTCGACCCCGACCCCCAGCCCATGAAATAGGATATTTGAGATTGGACAATGTGTCCCCACTCCTATTGTTTAACCTGTTGCTAAACTTGGAAATGTGGGATAATTTATGGATAATGGACTTTGCCCATTATGCCAATGGTTTTCCCTTGTTTCCAACTCTCTTTGATGTCATGGCATTATCCATGGGATATGAAATATAGTTCAAAATAAAGAATCCAACTGTATTCGATGAATTCAGGGGTATTTTTCTGCAAATTCATGTTTGAAAATAATATCCAGTAATATTTGAATCTTGAATATACATGTCTTGAGTACTTTATCCAAGTCAATTCAAGTAATTTGCTGAAAAAAAGGCACTGTAATGACATAATAAAAATAAACCCATGTTAAAAGAATTCATGATTTTATTTTAAAATTCCAATCTTTTGTATAGGGAACTGAATGATTCAACTCTTCATCCTTTTCATTAATATGCAAATCACTCAGCCAATCAAATTCATTCTTATAAACTGTCTTTTGGGAATCAGTTTTTGAGGCATCATGGGATTGCTCTATTTCCATATCTGAATCAGAGTCTTGAGATTTTTCATCTGTTACATGATCTTCTTCCTCTTCTTCATCCTCTTTTTCTGTTTTTCTAAAAATAAACACAAAAGCATGTTGTTAGACTTAATTTATAAAGACGATGTATCACAATTTTATCTTCTCATGTCCAGAATGCATTTTAATTTTGATTTTTTGCATTATCTGCATGCAAATTCCAATGAACTTTTCAGAAAAAGATGAAAGATAATTTATAAACAAGTCTAATAATAGGATTTTTGGGAATTATATTTTGGTAAAAAAGTGTAAATTTGTATAAAGTACCTTTCTTTTTGTTTTCCATGGATAAACGAGTTCAAGAATGGCAAACATAGGGAAGTAACTGGTGGTTGTGCATGTGCTGCAGATTCCAAAATCTGAAAAGAAAACCAAAATACTCCTTTCCATAATCAGCTTACTCAAACCTGACAAAACAGATTAAAACAGATAATCTGAACCAATTATTATACTTGTCATCTTTTATTTGCAATTCAAAACCTATTCACAATTATTAATTTTCATAATTCCACACCCCTAAAAAATTTAATGTAATGGTTTGTAATGACAATTTTTTGCTGTGAGTGAAAGTAATCTTGAGATACTGCTCCTTCACATTTTCCTGAAGGGCGACATCCAAGCTCACTCGCATTTCCCTTTTACATACAATTTTCTACAGCTTTTAAAATCCAAGAGAGACAAGGCAGACATCCCCCCTTATGCAACCCTTCCTTATATCTTCATATGAAATTGGACAAACCCACAAATGCACACCAAAACAGTTTTAAAGAGCTGTATAAATGGAAATTTTAGTGAGATGCAAATTTAGTAATTTTTCCTTAAAAATTGTTGTTTTTTTTTTAGCAAAAGGTAATTTTAACAACTTTAAAATGCTCACTAAAGAAGCAATTACAAATAAAACACAATAAGCTTTTAATTTCAATTTTAGCGATCTCAACATCCTTGCTATTAATGCTAAAATTAAATCCTCAATATAAATTCTGCTTATACAGTATTACGTCTCCTTATCTAAAAAGAGTAGCACATGTTTCTGCTCCTACTGACCTGTTTAGTGAGGTCGGAGGTCACGACCCTCTCTACTTGTTTCCCCTTGTCCTGTAGGGGTCTCCTCTCGCTCCCCATAAACACGCTGAAAGGGGTGGAGGGCAGGTTCTCCTGAATGGATCTCTACAACAACCAAAACGTAATAAATACAGTCAAATATTGATGTTTCAAATTTTATAAAGGCAAGAGAGTAATGTCAAGATATCTGATGATTCAGTTCATGAGATTGAAATACAAAAAGAAAAATCAAAGGCCTGACGGCCTGAGAGGCGCATCGCATTGAGGGTATAAAACTTTTTTTTTCTTGGAGATATTCAACATCTGTTAAGGGAATGAAATAATCCAGGAATAAGAATTTAAAAAATAACTAACGTTTTTTGAGGTTAAAAAAATTGAGCCATGGCTCTGAATTTTAGCCAATCGATCAGGAGAGGAAAAACTTTTTTTTTAAAAAGATATATCGGTTATAATTCATTGATATTTAAAGTGAATCATAATTGATTTTAATTGTATTTGACTTCTTTTTTAATTTTTATTCTTTGACTATTAGGAAGATTAATTGTCAATATAGAAATTACTAGTAATGATTATTGAATAATATTATATAATTTCATATCTGAATTATTTCAGTTTCTTTCATTATGTGCACTTTTATAAATATCACTTCCTTGTTTTTAACTTTTTCCCAATATAAATGGCACAATGTATAACAAATGTTATATACATGAAATGTTCATGTAAATTATACGGGACTAAAATAAATGATCAGGCGTGGTATACGGTTTATTATGAACCCGATACAAAACCGAGTAATTCATAGTACGAGCTGTTGTTATGCAAATGGATCTTACTCCGCGCAGTGCACGTTTGTTGTTGTTTTCTCTCTTAGTTTCAATTGTTTATTTTCTCATTTTTCGTAACCTCTGTTGATTCAAAGTTAAAACAACATGTATGTGTGAGATTTTGTGTTATTAGCAGTTTAAAATTAACAATGGATATCTTTGTCAATGTACATTAGCACTATTTTTTATAACGTGTTAAGAATCATTGTTGACCAGGTGATCGACGATTCAAAAAATGTTGAAATATCTATATAACATTTTACTGAAATCAGACCAGAACTGCTGGAGGAGTAGCAATTTCAAAAATTGTTAACATTCAGAAGGTTATATCGAGGCAAAATCATCCATCCCTGGCACTTCATTAAAACCATCTTTATCTGTATACATTAACATTAAAGTGAATCTATATAACATTTATATCTAACTTTACAGACTTCACAAAAATACTAACCGAGTCTATGGCATTCTTTTTCTGTTCCTCTTCTTCACTAATAATGGTAAGAAGTTCTTGCTCTTCATTAAAGAAATACAGCTGTGAGGACGTCTGCCATTCCAGTTGTTTCCCTTGAGTGGAAGTCTTCTTTGTTTGAGGTATAAATATTGCACATGTGACAGGTGACTTGGATAGTAAGGGTTTGGAGTAAACTATGTCTGAACTTGAAGGCTTAAAGACATACACTGAAATGAATGATAACATTCAGTGTATAAAAAGACCATAGACTAAGCATTTACATGAGAGATTCTGAACTTTGCACCTATATTCAATGCAATTCTTTTTGAATGTAAAGCACCATTTTCAGTAAAAAAGCAACTGATCAACAAGAAAATTCAACTACTGTGAAAACACTTATTTTCATTGGGCTTAATTTTCATTGCTTTTGATTTATGGAGAGACCCACAAATTTATAACCACCACTAAATGTAAATTTTCATATGCAGTACTACTAAACATTTTCCAACCACAAATTAAAATTCAAATTCCCATAAACAAATTTTTCCCTAAAACCCCAAAATTGTACCCCACAAAACTATGTGATTTTACAGTATTCAAATGACTTTTATTCAATGTATTACTGAGAGAGGCTAATTTTACAAATTCATCATTCAGAGTCAAAAGGATTGACAATGTGTATTTTGAATACCAGAAAAACCCTATTCTGCTCCCCCGTGGTACTTACATTTCTGTTCCGTGTCAATAACAGCCATATATGGAGAGAGAGGATCAGCAGTCAGTACACACGCACCCAAACTGACACACCACACCACTGTATTATAAAGAATTGGTCACTCTTAATGTCAGCTAAGTATAGAATGCAATTAATAGACTGTGATGTATTTTAATTTTAGAAAAATATTCTGCAAATCCACTGTTAAATTTTGTTGAGTATTTTCAGGTTCAGAAATAACATAGTACATTTATTACATGTTCAAGTACTTTTGGTACAAGTTTCCTAAAGTAAGTACTATTTGGCACCTGAAAAGTTTTTTGGCAGTGATTTGAATTAACATCTGTGCATAATATATTCTGATATTTAAGTCTCAAAAGAATCCTTCTAAACATATATGTAAATATTTACACTACAAAGTTTGAACGACAATAAATACCTGTACAGTTGTGTAACATGTTCACAGAAATACCTACGTGAGCAGGTGAGGAGATTCCATACACACAGTAGATCAGAGGACAGACTGACCAACAGGTGACAACAGGACTGGTGACCAAACTCACAATGTCTTATGGTAAAAAAAGGGAAAAAACATTTCTAATTCAAGAAAAAATGTGACAATTGTAATCAAAAGACAACATACACCTACATGGTCATGTCAGTTGTTTTGTTTAAAATATGTGAACAAAATGTAAAAGTTTGAAACATTCTCTTCAAAAGAAATCTGGGATCTTTATCCTTTACAACTTCCAATATTTCACAAAAAGGTAAAAAAATACATAAATGTCATGAAAACGCACATCTATATTTTCAAATCTTTTTGCTTACAAATATGCAAATAAAATGTTGGTCTGCCTGTAGCAGAAAAATTAGAGTGTATACACTCACTTGATATTGGACCCATCAGTCTGTCCATGGAAGCAGTGTCGTAATACGTTAGTGTCGGAGTCCCAGACCGTGAGGGTGGAGGAGAATCCCACGGCCAGAAGAGATCCGTCCTCCGAGAATGACACCGGGCCAGCCGGTCTGTCACGGTAGTACCCCACACTGTCACACACCCACTTAGAGTTCTTCCCTTTTCATAAAAAATGGACCTCATTTAGGAAATTCAGTTGTTTTTTTTTTTTAACTGAAAGTCAGGCTTTTCTTTTATTGTTGCAAGAATTTTTTTTTTTTTATTTGTTTTTTAATTATTACATCTTTTTGTCTGGTAAAAAAAAATGTCATTTTCAATTAAATTTGTATTTTCACAGATTTATACAGATAGAAAACTGAAATTTGTGAAAAATTTGTTTCTCTAACGAAAATATTATAATACAACTTTTTGCCAAATAAGGTAGCTTGGAAATGTAATGATCTTCAGTGCTATATTTCTTCCAACAATTGAATGGAAATTCAACCATAAAAATATCCTCAAAATGCTGTTTACATGGACTTACATAAACATAAAAGAATAATAAATATTCATCTCTATTTAAGTTAAAGAGAACATGAACATCAAGAATTCAGCAAAAAAAAAAATCTCTCAAATCAAGAACTTTTACAGAACTCACTATAAATATCTGTATCATCTACAAGCACCCAAGTTTTAAATTTGCCTTCTTCACTGGAGGTCACTACACTGTGAATCAAATCCAGGTCATCTCCATGGGGATGGAACTTTATATCGACCACCTTCTTGTCATGTGGATAATGAACAATGGTGTTCAGCATGTACCTTTAAAATAACATTGGTATAGTTAATTTAACCAGGCTACTTGCTTTATTAATTTATTTCCTAGGGGGGGTTATTTTGAATAAATTGTTTGAAGATTTATTCATGGAGGGTTTGTTCAAGGAGTTAAAAAAATTATTCTAAGGCAATTTTCTACTTACTCCTGCGACTCTTCTTGATACATCCAGAACTTGAGTTGTATGTCAGGGGTCATGACCCCATCATCCCACATGTCAACTGTTGCCAGCCACTCGCCATGACTACTGAAGGCAGCATTAGTCACCTCTGTGGGATAGAGAGGCTTTGACAGATCTTCTGGTGATGTATAATTCTCCTGTACAATATCCAGCTAAACAAAGAAATAACATCTGTTCATACATTTCTATAGATCTAGCATAGTACCTCTGTAAATACAAATAATGTACTTCTACATACTGTACAGCTACACAAAAAATAACATCTGTTTACATACTGTAATACTATAGAATTTATAGCATTTAACATCTTTAGACACAATTGTACACTGTTGCTCAATGTAAAGGAAAAAGTCATAAAGCAGTCCATTTTGTGAGAGAAAGAACTGTTAGAGGCCCGAAGGGCAATTTTTTTTTTTTTAGTTTATTTCAATGGCGAATTCAAATTAGTTATTCTCTTGTGTACAGTATATATGTAGATTGCTGCCTTAGTTTCTTAATTCCAAAACTAAAGAATTGAAAATAACGAAAGTTGCTGATACCAGTTGGTTTTTAGTATAACCAAGTTCTTACATTATAGAGCTGCCTGTCTGCCTCTAGTGAATAGAACTGTAGGTGTCCGACTCGTCCGTTAGTGACCAGGGCCTTGGTCCGGGGATCGTATAACAGTTGCACGGACCGCCTGACCCACAGCTGGGACTGAAGGTGACACAGCGACAATCCGTCAATCACGTGGATCAGCTCAAAGGTGTTAGAAATCAGATTTATACCTGGAAAGATATGATCAAGATTAGCCTAAGATTGACATAGTTGGAGTTTTAACTGCTTATGCATCTTATCTTCGCTAGCCAAGTATCTGATTGTCCAATTCCCACACAGATGAGGGAAATGAATTGGACACTTGGCTAGCGAAGATGATGCAACTTGGCTATTCAAATACAATGAAATTATGTATAAAGCAAACCTAAGCATCAGATACTGGTACTTGAATATAATTATGTCAAATAACTTTTTAAAGTACCTACTAATAATACCTGTACTTTCATTATTGAGTGATGAATCTGAAATTTATTCACAACTTTTGATATGCAGAATGAAATTTACAATGTAAAATCAATAAAACAATTAAATCACCAGCAAATCCAAGCTACACAGAAATTACAGAAGAAATTCAGACTTTTCTCTGTATTACTTACAATTGTCTTGGTGACAAGTCACAAATATTTGGTTGTCAGGGGAACAGATCACATGATCAATGGGGGCCCTCAGACGGGGGAGAAATTCTCTGTCTTTGGAGTTGTACTGCCATTTCACCAATACATTCTCATGACCCCCACTCAACAACTGTGAGCCTATTAAAGAAATCAAATCAATTCATATCCATTTAAAAAAATTCAATGCTTATCCATTTGAATTAGTTAAAATCAACTCCTTGCATACATTGTGTTTACCCAGTATCAGCAGTGTTTACATATACATACTGTACGTGTACTTAATTTGGCATAATCACTGGGTATGGAGCTGCTAGCGTAATCATAAATTAGCGCTACACATGCCCGTTCAGTGTTTTGTATATGTAAATGATTTCTTAGCGGTATTCATGAATTAGCGCATTGTCATCTGTGCCAAAGCCGCTTAAATATGAAGCACGCTTTTTAAAGTACACATACAGTATTCTATCACAGCCTTTTTAGTTAAAAAAAGAAAAACAAAGCATGTACTAAAATTTCAAGCATTTGTGAAGAGTTATTACTGAGATATTGGCAAAGAAAATTTTATACCAACAGACAGACACAAACAAAAAATCTAAACTGTATACCCCCTCTCCTTTAGATTTGGGGATATACTGAATCTCTCTCACCTTCAGAAGTAAACTCTAGATCTAGGACAGGCAGGGCATGCCAGCTATAGGAAGACTTCACCACTTTGTCCCTCTGTAAGAAATTCCACCTGTAACCAAGAAATATACACGATAACAATTTATTCCCAAAGTTTTTCTCATAATATATTATTTTTTTCCCATGTTATTGTTGGCCTTTCACACTTGCTAACAATTTTACCCTGTTTGGAATTCTTCCAGTCACTGTTTTGTTTCAGAAATTAATACTCTTTTCCTTTTTCACACACTTGTGTCTAGGTTGAAAAGGGCCTCAGCCTTGTCATACCCTTTCCTCAAAACTCAAGTTTTTCTTTAGAAAATGTTTTAAAAAATGATTATTAATTGTGCTTTATTTTTTAATTGTTCAGTTTTTAAAACATTTAGCATATCTTATGTGAATAGCAAAGATAAATATCACAGAAAATCTAAGTCTTTTCTAATTTTTGGAGACATTTTCTCTTTCTAATAATTCTTCGTGAGTACACAATAAAATTGAAAATGGAAAATTTTACATGTTACTTCTTCAGAATCAAAATCACAAACACTCTGACAACTAGAGATCAACTTTCATAAACATAAACTTCTGATTGAAATGACAATGTCCAAGAGTTCCTTACTGTATTTACACCTACCAATATACAATGGTTCCATCTTCACACCCCGTCACAATGCAATCTACCGTGGGATGACAGGCCACACAAGTAATAGCTTTCTCAAAATCATCAGTCAAACCATGCCTATAACATCACAATTTGTAACTATCACGCAATGAAGAAGGATAATGGGCAGTGTGATCGAGATACTTTTTGAATTATGCACTGAGGCATCTTTTCCGCATTGTTCTCTGTTTCACTTAAGCATTCAATTCATATTTTTGGATGTCTTCGGTCCTATAACACACCTGGCCGTGCCGACAAATTGAATACCGTGCGTTAGCACGGTATGATAATTTGTCGGAACGGCCAGGTGTGTTATAGGACCGAAGACATCCAAAAGTATGAATTCAATGCTTATACATGTATTTACATTCTCTAATTTTCCTTCTTCTTAATTGGTGATTTCGATAATCTTAAATGTGAATTTAGCGCCCTTCAAAACTGCCGTGGTTAATAGATGTAAGAACCGTTAATGACGTCAAATGACGTTAAATGACGTTGCAAAGATAAATAACGCAAACAAACTTTGCGAGGAATAAAATTGACAAATTAATTCTTAACGCACATTACGATGATTTTTATGTTAATTTTTCAGGGTTATAGTTTTTCATTAAATTGAAATAAAACATTTAACATTTTTTTGTTCCTAGAGTATTGAAAATGCATATAGTTCCTACTGTGTATTCTAACGCGCGGTGACAAGGTTTCGCGTGTGTTATAGGAATTTGAACGTCATGGATTTATAATGGATTTCATAAGGAAAATTACACTGAATGTAAATAAATTATTGTATGCGTAATCTCTATTACACATTATCATATGTCTAAATGAGAGCAGAGTGGATACAATGCCCCTGTGAATTATGTGTATTTCTCTAAAACTGGATATGCTACAGCAGAGTGTTTAAGAAGTTATTAAAAGGATCTATGAGTAAAATACATGTACAGCAAAACTCGTTTAGTACAAACACAGATATTGCGAATTTACGGATATAGCGAAGTTATCTTGAATCCCCAGCTCTTTAAATTTAACGAATTCTTACATGGATATAATGAATTACGGATATAGCAAATTTATTTTAAAGGTCCCAGTGACTTCGCTATAACCAAGTTTTACTGTACAGTAATTTCAAATGCTTCAGGACTTCAAAACTGAAGAATATTAAAGTCTTCAAGTAAACTTGTTGATATTTTGGAATGTATTGTTACTCACGTGTAAACCTCTGACTTCTTGCAGTCATAAACGAAAATCTTTTTCTTCTTTGCCCCAACTATGTACCTTCCCTAAGAAGAAACTAACAACATTATTTACTGGATCTGGCAAATGTCAATTCTTAAAATACCCTGACAAGAGATTACATATTGTGATATGATATTTCCCTCTCTCTCTCTCTTTTCAGTATTCTAGAGTAAAACACACAACTTTATGCTTGCATGCAGTGAAGTGATTTTCAATCTTTGTGGTTTTAAAATGTATTCTTAATGGATATAACAAAATATAACAAATCAAAATTATGTGTCCCTGGCACTTCACTTTCAGTGAGTTTTACTGTAATTTTTTTTTAACGTTTTAAACATCCAATTCTCCGGTTCTATTCATGAAAGTGCTGTAAAATTACTGTACAGTAAAGGAAGAAAAATCTGTTTGGGATGAAAATTTATTTATTTTGTTGTTACTAACAATTATCAACAAATTAAATCCCAAACGAAATTTTCATATGACTATACACTGTATACTGAATAGGGTTACTTTTGAAACAACAAAATTTACTGCTCGAGAAAAGCCGTTTTAGAAAACAAATCATCGAAGTTTGATCCCCAGGAAAATTTGTGTTTCTACAGAAAAAATTACCTTGGCACCGACACCAACCAGCTTCCTCCCTAGTATCATCTTAAGCCGCTTGTCCAGAGAGCCTGATTTCATGTCGTACTCACAAACATCATAATCTGAAATTCAGTTATTTCAACTTCAGTCTCAACACAATTACTTTCAGGGGAAAAAAATTAATCCTTAGTTTATCAATTACTGTATTGAAGCATATTATATTTGGTTCGCTGCTGTGTATTTTTTTTAGCGCCTTTGGCAGAGAGAAACTTCCGCTAATTCAAATACAACGCTAAATGTCTTGCACATATACTCATAAACAAGAACATTAGGAAATGCGCTAAATCAAATCTATGCTGACTTGTACACGCCAAATATAATATATTTACAGTAAGTTATACATGTATGATTTAGGTAATTTATGCTGTACGTTTTCTTGGTTATTGTATGTGTACTTAAAAAGCAGCCTTCATATTTTAGCAGCTTTGGCGCCGACATGATGCGCTAATTCATGAGAACCACTACCAAATCATTTTATAAATACAATATAAAGCCCTGATCTGTGTGAGCTAATTCATGATTACACCATCAGTTCCATTTCCAGTAATTGCACTAAATTTTTAATACACCTATTTATGTACACATACAGGATATTTCTTAATAATAATTGATTGAATATACATATATATATATATAAATGAATTTTAATATGATACAGTAAACTTTAAAGTAAGCACATGGAACTTATTATCATGTATTAAATAGATTAAAAACACTTGTTAAAACATTTTGATTAATATCCCCTGGGTGTAGGGTGGGACAACAATACGGATTAAAGTTATACAAACCGAATTTCTTTTTCATTAATATTACAATGAGCACTTGAATTCTTCATCTTTGAAATATGACATCTTCAAACAAACTTAATTGCAATATTCAGATTTTGCAAAAAATAGGAATTTAAAAAAATTAACAAAATATGGAAGTCTTTTTTTTTTTTTTACATTCTTGCATTCATTGTAAATACATCATAAAGAAAGACTCACATTCTTTGAAATTTTTGTCCTTTGTGTCTATCCCTTGTGGATTTCGTCCTACCATAACAAAAACATTTGTCTCATCTCTTGTAAAACCAACAAGGCCGTAGAGAGGGGCATGAAGGGAATATCTCTGAAAAATAGAATCAATATTGAATAATATGGACATTTCCATAAAATATTAATTTCAACCTTTTTTTTACAGAAACACCAGAAAATTTGGAACATAAAAAAAGAGCAACTTGTTCTCAATGCTGGAACTTTATTGAATTTTACAAGTTGTAAAATAATAAACCTTTAAAATGACCCCATCTGCGTAGTCCCATAGAATTATTGTCTCATCCAGGGAACTGGACAGGAGCTGTGAAATAGAGGCATACAGGTAATTATACATTTTTAAATAATCATTGCCAATAAAAAAATTGTATTTCAACCACTAGGATATTTTAAAAATGTTATTCTTCATCCCACTGACTTTAAGATATTTAGTAATGAGTTTTACTACAGGTAAGTACAATTCCGAAAAAAAAATCCACCTGACCATCCTAGTTTTCATAACTTTTTTCTTCCTTTCTTTAATAATTACAGAAAGTATTTATTTCTCTTAATTAGGAGATTTTTTTTTATCAGTATCAATTTTTGTCTTCTGTGAATTTCCTTCAAGAACTCAATGACTCATTATTTGTAAATACACACCTGTAGTTTATTCTTGGAATTGACGAGGACACCTGTGACTTCGTCATGGTGACCAGACAGGTAATGCATACATTCTCCACTGTTCACACTGTAAACCTTGATGTCTTTACCAGATATCACGAACAAACATCTGAAAACACGAAACATGGAAGATTTTGCAACCAATAAATGATAATGATATATACTTTTTCACTACTTTCTTTTGATAAAATATTTATACTTGATTTCAAACAACATTTTATTAAAATGCCAATTTTATTCTTATTGGCAAGATCTTATATAAAGCAGGTTAGTACAATTATGTTTAATCTCTGACAGATCACACAAACTTTACAACATGACTGATAATGGTGCATATCCTTGGCAATCAAAATATGCATACCGAGAAATTTAAATTTGAATCACTGAAATTAGGGGTGGGACGATACACACATCTTGCGATACGATACGTATCTCGATATATTGGCACGATACGATACGTATCTCGATATTATGATAAATTATAAAACTATTCCAAATAATAAGTATTTTATTTTTTTTGTCTAGACATTAAATCAACAAATTATTCTACATCAAATCATGTTAACTTTGCTTTGAAATTAATACTTGAAGTTCATCAATTTCATTGACTAAAACTGTACAAAACAGTGATACATGTACATACTATTATTACTATTCAGAATTTGTTTACAAATAGTTGTGTATTTCATCAGAGAACACGGTCTAAAAATTCATTTAAAAACATCGATCATATTTACATTATTATTACATCATTGCTGAAAGTGTGTCGCAAAGTTGAGATTACAAAAAAAGTACGAGATAGATTAACAATTTATAATATCAAATGTTCTGGAAACGATATTTTCTGTGTATAGATTATAGAACGCATTTCATACTGAACTTTTCTTGTCCAATCTCCCGAGCCTGCTTAAAAGTGAAAACATTTTACCCCTAATCAACGACTTATTAGTTCTAAAGTGTGTCTTCAATATCAAAATAATCTCTTCACTTCGTACAAGCCGCCATTTTCAAAGGACAGGTACTTTCATTTTCAATTTTTGGATGGGTCGTTCGTGTATCGTTTCGTACCGATATTTGAATGCTTGTATCGTAAACCGTATCTTGAAGGCAAATATCGGTATGTATCGGTGTATCGGTATATCGTCCCATCCCTAACTGAAATGTCAAACTTTATAAATTTCTATAGCAAATGAATTAATGTTTTAATAGCTTCAGTGTAAAGATTGCCTCACAGGTATTTGGGTCTTGGTTTATAAATGTGTATATAGCTATATAGCTTAATCAAGAGATTGTGCTGGACCTGCAAAGTACCTGTGGTTTGTCTTATAAAATGGAAATATTTGAGCAATAAAAATGTTAAAAGACTTCAAGTTCTCCAAAAAAATTTCAATCTGATTAAAATCTGCTCTCCCAGTCTACCTTTCGATGTGTAACAGTAAGAGAACAAACACAGATGTTTACCTGTTTATTGGGTTAAAATGAAAATGTAAACAAATGTGTAAATTCCGTTTCGCCTTTCTTATACCCACAATTATATGGATTATTAACAAGAAGTAAACTACACTGAATAAATATACTCACTTTGAGTCTGAGGAAAATGCAGGCTTGTGTTTCACAATACTAGAACCCGTGACATTTACAACAGAAAAATTATCTTCGCCCATGCTTTTTTCGCATGGAGGCTGCCATTGAATGACATGCGCACGAGGTTTCCAAATTCTAAAATTAAAAAAGGTAAGGAAGTGTCTATCCGCACGACGGTCGTGCCGATTATATTCGTTATTCGCACGACGGTCGTACCGATTAGAAATCTTATCCGCACGACAATAAAAAGAGAGATAACTCCTCCACAGGGGCCTGTAACATACTGTATTTGAATTTACGTAATCACTATATGTATACAAAAAGAGATCCTTTTTTGTATATATATAGTGAATACGTAAAATCAAAAACGGTATGTTACCGGCCCCTGTGAACTCCTCTACAATATTGTGATGACTTATTGTGCACGCTGTTTTGCTTTAAAAATGGCAGTTAAATGGCGTGAAATGGCAAGTCATCATAAAAATAATGTGGCATTAAAAAAAAAATAGCTTTAAACCCCCCCCCCCCCCCCCATGTAATAGGATTTTCTATCTTTTTTTTTGCTTGTCAACTTCTTCAGGTAAGTAAAAAAAAAAAAAAATTCTGGGTACACCCACGTTCACAAACGAATACCCCTCTAATATTATGTATGGAGGAGTATTTTTTGAATGGAACGGTTATCTTCAGTCTTTTAACTAAATTTTTCGCATTGAAAACATGAAAAGACAGTGTAATAAATATAAATTGTAAAATAAAAAAAAAATCAAGGGGTCATATATTAGTGTGTGGCACTGTACCTCTGGGGTCATCCATCCCATTTCCTTTTCAGACCAGATCTGCAGCTATTATACAAATTGTGCTACATGTTTGTTGTTTTTTGTTATATAACACGTACATATGAACGGTTTCGCTTTAAGACTATTAATGAAGTCAAAATGTTTTAAGAGTTCGAGTTATTTTTGAGACAATCCTTTTAAAAAGTAAAAGAGTTATTTCTACATAATATGTTGATTAAATATTTTGTCACAATATCACGCTCTTTCTTTACTTATTTATGGGAAAGATATTTCTTTGTGATAAATATAATATACAACCACTGGACCTTTTTAACCTTTCTTATATCGTAAAGTAAAAAAAAAATCCCCATATTTCAATGTTATTATTATGGCTGCACCATGGGGAATTTTTCATTTATTAAGACAAATGTTTAAAACGTCAATTGACTTAGATTAGAACCGTAATACACTTTTGTTTATCAGCAGAACTAGAATTATTATCATTCTTCAAATCTTTCGAGTACTGGTTTGTCATAGCTTTTGATACTGCACGTCAATTCTCGTTTTTAAAATTCCCCGGGTGATCAATGGCCCGCCCCAAGGTACAGAATCGGCCGAAGTTGGCCAGAGAGATCGGAGGATGCCGTCGCGGGAAAATGAGATAGCGCAAAAATGGAGGAAGGGATGGATGTAGGCGACACATTCGATACTTATGAAGATTTTGAAAAAGCTTTAGAAGCCTACTGCGAAAGAGAAAATGTTCAATACACCATCACAGACAGCAAATCAACAAAAAGCGAGAATCTAAAAGTGAAAAGACCTTATGATGAAAAATTTCGATTCAGATTTGTAAAATATGAATGTAAGCACGGGCCGAAGAACAAGAAGAAAAAAGTGAAAGGACATGGGCTTCGACCAAATCAGAGGTATAGTAATAATTATGAATGTCATTGAATTAATGTTTAGGACATGCAACATAGTGATGAATATAATTGGAAAATTGATTTATTTATTGATTTTACAAAACATTTGAATTACAATTACATGAACAAAATGTTTATTTTAAAGAAAAAGAAATATGTAATCTCTTATACGTGCATAATGTGGTACATAACCATTGGTCAGTCCAAAGACTATTTCTACCTATGCAGCTAAGTAATAGTAGCATAGTAATTTTTGCAAAATTGTTGCTTTAATTACGAAGTTTTTTATTTTTTGCCACAGTTTTGTTGTATTCATTATCATTTGTTTTACCAGTGTGCACAATAAGTTGTGGGTATTTTAGAGGAGTTATCTCTCTTTTTATCGTCGTGCGGATAAGATTTCTAATCGGCACGACCGTCGTGCGATTAACGAATATAATCGGCACGACCGTCGTGCGAATAACGAATATAATCGGCACGACCGTCGTGCGGATAGCCTCGGCCAAAAGGTAATGATATACTATCCGGATAAGCCCTTAGTGTGTGAAATGGCGGGAAAAACATAAAAAAAGATATTCACATAATGGTTTTCATCAACCTTTCATCATTTGATTATGTACATGTTTTAAAATATATGGAAAGTTTTTTTTTATCTAGCTGCAGAACTGTAGCTCTCCGAAAAAATATTTTGACAGTCCGGTCTGTCAATATTTTTTCGGAGAGCTACAGATCTGCAGCTACATTTATACCAAATTGATTAGAAAAAGACCACAAAAAATCAAAATGGAGACTGTAATAAAAAAGAGAATAAATAAATATTTTAGAAAATCAAGTTTTCTGGTTCTCTTTTCCTTGGAATCTCCCCCAAAGAAGTTTGTATAAAGTATAAACAAGAAACACATATTGACGCAAGCGTCAAAAATCGGCCGCAAACCAAATAATTGTTCCTTTTATGAAGCAACTAAAGACTGAAATGGTGATCTGTTTTTAAAGGTGTCTTCCCACTTAGCCAACATTTTGAAAAAATACAGGTAAAACACAGGTAAATCTGTGTTGGCTAAGTGGGAATGGGGTGCAGGTGGAGAACAAAAGAAATAAATTACAGGTAGACTATAGTCTGTTTTAGCTATATGCTAAATAAACAGTAAATAATTCATATAAGAATAATATAAAAAATAAATAAAATGTTTTCTTCTCATAAGTAGCAAATAGTTCATATAAAAAATATGAAATAATTTTTTAAAACTATGATTTTAAAAAAATATATTTCATTATTTTTAACACTATTTTTTTTTAGATGTCTTCCTATTTAAAATATAAAATGAATAACAAATTCTCTTTCTCTAAAGAATTATATTTAATTATAAAAAAATATACCTGAACATTGATACCTAAAATAAATGCTTACATTATTTTTTTTTTCATCTGGAAATATAAATATTAAAACTAAGTTAATTTACTTATACTTATAAACTTGTGTATCGATCGGTAATATTATGTACAATATGTTAATATGTTATGCATTTCATTTCCGGAATTTTTTGTAATTATCAACTTTTTATTTCCGACATTTTTTTTTGTTTTCATTTCTGACATTTTTCAAATAAATATATAGTACTTTTGGTAATAGATCTGAAGACTTTACTTATGAAATATTGAAAGAAAAAATCATAAATAAATAATTGAAATCCAATATCTGAGTTTTTAAAATCTACCAATGACTTCAACATAAGTGTGGTGATGTCACTAACATTAAATTTAGTGCACATCAGATGTGGTGAAAAAGTTTATGCTCATTGAACTCTTTTACCTAGACATAGTGCTACATGTATGCATATATATGTAGATTTTTTTTTTATATATATATAAATTTTTATCAATATTTTGTAAGAAATACTTTTAAAATGCCATTTTCACTTACTTAGAAAACATTGAATGGTAAATTCCGGAAATGAAAACAAAATTATGTCGAAAATGAAAAGAAAAAAATGTCGGAAATGAAATTTTAAAAAATGTTGGAAATGCTATATGCATATTTCCGGAAAATGCAGCGTTTAATTGTATAAACACAATCATTTTTAATGATTATACATAATTGTTTCTTCAGAGTGTCTTGTTTTTATTTATTTTCCAATGAAAATATGTTTTGTGGTAAAATAAAAATATTTTTTTCTTTTTTCTTTAGTTACTTAAATGATATTAATATTCTATTTATTAAATTAAATTTAATTAATTAATTCTCTGGTAAAATTTTACTACTTTTTTTACATTGAAAAATTATTGAACTTTAATTTTTTCTTTAATTAATTTTATATTTATTTTGACTCAAATTTTACCTCTGGTTGGTATATTTAGGTCTTTCCACCTTTCTGTGGAAAGACCTATTGATTTTCTTCTGTTTTTTTTTAGGTCTTTCCAGCTTTCTCTGGAAAGACCTATTGATTTTCTTCTGTTTTTTTTTTTCTTTTTTATTATTTTTCCGCCGTGTGATTTTGAGTTTCAAGATTTATCGAAAAGATTTTCAGTCGACAAGAATGTACTCCGTAAAAGATTTTAGCAGTTGACCCTGCGTATATGAGCTTTGACCCCTTTCGGAGTTACGACCCCTTTCGCAATAAAAGCTTGTTATCGCTACTCCTCCAAAACCATAAACCGCAGAGATTTCAAACCTTTATTAATGTTTACGACTGATTTAGTATACTCTCCAATCAAACATTGCGAAAGGATTCGTAAACTCCTATATTGAATTATTGCCCCTGAATGTTTGCAACGTTTACGAATATCAAGATCTTTTCTTAAACGACAAGGCGTAGAGGCATGGGACCAACTGCAAAAGATTTCTTGACCTTTGACCTTAAAATCTAGGTCAAGGTCAAAGGTCAAGGTCATTCAAAATATGTAAAATTAAGCATTTTTTATAGCTCTTTTGTTCTTAACCAAATTCTAAACATCTTTGTATTTTTAGTATGTACTCTTAAACCCATTTCAGAGATTCCATGCTTGTCCCCTAAGACTGAACCCTCTAAAAGTTAGTGCCCCTTTCAGTGTAAACCCTTGTTATCGCTACTCCTCCGAAACCGTAAACCGTAGAGGTACAAAACCTTCAACAATGTCTGCGACTAATTTAGTACACTTCTCATTCTATTAGTGTGAAAGAATTCGTAAACCGTTTTAAGTAGTTATTGCCCCTGCAAGTTTATGATGTTTACGAAGAAGTAAAAACTTCTTAACGACAAGTCGTAAAGACATGGGTCCAACTGCATCAGATCTTTTGACCTTTGACCTTGAAGATTAGGTCAAGGTCAAAGGTCAAGGTCATTGGGAAGTATCAAAATTGCTTATTTACAGGTTTTTAATAAAATGACCTTTGACCTTGATATTTGACCTTGACCTTAGACCTTGACCTTTTCTCAAAAGTTAAAAAGG